GGAGGTCTTGGTCTCGACGACGCATGTCCTTTCGGGGTGTGCCTCGGCGTTGCGTCTGAAGTGCTCCTGGATGGAACCGACATACCCGGACCAGTCGAGGTCGATTGTGGGATCGGGTAATACAGACGCCATTGTGATTGTGTTTTGTGTGCGTGTCCGATCTGCGTTAGGAGCCAAGACGAGACCGAGAAGAGTTTTAAAAGTGCCAATTGGTAGAGTTTCTTGGAGAGAGGTAGCGCAAGAAAAGCGCCGACTTCGCGATATTTTATTTTCTGGACGACTGACGCCAAAGGGTGAATCAGAGGGCCTAAAAGTTTAGCGGGCTGGCTAATGTGACAGTGTGGGGCCATCGAAAATCGAGGCCTGCACGACGGGCGGGAGCCAGTTAAAACCTCGCTCGGGTTCGCTAAAGCTTGGCCAAGAATCATCACTTTGAATCACGACAACGAATGTTCAAAACCGCCTTTCTCGAAGCGCCAAATTCGCATTCACACGTGGGGGTCTTTCATCGGCCCCTACAACTCAGGAACTGACCCCAACTAATCCTGATTTTTGATTTTGACCGGAGGTGGCTTGTATAAAGTTTTATTCCACACAGTCGTGCTGGGCAACGATACAACAGTGGCGCTAGCCGCCTCAAAGTTTGGTTACTTCAGTTCCAAGTGTGACTCAATTGTGCAACTTTGTTTGACTTGAAATGCTCCACGACTCCGACGTCGGCTGGGGGATGCTAACACAGTCATCATCCGGTCCAGAGCTCCAATCATAGCTCCACAGCGAGCATTATTGTGGGGATGTAGTGGAGTCAGTCCAGTGAGCCCCTCCCCCACAACTTTAAACATCGAGCCTCGAGCTTTTCTCTTGGCAACAGCTTCCATTTAGGGGACCCTGCCTCGCATGGCCAGCCATATCTTCTCGGGGATAGGTTCGTTGTTGTGCTTGAAATGGCTTCAAACTCGATTTTGTTCTCTGGAATGAGTCAGAATGGTGAATATCATGAAGCAAAACCCGACAGACGAGAAACAGCCATCAACATTTGGCACACATGCACCAGATAGTTCCCTCAACCCAACACAATCAAATGACTTCCATCCTGATGATTTCTGCGATGGACTCACTATGTACATTGCGCCATGTTGAGCATCTTCACCCGATTTAACGGGTTGAATCACCAGAAGCGAACTGGGTTCAGGCATCAACTGAATAACCTCTACGCTCCACTGCCCGCTGTATCCTGTTTCCCTAGTAGGAGCTGTCGTTTTGTATTTCAAGGCTTATTAAGCATGTCGAACAGTTTTTGACGTATGGTTTCATACAACGTTATCTTGCTGATTTGATGAAGCATTTCACCCGAGTCATGATTCTATCCGAGACCTCATGCGCGTAGCGACACACGCTCTACCCACGGCGCCTCTTCACTTTCATGCATGACTTTCTTTGACCTTGTTTCTATTTTGGCATAAAATGCCGGAGGGCTGTTCTGCCACCCTTGAAAACGTGTAATCATTTACCTGCTACGTAAATCAGTAAGCTGGAGGCTCCTCCCCTCCATTTTGCCTCTCACATTGAGGCGTCGGTATGCCGGTCGCTCCCCAGACGTAATTGTCGAGTACGTGTGGGAATGAACCAGATTCGAATGAGTCTTAGTGGTAGCTCGTTGACGACCTCACAATCCTGACAACTGGGGCTTCTGATCACGCGGGTACATTCATGATCATCGATGGCTAATAACTAGACACGCTAGGTAAGATGGGAAGAGCGTAACTGGCTTGCCTGACTCTGAAGTCTCTTGGGGGCTCTTCTTTTCAAAGCCAACACGTCGTGTGCTATAATCTTCTCTACTAGCTTTTTTTCCAGATCGCTCCTTATTAGTAGTACTGCCCATATCTATAGCGAAGCGTGTCTTGATTGCCTCTTTCTATTTGGATATAACATGAGGGTACTCGTCATTCTTGTCAGGCGTCGAATGATGAAGCATAACGGTGCCCGTTTCTGCATCTGCAGTAAGATACGAATGGAACTTGAGGGGGCCATTGAGCAACAGCAGTATTGCATTGCGTCACTTCTTTGGTTCGGACTTCATGAACGTTTTGCTGCCAAGTCCAGATAGCCAAACGCAACAAGAAGAGAGGTAGGATGGTAGGCTCTTGTTGATAAGATCCAATAGCTAAGCAACTCTTGTGACGATTGTGCTCATAGACTATGAAACAGTTACTAGAGCCATCGGCAAAGAGATAATGTTTGAGATGACATCCACAGCTTCACGTTAGAAACGGGCACCAAACTCTTAACAAACAGTATCCAATGGCAAATATTTGACATGATGAATTTCCATCATGATAACCTCAACAAAGACCCAAGACTAAGTGACCGGTTGATCACCTCTGTCTCAGATCGTGCTTGACAAAACAAAAGCTTGCACACTGACCTGGCCAGTTAGCGTCCATCAAGCTCCTGCTCTACGGTCTATAGCTTGACGAGAGTGAGATGAGACGACCTCCTCAAAGCTTAGACATTGTGAACAAAGTCTAAACATCGTCCGAAACAGTGACCGCTGCACCATGCCCTTAGGCCCAAAAAGGCTTAGCCCGCGGGACGGTCCGCTGTGGAGTCCATCGATTGACGGCAAAAGTTGGGACCCACCTGCGCACTCTACATACACTAGGAACCGCAGGTTTTGGCGTACTACAGTACCTACATGGACTGAGAGCTCAAGCTTGACATCAGATCGAATTGATCCAGAAATTGAATGACTTAGATTATCAGGGAACAGTACACCTAGGAGTTCAAGGTGGCTGTACCTCAGATTTATGATCAACGGTCGGAAGGGCCCTGGACTTGTTCCCTTGCTTAGCAGAGACTTGTATATGCCTTGCAAGCTTTCCTTCTTGTTCCTTCTATCTGATATGAACTCAACCTACGTCGTCGGTGAGGCACGCATGTAAATGTGAATTATGTACTTAGTTGCATCTGCCATACGCGCATGTGATGATGCTTTTTACAGTTGCCGCTCAAGATGGCATGTACAAGCGTGCTTGTGCATAAAGCTTTACCGTACCAAAAAGGACAAAGACTGAGCGAGCAGTAAAGCATTGTTATGCGTACCTGCGTATTGAATTATGATTGTAACCGGATAGGGGTAGATCTGTCATTCTTAGCAGTAGGTATTGTTTCTCAAGCTTTATCCGAATCGTTGAAGAGATGATCGAGCCTACCGGCCAACTCATGCGCTTCATCATCAGAGTTTGGACCCACTTTCAACATCACAGCAAATAGGGATCTCTGTAGCAGTGACAACCAGAGATACGACATCACACGTCGAAGCAGAAGTTGGCTGGCGAGGAAAAAAGTATACTCCATCTCCAATGGTATCAGTCAACAACTCTGATTTTCTCCAGGTCTAAATTCTAGTAGTTATAGACAAACGCCAACATGATCATTCACTATTATCTCATGACTCGGTAATAGATCGTTTAAGCAGAAAGAGCCTTGAGGTCACCGGCGTTGATCTTGCCGGCACCGACAAGGCGGGCGGCCTCCTCGTTCCAGACAGCCTTGATCTCGTCAGCGACCTTGAGGTTGTTGAGCTTGCCAGCGAGGGCAGCGATCTCATCGGGATCGATCTTCGCCTGGATAAGTTCAACGTCACCGAGAACGGCATCGATGGTGGCAACGGAAGCATCGCCCTCAACGAAGTAGTTGGCATCCTTGACGGAGCCACGGAGGACACGCTTGTTCTTCTTGACAGCGTTCTTAGCAGCCTCCTTGGCCTTCTTGCTTGCCTCACGGTCCGCCTTGGCCTTCTCCTCGGCCTCCTTAGCGGCAGCCTCCTCAGCAGCCTTCTTGGCAGCGGCCTCCTCAGCGGCCTTCTTCTCGGCAGCCTCCTTCTCGAGCCTCTTCTTGTTCTTGGCAGCGTTGGCCTCCTGGCGGAACTTCTTGATACGCTCATCGGCGGCCGAGCAGTCATCGAGCAGCTTGCGGAGACGAGCATTGTCCTCAGCCTTTCTCTTCTTGCGGGTGTTGAGGTTCTTGCGCTCGGTGTGGCGTCTCTGGTCGCGGGACTCGCTGTCATCGGGAACATCCTCATCGAGGTACTCGAACGACCTCCAGCTGTCGAAGTTGTAGAAGAAGTTGTAGAAGTTCTCGACCTCCTCGCGGGTAGAGTTCTCGTTGCCGAAGCTGGGGACGGGCTGGGTGTTGCTGAAACGGCCCTCAGCCTTGAAGACGTTACCCCAGAGCTTGTAGAAGTTGCCCTTTTGGAGCTGCTTCTTGGTGGGGGGCTCGACATCGGCTTCCTCATCAACGGAATCGAACTGGCGGCGCTTGATGGGGTCGAGGAGGACCTCGGTGGCCTTCTGGATGCACTTGAAGAAGTTGTCGTCCTCGGTGCGGCCAGCGGCGGCCTTCTTATCGGGGTGGTGCTTGAGGACCTTCTTGCGGTGAGCGCGCTTGATCTGCTCCTCAGTGGCCCTCCAGCGGTACTTGGAAAGGCCGAGAACCTTGTAGTGATCTTGTTGCTGTATACGAGGGCAAACAGGTTAGCTGTCAAGGTCTTGCCTGGCATGCACCACTACACGCTGAGCACTAACCTTCCAGTCCTTGGCGTCGCGAGAGAGCATCATGGGGTCCTCAGGCTCGCTGAGATCGCTCTCATTATCCTCCTCGACATTCTTGGCACGCTCCTGGGCCTGGATACGGTCATCCTCGGAGAAGGTGCGCTTGTGGCGGGCGCGGCGGGCGTGGGCGAGGAAGTGAGGGCCGACGGGCTCGATGGTGCGCTGGGTAGCCTCACTCTGGGCGATCTTGCCGATGGGCTTGAAGTCCTTCTCGGCGGTCCAGCCCTCAGGGAGGGCGGGGAGAGGAAGGGGAACCACAGTAGTCATTTTTGCGGCTGATGATGAGGATGGTGATGGTTGGGTTGGGAGACAGTGACAGGCGCAGGAACCAGAAGCTTGTATAGGCGGGGCCCCTCTGTTGTCTTTTTTACCGACGGAATTCTGGAAATTTTTCGATGGCCAAGCTCCCCATATCTTGCTTATCGACCGCCAATCACAATCATCGCAACTCCAAGTCCACTCCGGCCGGCAAGCCTACCCGGTCCTGGGCGACATTTTTGGAGGTCGCATTGCCGTCACTGCAACTGTTTCCAGACAAGCCTTGAATCTTTTTGTTAGACCGGAAGTTGGCGATACAATACTATTTACCTTCTTTAGAACCTGCATTCCCTTGCATGACCCTCGTTTACCAGCGGTATTGTCAACATGTCTGCCCTTCAAGCCTACCGTCACCTCATGCGCGCCGCGAGAGTTGCCTTTGATGGTACGATGTTCCCCTGCAGTCTCCTTGGTGCATCCGCCGGCCCATGTAGCTCCCCGGACTGACCGGCATGTGCCACTATCTTAGGCGATAACCGCACCCTTACCGCCGCCTACGAGTCCATCCGCCGTGGTTTCCGCGAGAACCAGAACGTTCCCGCCAACGATCCTACGATTGCGCCTGCGATTGCGCATGCCGAGGAAGTTGCCAGCTTTTTGAGATCCAATGTCGTCCAGGGCCGTAAGGACGGCGAGACCTACAGTGAGTGAAGTCTAGGGGTGCTAGAGTCATATACAGAATATGGTTGCTGACTCCATGTTCGTCGCAGAGCTACGGATTCACCAGGACACCGAGCGCGGCGACAACGATACCATCAAGCTAGGCAACCAGACCATCAAGATCGGCGGCGAGCAGAAGTGCTGCTCGGCATAAGTGAATACAAAGCCATGGTTGGATAACACAAGGATTTTGGAAGCTCAAGTTCGTGAGAACGTAATGGGACAACAGGACAGTGCCGTTGCCCGTGTATATGTATAAATCATCAATGATACCCCTCAATGTAGAAAACTAGTGGAAAAGACCATGCGATATCATGAAATGCAATGTATCCGAGATACCCTGAGCCCAAACCCCAAATCATAATAGCCTCCGAACGCCTTGCAATACCATGATTATTAAGCACTTTTCTGACCCCGCTTAGTTGCCAGAGAGACTGGCGTACTGTACGTCTGCCGCACCGGGCGGCGCTGCGATAGTGAGGTTAGATGCGTCGTCTTTCTGCGCTCCTGATGCGCCGCCCTGGGCATTTTGTCCCCCGATCGCCTTTTGGCCACCTGTCTTTTGACCACTGCCAAAGGCCGACCGACCATCTCGTAGCATCTCCGAACGCTGTTCCTTGTTCATTGTTCCCAACGCCTTGGGCACGCTCCATCTAACTCTCAAGGGGCATCCGGCAATGACAGCACGGCCTTTGCACTCCGCTGAAGCCTTCTCAGCAGCCTCCCGAGTCTCGTAGTTGACAAACGCGGCATGCGACATGTGCGACACAACCAGCGACTTGATCTTTCCGAACGTTTTGAAGAAGTCGCGAATCTTGAACTCAGGCAGATCATCTTCGATACCGGTGACGAAGAGGGACATTATGCTCTTGTCGGTCGGTGGCAGCCAGTCCTTGGGTCCCGGAGGAGGCGCCGGAGCTGCGTTGGGTCTTCGTCCGCCGCCGGGTCTAGCGCCAGCAGCTGCGGCCGCCCTGGAATCTCTCGTACGAATCGGACCAACTCCACCAACACCAGCTCCCACAGCAGGATTGCCTCCCGTCGCCCGTCCTGCGCCACTCGATGATCCGTTAACGGGGTTACCCTCCTCGTCGACCTCCCTGCCCTTCCTGAAATAGGGCTTGCTTTGTGCCAGCCTCCTAAGCAGCTCTCTGGCTTTTTCGTCCGCCTTCTCGTACTCCTCTACACCAGCTCTTCCTTCTTCAATCGCGCGCTCGTTGTTTTGGGCAAAGTACTCGCGGTTGATTTCGCTCTGCGGGCCGGGGGCCACAAGTTCGAGGGCCTTGTCTCTGATGATGATGGGCAGACCGAACTGAAGATCGAGGATGCAGCATTGGCAGGCGTTCTTGAGGCGAGCGCAGGTGAGGCAGATGTTGGTGCGCTTCTTGCGGGCGTGAGCGCGATCGGCGGCCCAGCTGAAGACGGTGAACGGGCGGGTGCAAAGCTTGCATTCGGCACCGTAGTCTTCCTTGAGCATTTTGACGTAAGGGTTCTCGGGCAGGCAGTTTTCGCAAACGGAGGGGAAGTCGGTCGCCTCCCAACCGGAGCGGTTAAGATCGTGTTTGATTTGCGGCGGCATATCGGGATTGATGCAAAATTTTGATGGGTTGAATACGCGTTGAAGGTCGAATAGTGACGCGATGGTTGGCGGCGGGTGGTGTACGCAGTGGTGATGATGATGATCTGGAAACTTGCGACTTTCAACGAACGGTGACCTGCGTAAGTTCGGGCCCTTCTCTTTCCTTGTCCAGACGTTCACGGTGCTTATCAGAACTCTTATCAATCAATGTGGCGTAATTACGCCACGTCCTCTGTTACACGCGTTACGATGTGCGCGTAAGAAACTTGGCCGTGGCTTAAGCTCAACTGAGCATCCCCCACAAGTCGGATTGGTATTCGTATTCGGGATTTTGAGTGCACGGGCGCGGGGGGCGAGAACATCCCGAACCTTCACGTGGATTTCGAATTCGAATTCGCATGTTTCGAGTGCTTCTTCACCCAATTCGCTGGCGCCAAGTTTCAAGGTCACAACGGTTCAACCCGAAAGCTGAAAGGGGGGGTGGATCTTTCAGATTGGCCAACGCCATTCTGTGGGGCGCTCAGACCAATTGGCGATTGAGATGCGCCTATTCTGTGGATGGACGACAGCAGCTATCGCATGCTATCGTTGTACACCCTGGCATAGCTCTTATCCAGGGGTAATTGCAAGGTGCCAGGGCAGCAGCACGAGGAGGAGGAAAGGGGTCCGGGGTCGTGGCCTTTTTTTTGTTTATATGGAGGATCCCGACTGACCGCAACGTCTTGTTGTCTTCTGCTTGTTCGTGCCAATCCCATCTTCACTTCTTCCCCTCATTCAACAACTCGCGAGATCTTCGCCTTCCTCCGCAATCCTCTCCCCGTTCAACACCATAATTCACCCCGCCAAAATGCCTTCCACCATTGCCCTCGAGAAGGAGGACCACCAGCGTGATGCTGAGTTCAAGAAGGTCATGCACGGCGACTCGGCCAAGGCCGCCGGTGGTGTCGCTGCTCTGCTAAAGAAGAACACCGAGGCTCAGCAGATCGCCGTGGACGAGTACTTCAAGCACTTCGACAACAAGACTGCCGAGGCTGAGACCCAGGCTGATCGCGAGGCCCGTACCAAGGAGTACGCGACCTTGACCAGGCAGTGAGTTCCTCCGCCTTGCCTCGCAAGATTCCTGCTTTGTGCGAACACGTGGAGACTGACAAACGTGTTTCCTGCAGCTACTACAACCTCGCGACCGATATTTACGAGTATGGCTGGGGCCAGTGCTTCCACTTCTGCCGTTACTCCCCCGGCGAGTCCTTCTACCAGGCCATTGCCCGCCACGAGCACTACCTCGCTGCCCAGATCGGCATCAAGAAGGACATGAAGGTTCTCGATGTCGGCTGCGGTGTCGGTGGCCCTGCGCGCGAGATCGCCAAGTTCACTGACGCCCACATCACCGGCCTGAACAACAACGACTACCAGATCGACCGCGCCACTCATTACGCTGTTCGCGATGGTCTCTCTGGCCAGCTCAAGTTCGTCAAGGGTGACTTTATGCAGATGTCCTTCCCCGACAACTCCTTCGATGCCGTATACGCCATTGAGGCCACCGTCCACGCTCCTAAGCTCGAGGGTGTCTACGGCGAGATCTACCGTGTCCTTAAGCCCGGCGGTACCTTTGGTGTCTATGAATGGCTCATGACTGACAACTACGATAACGACAACGTTGAGCACCGTGACATCCGTCTCGCCATCGAAGTCGGCAACGGTATCTCCAACATGGTGACCATCAGCGAGGGTCTCGCCGCCATGAAGAACGTCGGTTTCGAGCTCGTCCACCACGAGGATCTTGCCGATCGCAACGACCCCATGCCCTGGTACTGGCCCATTGCTGGTGAGCTCCGCTACATGCAGAGCTACCTCGACTTCTTCACCGTCGTCCGCATGACCCACACCGCCCGCCGCATCCTCCACGGTTTCGCCGGCATCCTCGAGACCGTCGGCCTTGCCCCCAAAGGTACCAAGAAGACCGCTGACGCGCTTGCCCGCGGCGCCGATGGCCTCGTTGCCGGTGCCAAGAAAAAGCTCTTCACCCCCATGTACCTCATGGTTGGCAAGAAGCCCCTCAACTAAAAGAAAGAAAAAATGTGCTTGAAACGATACCCCATATAATCATTTCCATTTCTTTGTACACTGTTTTAGGCGGGGATATAAGGTTTACATCAGGATCATCATGAAGCGGGTAAATCATAATGACACGGAGGGACGGCCACAAACTATTGCATTTATACGCTGATTTAATCAATAATTGCCGGTCACGCCGGGATTTTTGTTCGAAAGATTAGATTGGCTGCAGCAAGAGCCAGCAAGAGACCGGACGTTAGAATTGGCTAGGTAGTTTACGACGTCGTGTACAATGACCTGTATGAATGGACCTAATATATTCTTTCTCGACTACCACTTCTTTCAGGAACAAAGCAAACCGCTCCTTTCACGTTTGTTTAGTGAATCGTTGTTGGACATCTTGTCATCTTCAAGGTTTTCACAGCCAGTGCGCAGCCCCGAAGCCCAGACGGTAAGTATGATGGACCCGAGTGACATGGTAGCATTTGTGAGACACCGACTCCGGCGGTTCATCTCACGGTGTTCCTGTTCATCTGCGGCGCGGCTTCGGCGCATTGTGTGTTTGCCCCAACGGACTTTGCTGTATCGGTTATAGTAACGTGCTAGACAGGTTCTTGAGATACAAACCTTCTCCAACTCTAAAGGGGCCGGCAAGGAGCACATTGGTGTCTTTTTGGAAGCTCAAAACGAGGCCTGTACTATCAATTATATCAGTTCCATCAGGTCGACGCATTTCTATCAAAAAAGGAATCGCGGTGCTGATAGCTGGGACCCTTCAGGCTATGACGAGCCTGACGAGGTCTCATGCTAACGAACGCCGCAGGGGTGTATCGGAGAAGAGGGGCAGCAATCCACTTTCAACGCCGTCAGATCCACGACGACAAGGCAAAGAGTTGCCGATGTTTTCCTGTGCCAATGCTGCCATATATTTGTAATGCGTTTTCGCCCTCACTTAGTTCCCAAACATTAAACTCTCTGGATCACTTTGAGGAATGGCAATTATGTACTTTGCATGCTGCCAATCCTGTAAGAGCTCCGATGCCAGCCGGCATTACCCACTGCTTATGAGCTAAACGAGCTTGCTTATCGTGAGCGACGCGGGATCGTGAGGGGAGTCGCGGCGTTGCAGGGTTGTCTCTCCAAAATCGATTGCCTCCGCAGCTGTCATTGCAGTGGGCCAGGGCTTGTCGTCGAAGGCGTGCAGGGTGTGTCGAGCCAATTGAGGGGCCAGGACACGCGCGAAACTGTCATGGATGGCCCTTTCGCTAGGCCTTTTGTAAGCTAGCGCCGAGGAAGCGTTGGGGTTCAACGTTCCAGCTGTGAGAAAAAGCTCGAGTGCGGCGTAACTAACGAAAGCTGGATCCAAGCTCCCTATCTTTTTGATGGCGGATGGTGCAAGGCCCAAAAAAATCCCTCCCGCTCTCTGGAGAAAAAAAAGCTGCGCCTGCTTTTCTGGTCATCATCATCCCCAACCTGACACTTTGCTCTCAACAGTCCGCCAACTGCCTTCTTTCCCCGTCCTCACCTCTCCCTTTCCCGGCTCAAAGCACAAGTTGCGCGCTGCAGTCGACACCGACGGCAGGAAACTACTAATCCGCAACCCTCCATATCCAAACCCCTTCATTCCAATTACTCCGCACTGTCGGCTAGTCAGTGCACTGCATTATTTCTGACCTGAGTCGGGACACCCTCTTTTTCTCCATATTTTCTCCAACCCACGAACAACCAAGCACCCAGCCATGTCGCGCTATCTCCGACCCGCAGTCCGCCTGGCTGCCACGGCCTCGCGTGTCCAGGTTGCCCGTCCTGCCGCCCCGTCCTTCTTCAAGCCCGCCTCCGTGGCCGGTTTCCAAAAACGGACCTACGCCGATGCTCCCGCCGGAACCAAGGACTACACGGTCCGCGATGCCCTGAATGAGGCCTTGGCCGAGGAGCTTGAGGCCAACGACAAGGTGTTTGTCATGGGTGAGGAGGTTGCTCAGTACAATGGCGCATACAAGGTCACCAAGGGCCTACTAGATCGCTTCGGCGACAGGCGTGTTATCGACACACCCATCACCGAGATGGGCTTCACCGGTCTCGCCGTCGGTGCTGCTCTCAGCGGTCTTCACCCCGTCGTAAGTAAACTCTTCAGAAGGGACCCATCATGACGCACGCGGGACCAGCCATGACTCGAAGTCTCCCCTGTCACTAGAAGCTTGGTTTATCCTAAGCTATACCTCTAGCCCTACATCAGTTCAGCCCTATGGCTGCGACTACGCCCATGATAGTAACGACGGCTAGCAACGAAACAGAAACAAACATATAGCAGCAGCACACAAGCTAATCATGTTCCTTCTTCCCAAACATCTAGTGCGAGTTCATGACCTTCAACTTCGCCATGCAGTCCATCGACCACATCGTCAACTCTGCCGCCAAGACTCTCTACATGTCCGGCGGTATCCAGCCCTGCAACATCACCTTCCGCGGTCCCAACGGTTTTGCCGCCGGTGTCGCCGCCCAGCACTCGCAAGACTACAGCGCCTGGTACGGTTCCGTCCCTGGTCTCAAGGTCGTGTCCCCCTGGTCTGCCGAGGACGCCAAGGGTTTGCTTAAGGCGGCCATCCGCGACCCCAACCCGGTCATCGTGCTCGAGAACGAGCTCATGTACGGCCAGGTCTTCCCCATGTCCGAGGCCGCCCAGAAGGACGACTTCGTCATTCCCTTTGGCAAGGCCAAGATCGAGCGCGCCGGCAGCGACCTGACCATCGTGACCATGTCGCGCTGCGTCGGCCAGTCCATTGTCGCCGCCGAGGCCCTCAAGAAGAAGTACGGCGTTGAGGTTGAGGTTCTCAACCTGCGCTCCATCAAGCCCCTTGACTTGGACGCCATCCTCAAGTCCATCAAGAAGACGCACCGCCTCATGACGGTCGAGTCCGGTTTCCCCAGCTACGGTGTCGGTGCTGAGATCGTTGCCCTGGCTGTTGAGTACGGCTTCGATTTCCTCGATGCTCCTCCCCAGCGTGTCACCGGTGCCGATGTCCCTACGCCCTACGCCCAGGGGCTCGAGGAGATGGCCTTCCCTACTGAGTCTCTTATCGAGAACCACGCCGCTAAGCTTCTCAAGCTTATCTAAGTGGGTGTATAGGTGTGATAGGGTACGTTGGGTCTAGAAAAGACACGGGTAGGATGGGAAAAAATACAAAAGCTCTGAAGACTTCAGATGATTAGACTTAGCTTTTGAATGTAATGATTGTGAATGCATTTGCGAAATGGCCTGGTGAACATTTTGTGGTTTGGAGCCGCGTATGTGTTGGAGAAATGGGTTGTGGAATACTGCTGTCTTTCTCTGTTTATTGGCGCAATTTCTGTTTGACTACAAAGAGACGATGGTGACCTCGACAAAAGAATATCTGGACTGGCTAATCTGATGAAGTGATCATCAAATTGTTATGGTGTCTTACCTGTCCGTCGTAGTCATGAGCATCACAAACCACACCATGATGGTGCCCACAATCAGATAAATCATGACCACGACTTATATCTTCGCTGTTTCATGACGTACATCCGGTCATCCTCCTCTGTAACGACAGTGTCCTCCGCCCGGTCAGAGGCATATGCATAACCTGAGATACATGGTGTAGTATTTCTTCCAGAATCCGATAAACGCTGATAATACTTGCACCAGTATCTTTAATATTCTTCACTTTCCTTCGATGCTTTCGCTCGGGTATCCGGGTATCCGTCTCTACCAAACCGTAAAATGCAATAAACATACGTGACCGCTTTTCTTCGAAACCCCCTCAAATCAAAACAAAATCGAAAGGCAACTGATCCGCACATTTGATTCCGGATCTCTTAATATCGTTGTCCCAGATTCTTCACGTATAACTCCTATCAGACCATCCATGCGTGTCTCTTATTAGATCATAAGGTGAATGAGAACCAGCTCAGACCCGGATTCCGGAAATGGCGAGCTTCCAAGCTTAAGAAAGCACGGAGAGATGCCTGTTTGAGATTGGCGAGTTGATCTTGGATTGAGGCATACGCATCTGGGAACAGTGACCGTTCACTCCTGCTAGTGCTGAATCTGGGACTCTCCACTGCACGGTCCAATACCACCGACAACCTTTTTGTCAGGATTCTGGCTGAAGAAGGTCGCTGCCGCTTTGCCCTTGGGACATTGCTTGTTCGGGTTTCCTTCATCCTTGGTAACCATAACCTTGGTGCAGGGCGTGAACTTATTCGCACCGTCGTACATCCAGCCTGCGCAGCCCGGGTCACCGTTGAAGCAGCGGTTGCAGCACTCCTTGCTGGAACTGGCTGCGTCGTAAGTGGCCTCGTAACCACCGACCTCGGTGCCCATCCAGGCGAGGTGTTCGATGAAGGTGCTGGTGTCGGTGCATTGCTTGGCTAGGTTCTATAGACAGTTCTGTTAGCTGGGAGTCTTTCGTGACGAGGGAGTGATAAGGTGAAGCTGAACTTACGGTTGAAGTCGGCGAAGCTGCGGGCAACGTCGAAGTTCCGGTAGACAATGACGAGGGTTCGATCGAGGAAGTGGCGGAGGCCGTGGACTCAGGAGGCGTACTTGTTGATGTTAGCGATGTGGACGTTCCTGACGGATATGGATCATTCGTATGGAGGACAACAGACTTGTTGTGGTGGCTGTCAAGCATGCCCAGGGCTCCGAGAATGGCCAAGATGACGGCGATGATGCCCAGGGTAGAGATACCGCCAATCATCCACCATAGCTTCGCGATTTTCTTGTACCATGGCTTGTCGCTAGGCGGGACCCAGATGACCTCGGGCTGCTCATCCGCGGTATGTTGGGACTCTTTGGTCTTGAAACTGCCTCCAATGCTGGCAAGATTGGCGGCTCCTCCATTTCCCCCGTTGTTGTGATGCGCCTCTTCCAGCAAGCCGGGGTTTTGGTCGTTGTTGGCGACACCGGTGCTGACAACGAACTCGGGAGGGGGATTCGCCCAGGTCTCGGCGAACTGGTAGTCCTGGCCGTAGGATTTGAACGTCTGGCTCTGTTGCGAAGTCATCTCTGGACGAACTTCCACAGCTGGCTGGTCGCTCGGCCCAGCGTTGCGGCCTTCTGATGCCATCGTACTGATACTCTGGTGTAATGTCCTAATCTTGGGCCCTGGTCAGTTGGTAGACCTACAGTTCCTTGAGGGATTGCAGAATCCAGTGAAAAAGTAGATGCGAAAGTGGGAGTTGGGTAAGGATCGCTGATGTGGCTTGCAAGAGACCGCTTAGATGTCGTAAGAGGAGTCACACGGGGTCCTTGGGGGGTGACGAGCGCTGTCTTCTTACCTTTTCGTCTGTACAAAATCACCTCGCTGGTCAGAATAGAGGCGGCAACAGAGTCAAAAACCGTCGATGGCTCGCAGTAACGTTGTGACGGTAACAGGTTGAGGTGTGATATGGAAGCACCACCAGTTTGACAAGCCCCTCGTCCCGCAGATGTCTGGCCGTCGGGGGGTTCTATGTGTTGGTGGCCGTGGGTATTTCCAGAACGAGTCCGGGCCTAAAAAAACGTCCCAGGTTTGCGAGGATATCGGGGATGGTAACGTACCTGAAAGATTGTCTGAAAGTTCTAGATCACTTGGCGAAGTGTTCCTACCTTCCTGCTGCTGAAATAAAGTGGAGGTTACTTCGTAAGTCAGCTTTCCACTTCCATCCGACTGAAGTGGAAGTAAGTATCAAGTCGGCAAGAGGGGGAGGGGTGGGAAGGAAAGGAGGAAAGGGTGTCGCAAACACTGACAAATTTGGTGAGTTGCACTCTTGACTTCCACTTCACCCACCTCAGTTATGGATCCCGTCCGAATGAATTCGAAGTAAAGGTCAATGTCGAATGGAAAAGAGGGAAGATTGGCAGTGTGCACCAAGATTGGAAACGTTGACTGATTACCTCTACCGATGGTGTTAGCGTGTAACTCCCAAGTCGTCACACAATAGCCGTTTGTGCCTTCCCAGCCCGTTCTTGACAGTGCACGGGTTGATCATCTATGACACAGGTTTGAATTCATCGTTCGATCTCGTCTTGCCTACGCCACTATGGACAGCTTGAGCAGCGAGGAATCGCGACAGGGCCGGATAGAGACGTGGAACAAGATGCGGCGAAAAAAACCAGAAAAACGAACATAACTAAACCCTTTATTGTCGACGCTATTGCATGCTGACTGGTTACAGTCAAATGAATTTCCCAAACAACACGACCAAAAGGTAGAAAAAGCATTTCCCATCTCAGTACTCACGGGTTTCAGAGAGCCAATGTTGGTAGGAAACGCGAGCAAACCACTGGAATGCAAACAACACCACAGCCCTTCCTGGTGGTTTCGCCCTTCTGAAACCTTGAAACCATGCTATGTGCAACTATCCGCCCGTTTCGGCTCACAGAGTACCGTTACCCCATGGAAATGATGATTGTGAAGAGAAGAGAGAGAGAGAGAGAGAGAGAGAGAGAGACGGATCAGCAATCAGCGAAGAAAAGCTCAAGTAGACCAACGACTTTGTGAAGGATACTATCTCCTGAGACATGTCGTGACCAACTCGGAAACCAGCCAAAGCGCCCTGACGCTTGGGATTAACTGCAACATGGAAGACATCCTCTGAAATAATGGCAGATCTATTAGCATCGTTTCGCGTATCGTAACGATCACATCGCGATGCTGAAATGCCAGACGAGAAAGTCAACAATGTTGTTGATTATGGATAATGGCAAATGGACACTACGATTCGGCTCCTTCCGAGATTGACCCCTGACAAGAGCCTCCCACAGCTGTCAAATGGTCCCTGTTCAGTTGCCGAGAAAGCAAGGGACCACGCCAAGGCGTGGCGTAACCGGGCAAAAAAGTGGCGCTCACCGTACGGATCATCCATGATCCCTGGAGCGATTCCATATCTGGAGACTCTTATCAATAACAACCAACTTCCTCTTCGACTCTCACTTTTCATGGCCACTCATCAACCATCCGCGCTACAATCATACAATCTTCACTGAATCATACTCAGTTGTTCAAATGACTTTTGGTATATCATCTAGTGCTCAAATTACGAAGAACAAAGCGCACAATACTATACAATGACATTCGCACCACAAAGCGGGCTCAGGAAAGAGCCGGGACAAAGATGGGCTTCAATCCTGGGTTAGCACAATGGACTCGGTTACTAAAAATGGCTGGACAATGCCGCCTCGAGATCTCTCTTTCAAAATGTTTGGTTGAGATGTCATTGTTCGATTCGTACTCGGTACTTGACGACCATGGCCATCATCGAATTCTTTACTTCATAAGTAGGGGTAAAAACCCTGATGCCATAGCCATGTTGTTCATCGAACAGCGACATTAGAGCTACAAAGATCACTTTTGGGTGAAAGAAACACACTCAGCCAAGATGGCTCCACCACAAGAGATCATCAACCGCGCCCCTAGGGAGGCCATGGACGTGTTCATCATGGGGGCCAACGACAAAGGTCAACTGTGCATGGGTCCCGGTTATAGAGAGCGCACAATCGTTCAAAAGCCGGCGCGAAACCCTTATCTAAGCGAGGATCACCAAACCGTTGCTATAGCCGTGGGGAACAACCACTGCTTAGCGCTCACAGCAGATAACCGGGTCCTGTCCTGGGGCTCGAATACACACGGCGCCCTCGGCCGGACAACGCGCCTATGGCAGCTTGGCGACGGCAGATGGGTACCATGGAGTCGGGTTGAGGGCGAGGACGACAATCCAAACTCACCAGAAGGACGGAGAATCGATTCCATTCTGCAAACACCTCGCCATATCAACCCCATCGCCATCGAACGTGGCACCGTCTTCACTCAGGTGGCCGTGACCGATCATGCTTCCTTTGCCTTGACCGAAACGGGTGAGGTCTATGGATGGGGTGCTTTCGAGGTATGCATAATCCCCCTTCTCCCCCTTCTCCTTTATCATCTCCAGCAACATTACCTAACCTCAACATTCCACCGCACAAACAGTACTACGGCGGCGAGAACGATGCTGTGCACCGCTTATACGCCTTCCACCCCTACCATATGGAGTGGCCCGAACAAGGGCCATTGCGCAACCAACCTTCGCCCCTGAAGATCCGTTTCCCCACGGACAACCCGCAGATTATCCGAATCGCGTGCGGTTCCAATCACGTGCTGGCCCTTTCCAAATCCGGTCTCGTTTATTCGTGGGGTACCCCGGATATGAATATCCTGGGCCGGCGCTACTTGAGTCGCCGCCTACGAAACCCCCGCTACCGCCACGATCCCTACGGCAACATGAACCACCCCTTTGCGCCCGGTGTGGTGGCCAACTTGGTCAACATACGATATGTAGCCTGCGGTGCCAACTTTAGCTTTGCGGTGACGAAGCCGCTTACGCGCGGGAACCGCAAAGGGACACAGTTGTGTTACGTTTGGGGACAGAATGACGACATGCAGACGACGCTTCCTCTGTCGAAAGCCCCCTTTGTGGAAACACCTGGACATCCGGATGCGCCAGACGGGAATCGTATGAGGGTTGTCCTGTATCCGACGGAGGCGCCGTGGCTGAGCGGGATTGGGCACATGGACGAGGAGCCAGAGTCGGCGATCAAGACGATTTCCGGGGCCTTGAGATACGGGCTCGCGATTCGGCGGAACGGGTGGGGAGAAGTGTGGGGGAACGAACACGAGATGCCGAATGCCATGGGCGTGGTGAACCAAGACAACGAGCTGATGATTCCTGCTATTCCACCGGAGAATGATTATACCCAGGCTCCGCAGTTTGCCGGGTGGCACTACTTCCATGATAATCGCAGATGGGACCAGGTGGCGACGGGCAGGCAACACAGCATCGCAGTTGATCAGGACGGAAAGGTTTACGTCTGGGGTTCCAATGCACAAAATCAGTGCGGCGTGCCACGCCCCACCGGCTACCCTAACATTGATGTTATCGACCGCCCGACCCTGCTTCAGAGCTTTATTGAAGGGAGGATTACCCTCTTTGTTGGGGCGGGTGCAAGGTACAGCGTGTTTGGGTTTGCGAAGGGACGTTTCCAAAACGAAGACGGTGGGAACGTGGACGATGTTGAAGTACCGGCTGATTTCAGGCGGTCATTATTAGATTTCAATGACGATGATGTTGAAGTTGGGGGAGATTAATGCAGGTGGCTGGCCCATCGAGGGAATAATCATTAAGCACCCGTTGTGCTCCTTGGATATACTATATAGATTTTTTTTTTTTTTTTTTTGGATCATAAACCCTACATATCAAACCTTTGGATGCTAGAGAGGCACTTGTGTTTCATCATGATTATTTGTCTTGTCACTGCTGGGGCCATGCAGCCATGCCCGAATCTTTTAAAACTGGAATCCAGACCAAACGCGACCACCAGGAGGAGTATATGTTGTGGCCTTGCTCGAGTAGATATCGATCTTGAAGTCTCGCGTCAGCTTTTTCATGCCCAGAAACCACCTAATAGGGACAAGTTCTCTTGACTTACCGTCACGCCGGGGTCATTCTGAGGCGCATAGGTCGGGATTGAATACAAATAATCGCTAGGCGGAACCGCATTGCCCGAGCCCTGGACCACAATCTGCGCACACTCGGCATAAAACTGCGGCGTATTGGCCTGATGCAGAGCCAGCAGCTCATGCCTGATCAGGTAATTCCCGGGTGCCATGTTCCTGGGAATCTCGCTACTCCATTTGTGGTTCTTCACAATCAAGGCGGTTCCCCAGTTTGCGCTGTTCAGCTTGCCTCCCCACATGCCCATCTCATCGATCTTGAACCAGCCCTTTCCGTCGCCCTTGCAGGACGGACCAAAGGCGCCGGGGCACTTGAACAACCACACCTGAACGGGGCCTTGTTCGTGCGTCCATTGCTTCCAGACGGCGGTGACGTTGGAGCCGGCTTGCACGGTGGCGCTCAGCTGGGCGGAGGTACCGCCGTTGCAGCGCATCTTGGCGTCGGAGACAGTCATGGTCGGATCGTAGTTGGGCCATTGGAACTGGATGGTCTTGGGGGAGCTGGCAGGTGAGAAACCCTCGTAGCCTGGGTAGGTAGTGCCATCGATGATATAGCTGGTTACGGCACCGTGGGCGGCAACGAGCGGCGCGAAGGCCGAGAGAGCAAGGAGATCGAAGCGCATGATGGCTGGCTGTTGAGGGTATGTTTGTCTGTGTTTGGAAACAATAGTGTGGTGACTGATGGACTGGAGGTGAACCACGCAGAAGAAGTGAGACGTCTCTGCCTTTTATATCTCTTACTTCTTTTCTCAACGACATTACGAGACCATGTAACGCACCACAGAGTCTGGGATAGGATAGATTGGGCGGCACTGCTTTGTTGGTATTCATCGGCACTTGCTTGCCATTTCGCATAATTCCCAAGCTAAACATCCGGATTCCTCCAACTGGATAACAAACTTCCATGGCACGTACTATCCCGGGAGAGAAATTTTGTTCTTGTGTCATCGGGCAGCCATGGAAAAAGCTCAATGCGTAGCCACGGCAAGCGGTCCGACGGAGACTTGATGAGACTAGAGTGGCATTAAGGGGGGTTGAGATAAAGTAAACGAAGGAGGTGGATGGAAAGTAGAGATTGATGAAGCTTCCAATTCCAGGAATCAGTGGTGGAGGAGCTACATGGAAGGTAAGGACCAAGGTGTCAGTTAAAGAACCACCGAGCCGATTAGGTTATGTAGATAGATGATCGCACTCCTCTATTGCTGACCAGCTGTAAGCGACATGTATCATATCCTAGAGAAATGGTGTCTACACGGCATCGCAGGCTCCGGGGAAAGAATCTGGGGTGGGCTGATTGGCGGTGTCGCAAGGTTGATGGAAGACTTTTGGTAGATTATATGGAAAGAAGAGGGTATATAATACGCAGGGCCAATGGTATGAGCCAGGTTATTCAGGATAAAGGAGGCCGATAGATTAGGAAGCGGGTCATCCTGAGCGAGACAGGAAGTCTTCGGTATGAAGAAGCTGGTTAACAGGCGTCGAAGCCAGACGACAGCAAGGCGGTCACGGCGCTCGTTTCATCGTTGTCGGTATCACTAGAAGTTTTTCTGGATGTTGAGGCTTTTCATGTATCGAAGTCGCTTGGTCTTAGCCTGAGTCGAGTGAAGCTGAAAAGTGACAAGTCAATGGTGACGGCCGAGTATTCGCACTCAAGACATCAGATGTCAGGACCACATGTAGAGCGCAATCGTGGACCAAAAAGCAAACCAAGGTACGGAGTACCGAGTAGCTTTCCCTAGTTCGCGGTGTTGATCACTTGCTCCTGAGGTGTGATGTGACAATGACCTTTACCGTCCCGGAGGAGGATGATTGATGTTGGAAGACCCCGACTGACCCGAGCATGCACGATAAGTAACTGCGTCCACTTTATGCTTGTCAGTGCGGGACAACCATGGCGCGAATGCGGAATCAAGGACCCGTATGATAAAGGGGGCAAAATGCCAACTAGGGTGCAGGACATGCTATATTTTTTCAAAGAGACGGTAATATAATACTCAGGTGTTGTTTGAACAGACGTCCAGCGTTGTCAGACTTTTGAGGCTGTGATGACTGATGAGTGGAAGAACCGCGCTAACAGGTTAGGGTTAACAGGGCAACCCCTTCTTCCCCTCAGAAGCCCCGAAATCCTAGTCTGTCGCTCCCCCGCTCCTCGAAATTGCGTGGCCCGGCAGCGGACCCGGGCTTTCTGGGGACATTCAACGTCATCGTCTCAAGTTTTACAATCCGCGACGACTTCAAATACATCCCGATATCTGTAAGTGCGCTGCAAATCCCACACTGGCCGGGACGTGTTTTCGCACCACCCCTCTCTTTTCCAACCACCACCGGACTGTCTGCTTCGGACCTATTCCGGCTCATTGAGACCTTCAGCGGGTATTGTCGGAGCTGCACCGGCGTGTCTTCCGCTCATCTGATCCCGCAACCTATGAGTGGCCTCTCATAAGTTTGACTAAGAACCTAGACTGCCTCTATCAAGATAGTTTTTGCAGCCATCGGAATAAAACACATCCCTCGAAACAAACAAGCACTCACCAATTGCAGATCCAGGACACGACGCAACACAAAAAAAGGAAAAATTAAAATTGAAAAAAAAAAAAATCGCCCATCATGATTGACATGGCTCTCGACCACGGCTCCCTCGAGCACATCCTCCCCGTTTCGTGGAAGTCCCAAATAACAGCCTGGCTCGCTGAGGACACTCCTTCATTCGACGTCGGCGGTTTCGTTGTCGGCGACGCGCCGCGCACTGCCACTCTCTGGGGGAAGTCGCAGGGAATCTTGGCCGGCGTGCCCTTTTTCAACGAGGTGTTCAAGCAGTGCGGCTGCACCGTCGAGTGGCACGCGACCGAGGGCTGCCACGTCGAGACCCACGGCGGAAAGAGGGCGCTGGCGACCGTGACCGGTCCCGCGCGCGGCCTGCTCGAGGGCGAACGTGTGGCCCTCAACATCCTGGCCCGCTGCTCCGGCGTGGCTACTCAGAGCCGGCACCTGCTGGTGAACCTGCGGAGCGCCGGGTACAAGGGGATCGTGGCGGGTACTAGGAAGACCACGCCCGGATTCCGTCTTGTCGAGAAGTACGGCATGCTCGTCGGAGGAGCCGACACCCACCGCATGGATCTCAGCACCATGACCATGCTCAAGGACAACCACGTGTGGAGCCGCGGCAGCATTACTGAGGCTGTCAAGGCGGCCAAGGCGGCCGGTGGCTTCAGCCTCAAGATCGAGGTTGAGGTGCAGAGTGAGGAGGAAGCTGATGAGGCGATTGCTGCCGGTGCCGACATTATTATGCTGGACAACTTCACTGGTGAGGGCGTCAGGGTCGCTGCTCGCAGCCTGAAGGAAAGGTGGGCTGGCAAGAAGCAGTTCTTGCTTGAGGTTTCCGGTGGTTTGACTGCCGACAACGCCGAGTCCTATATTTGCCACGGTAAGTGTGCCGGATCAATCATCTCCAGTAGAAATGTCGCTGACAAGCACATTAGATATCGATATCCTTTCGACAAGCTCCATTCACCAAGGCGTGCCGCACGTCGACTTTTCGCTCAAGATCAACGTCGACAAGGGCACCGGCCCTGAGATTTCGAGCTAATGGATTCATATAATGAAGTTTTGAGTGCACGACACATTGGTATGATACTTTAAGATTCAAGCATGCAGTATTACCCGGCTTTGATGAGCTGGCTGTGTTGGGCCAGTTTGACCACTGTGAGTGATACGAACTTGGAGGAACTGGAGTTGCACAACAACAGGAGATGAGCGCCACCAAAATGGTACCAAAGTGTTATGAACTGACGTATCCGTAATCAATGCCAAACCTGGTGCATCATGTTCTCCAAATTCCAGCACCTAGATGGTTATTTTGGTTCCAATTCAGCCATCCAATATTGTGCCACGCTGAATAGTCTTCGAGTCTTGTTTTTGACACTCCCAGCTAGATGGCCGCAAAATGCAATACCACTGTTCACTGCGGATTGCTCTTCAGTGATAATTATTCCCACCCAAAATGATTTCGCCGCACCTTTTCCCTAACGCCGACATGCAATATAGTCTAGTAGTTCCAACAATCCCCAATCGACGATATGTTTACCCCGTCGCCTCCTCCAAAAGCTGCGACACCGTCACAGCTTTATACCCCCTCCTCTGCATCTCCGGCAACACCTTCCTCAACATGGGCGGCGTCCAGCTCCTCCGATCATGACAAATAATAATTCCCCCGGGGCTCAGCATACTGAGGATATGCCTCGCATTCAACCAGGCATACCCAATCTGGGCATCATGTGGATATATGCTCCCCAAAACCAAGCGATACCCCAATTTCCTGACCAGACCCAACATCCTCTCGCTAAAGAACCCTGATCCAGGCCGGTAATATTTGCCCTCAATGACTTGCTCTTCGACGGTCCCTCCTTCTCTTGTTCTTGTATCTCTTGTTTCTGTTGTCGTTGTCGTATCTGTCCCATCTGTTGTTCTTCCCTCTGCACCATGGCCAGCACTGCCACCAGGCCACACCCTCCCCTCAGCCTCATAAGCCTCTCGAATCAGTCCCTCCACCTCCTTCATCTGGCTCTCCAGCTCCTCATCCGCCAGCTCCCTCGCCATCTCATCATGCATCCCGTGATTCCCCAATTCATGCCCTTGCCTCACAATCTCCCTCAAGATCTCCTCCCTCCCCCGCACCTGGCCTCCAATGACAAAAAACGTCGCATGCGCCCCGCCCGCTTTCAAAGCCGCGAGAATCTCTCTTGTATGATCGGACGGCGCATCGTCAATGGTCAGGGCGACGATCTTGCGGTGCGGCGGCAACCAAAGGCGCCAGAGGACGTCGGTCCACCGTTGCGAAAAGTACCGGATCAAAGACGAGGGCGGCTTGTAGATGGTATAGAAGGGGAGCAGGAGGATGGAGGGGAGGATGAGCAGAAGGAGGATTAGGGTGGCCATGCGGGCGCGGCGGGTGCGGCGGCGGAGGACAGCGGAGGGAAGGGCGGCGAAGAGGGAGAGACGTGGGAGGAGGCGTGGCATATCGCGGGGTGTCGCGAAGAAGGATGCAAGGTTGAAGTCGAGAGTTGGGGGCGGGGGGAGGGCGGGTTATAGCGCCATTCCCTTCGTTCGTTGTAGCTTGTTGCAAGGTAGGATTGGGACGGCAGTTGGTATGGGTTTCGAAGATGATATCGGTCGGGGGTTATGTCTGTCTGTCCGTCTGGTACAGAACGAAACAAAGGGTTAGATAAAAGAGACGGCGGGTTGAATAGGAGAAGCAGCGGAGAGTTCGTTGGAGAGACGCGATTCGAAGGACGCATGGAATTCAATTAACCCGATAAGCGATAAGGCCATCAAGGGACCGATAACCTGATCTGAAGATGCAAGCTCTAGGGGATTGTGGGGCTCAGTGGGGCTCATTGTGGGGCGGCGTGGCCAGGCGAGCCAGGCTCACCAGGAACGGGCATGCTTTGGCTGGCAAAGCAAAGCTCCTGAAGTTGCTGAAATGATCACCGGCAACACGAAGGCACTGCAGTCAGTCAATTCAGGTTGCTCCTTTTATTCACAATGCTTCTTCAATTCAAAGCTGAGCAGCGTAGAAGACAGCGTCTCAAAAAGTTTGACAACCCAACAATGAACGTGGTATGTTTCCTTCTCTAACCCTAAATCCCTTGTTTTCCCTAACGCCACAACCATATGCCATCTTTGTTGCCTTCAACCTTTGAACGTGAAAACGCCAGATGCTCCCAGTTCCAAAACCCACGTGTAAACAGATCCAACAGCAACATACTACCTATTATGTAAACTTTTTCAAATCCTCCTTTTCCACCGTGCTGACAAAGGCATGGGTGAGGAAGTGCATCCAGACCTTGTTCTGCCTTTTCTTCCCCTTCTTCTTCTTCTTCTTCTTCTTCTTCCTGTCGTGATTCTTGAAGGTTTCCGTCTCCAACTCGTCTTCGTCCGAGTCATCGTCTACTTCTTCTCCATCACTCAGGTCAACATCTTCTTGTTCTTCTTCATCGTCTGCCTCTTCCACTTCCTCAAAGAGATCCCCCTCCTCCTCCTCCTCCTCCTCCTCCTCTTCGGCCGCGGACTCGTACGAGACATCATCAAGACTCTTAGCCTTGCCTTTCTTGGGCTGCTTACTTATCCGGTACGCAAGCTCAACATAGCTTTTGACTGTAAGATCACTCAGCTTGTACAGCTTATCATCAAAAGTACTGTATTCCACCTCAAAGTGAAACTCGCGCGGGTCCGGCGCCGGGTGGATAGGCTTCCTGTTGCCGTGCTTTCCTTTGCGCCAGCGGAGAAGCCAATCCACCCATGTCTCCTCCTCTTCATCGTGATCCAACAACGCAGACGAGGCCTCGGTAGTAATGTTGTTGATGTGCGTAAGGTTGGCAAAATACTGAGTGTAGCCTGTCAGCGTAAGGGGCTGTGGGGAGTAGGCCGGTCCTGGCGGTGAGCTTTTCGCAGGGGGGTGGGGAATGAGGAAGTCGGGTTTTTTCGGCTTGGAGTCACCACCCTTGTTCTTCTTCCCCTTTTTCTTCTGGGCGTCGATCTCGTCGTCATCTTCCATGTGAGAAGAGTGTCGTCGCTTGAGGTCGAGGTGCTTCTGCCTGTCATTTTGCTCCAATTCGATCGACATCGCGTCCTTGGCTGCGTCCCTCCAAACGGGCGTGTCCTCCAACCCCGAAATATTGTATTCGACGATACGCAGGGCAGGATAGTAGTTCGGAACGATGCTGGGGCTGACGAGCGAAAGCGAGTAGCGTTCACCCCACAAGTCGGGCTTCTTCTTCTTGCCCTTCCTTCCCTTCTTGCCTTTCTTCATTTGGCCAGAGTTCTTGGAGTCGGTGGGCGGCGGTTGAAGTTTTGCCCAGTTCTGACGTAGTTCTTGGAGGTAGTCGGCTGCTCCCGTCACCGAGAGCTCGTCGTCCATGGCCTCCCGAATGTCAATGCTATTATCGGCCAGCCCGGCCAGTTGGCCCACGTTGATGTCCCGCTCATCGTGAATGAAGAAATGGTCGATGTTCATATGACCAAACACACCGCTAACAACCACATCCCGATACTGGCGGAGCCAGAGGCTGTATTTCTGCCAGCAATTCTCGTCCCACAGCTTCTTGCTATCTGTCCGCGCAGGAGGGACATGGCCCATAAGAATGGCCTTCATGCCACGCTCCCGCATGATCTGAAGCTGGATGCGTAACCACTCCATCTGCTTGTACCCAGGCTCACTGGGGCTGGCGCAACCATCAGTCCCAGCATTGCGGTCGAAGAAGTACAGCGTATTCAGGCTGAAGATGGCGAGCCTGTTCGGGATAACCTCGACGTAGAACCACCCTCCGAATTGAAAGCTATGGCGCTGTGCTTCTGGGACAAAGCGGCGCCAGATATGCGTGTAGTGCTGCAGCCATGAGTTCGGCCCTGGGAGCAGAATGTTGTGTGGCAAGATGTCATTGTTTCCCAGCGTCGGTACTATGGGGATTTCGAGGTGACGGCCCGTCGAGTCAGAGAAAAGTTCGGCCATCTTGTCGGCGATCCAACGGTTGGTACCCAAAACTTGGTCGGCATTGCGAGGGACTCCCTCGTCGCTGTCGTGGCGGGCAGTGTCGCCGGTCCAGATGACAAAGTCGATATCGTCCTTGACGTTGGCGGCTATCCAGTCGAAGGTTGCGTTGACGAGGGCGAAGGGCGAGTCACAATCCGAGACCTCGGCGCCGTAAACGCCCGCAGGCCCTTTGCCGCGGTGGCAGGCATCAGCTTCGTCTGTGGAAGAGTGTGGCTTGTAGAACTGGTCGGGATGTAAATCTGGGATGACGAAGCGATTAGCTCTCAATGATTTGGGACTTTCCGATCGTCGCGTCTCTGCCCACCAGTAATGTGCAAAAATTTGCCGTGTAACTTTCTTGCAGAGTTCGCGATGGGTTGTGCGACTGTTTCTGCTGCTGTCTGAAGGTCGGTTGCAATCGGGATGTTGGATGGGACGGCACCCAGTGGGCTGGCAATGACGCCATGCCACAGGCAAGCCAGTCCTAGAATGCACCGGCTGAGTGACATTGGGTGCTGCCTTTGGGACTTTGTTGGAGACTCTGAAGACTTGAGAGCCGTACAGAGGAACAAAGTCGAAGATACCATCTTCAGGAGAAGAAAAAAAGAAAAAGAGGACGGTTCAAACTGAACTATGCTTTTTTTACATAGTCGGTGGCGTGTGTCGTAAAAATTCCTGGAAGTCGGCCGGTGAAAGATTCAGTCAAAAGGGAGCCCAAACCAAGGCTTTTTGAAGATCGGTAACACGCTTCTCCATTTGACCTTCTTGGTCCCAGTCCTTGGCAACTTGGACCCTGAATAGTGGGCTCTAGACATCACTGGTGACCGCAGTGGCCAAGTGGAACGCCGAGTTGGCGTCTGGGGGCTGGAACCTGACCTCGATTGAATGGATCCGATGGACAGCGGTCAGGCGCACACTTGCAGACATCAAGGTGCTTTATTCCCTCTTTTAATTAGGTCCCGTCGTTTTGATGTAGGATCGTCCCCAACGTGGTTGTCATCCAGCATACTTACGCCTTCGTTGGTTAATATGCTTTTCTTGGACATATAATCTGCTTTCGATCTTCGTAATATAATATTTGACCTTTTCCCCATTGCTCTTCCCCCGTCTGTATGTGCGAAATATGTCTCGAGATACGGATAGGTATTCACAGCGGGCTCATGCCCCAAGAAACCATGGCAGATATCACGACTTTTTGCTTCAATATTGTCGGTACAGGGTGGTACGAGGCTTAAACGTCGTACCTCAGATGGGACCTTGCAAGACACCAATATCTGTTCAGGATCATCCCCACGTGTAACTCAGAGAGGGGTGCGCACTGATACGCAAAATGCGTCGTCGAGCTGACATGGATATAGGCAACCACCGAGATGGGACACATGAGCGTGCCGCCAGAGACCATGTCGAACATGTATCACTGCCATCAAGGTGGCGTCCTTCACATCAGATGAAACTTCTAGAGGCTACCACTCCGAGTCGTGTAACTCCGGACGAAGAGGAGAAGAGTCCGGCTCCAGCCTGTACATAAAAGAAGCGTGCATTGTCAACCGGGAATCACGTCCTCGTGAGCAGAACCAAGAAGAGCTGTCAATTATCTCCGTTGTACATCTGGAGATGATGTCAGGTTTTGGTGGGTGCGTTGACTAAAAACGAAGTTCCCCACCACTGCCCTGCCGCCGTCGGTGCCGCTGCCGCTGCCGCTGCAGTGCCGCCAGCTGAGTGAGCTCGACGTCGACAGCGCGCGGGGCAAGCACAGTACATTCAACTCTTTACCGTAACTATACACTGTATGGCATCCGCGCCCATATCTTGAAATTTTCGCCGCGCTTTCTCTTCTGTTTCTTTTTTCCTTTTTTCTTCTCCATACATATACATCAATTCAACGCAACCAGCGCCGCCTCCAAGGACTTTTGTTCCCCGTGTCCAGCGAGTGCTCATAATTGCTAGTTGCTAGAGTAACACCGAACAGTTTGAGGGAATCCGGAGCACATGCTGTGATGTTTTCCTATGAAATCCCGGTCACATGTCCAATCGTCCACTTGATCTTTGTGTGTGTTTCAAAAAACATGTGTTACTGCCGAGATATCGCGCAAAAGAGAGCCGCTTGTCTCTGCTGATCTGTCGAAGCCCGACGAAACTGAACTTGCGCGCCTGCCCTCATTGTGACCAAGCCTGACCACTCGGCATCGAGCAGTGTCTGGCAAGATCACATTTCCAGCCAGCCAAACTTCGGCTTCCCTGTTGCGCAGTTCCCGATCCGTTTGTCGTCGGCATATCAGATGTACAGTAGCTTCCGATCGGCGCTTCCGAAGGACGACGGCCCCTCCTTCGAAATGTGCTCGAAATGCGTACGGTCAATCAGTGGCTGAGCTGCGTGCCAGACATAGCGACTTGTTCTCTACACAGTTTCCACTTCCCACGTTGTTCTTTTAGAGACGGAGTATCGAGGTCCCGAGGGTCGCTCCGACTCGATGCTTCGTAACCTAGCTGTATGATGTAACGCCACACAGATCATCCGTCGTTAGCTATAGTGTAAATTCACAGACTATCATATCACATATTCCACTGAGAATGTCCAATCAGCCCCAATCTCTAGTTTGATCAACTTCTACCCATCAAGAGCGGCCATCCGTTCCCTATCATAAGAAGACCTATACCTACCTACACAGGAGTCACAAACCTCAAAGTATCTCCGCTGAAGTAGCCAGGCACGAAAGTACATACCTACCTACTTGCAAATTAATTTACGACTTCTCAACTTCAAGCACTTTCTGGCACCTATCTACTACTTCGAGAGTAATCAGTAGTGCCCCACTGTCTGTATCAGTGTCCTTTATAGTCGATTGTGGACTGCACGTTGGTTCAAACATACCGCCGGGTTTCAGGTAGATGAATGGGCTGAATGTCATACTCCAATATCATTCCGTCAAAGAGAAACTGATTCACCTCGAAGACATCCTGCAGTCACATACATACTGTGTACACTCCGACTTCAAGCTCAAATGAGACCGAACGGGGATTTCTCGCTCCTCCTCGTGTATGCATGATCGAGAGAGAATACCGAAGTGTCCAATAGCAGCAGGATCCCATGTCATCATCCAACCTCAACCCCCCTCCCAAACTCGAAAAGAAACTGACAAGAAACCGGGAAGAAAACCCATTTCGCGCTTATTTTTGTACTTTGTCTTGTGCTACAATTTTCCCTATAAATATTTCAATGGAACAAAACCCACGCACGTGTCTTTGATCATGGTAGCGAAGGCTTACCGGAAGCGGGCATCTATTGATCTCTTCCTCCCCCACGCCCACCCTCATCTCCATCTCCCCCTTAAACAGGGGGAAAGTCAAGATACGGTATCGGTGTTCGATATCCAAAAGTAACAGAAAGAAATTCAATGTCGTCTGCATCTTCGGCTATTCTAAATATGGCGTTATGTTTGGATGGGTAGTGTAAACGGATGTGTCAGGTAATCTTTTCCCCATAGGATGTCTCGAGATGTAAAACCCAAGAATATATCGATATCAAAACAGCGTGAAGATCTCCCAATAGCATCTAGACTTACAGACTGCAATCCAGCCCTTGTCGTAGGGTATATGTACTACTTCTCCCGCGGTGACTTTCGTGGCAAGCTGGTAGGTTGGTGCAGCGGGCACGTTTGTGTGGCCCCCCTCCTTCCTCCTGTTCCCCCGGCTCTCATGTACGCTACGCGTTCGAACCCGGTAGCTGTAAGTCCACATCTCTTGTTCTCAATTTTTTTTCTTTCTGGCACATTTCCAGCTTTTTGTCTAGTTTTATTCCTGGGGGACTTCACTTCCAGCCATAAAGCGTCAAGCCGTTGAAGTTCAAGCAAAAGCAAACGATAATCTCCGTGCTTCACAGGCCAATAAGTCTAGTCGATACACACCTCTAACCGGCTACTTCATCATCACCTCCACCCGAGAGCACACCCTCGACACTCGAAATGTTGCAAGCAGAGGGCATCGAGAAGAACAGCCGAAGCGGAAGCATCGACGAGGGGAAGATCAGGAATGCAAAAAAAGTAGCAACCCATGGGGACAGCAGCAGTGACGTGTTTGATACTGTCTATACATGAGACATTCTTGTTTTGGGTGCTGGGTTTATGTCGGTTCATAGGTAGATTAAATCGCACACCCAAGGCTGCTTGCTTTGCTGATTTCCGCACGCGAAGCCTACCAATCACCTCCTAGAATCTCTCAACCCACTCGTCGTGTATGCTTCTAGGCTCTCAGTCCGTAACCAGCAAGATGATCATGTCCCTAAGCTCGAAAATGCACGCGTGTACCCAGTAATCGCATGCATACCACCGCCATTTGGGTTTGGACCAGCAGCAAAACCCCATAAGCAAACCGAGGAAGTGGCATGACACCGGTATCTAGGCCGTCGTATATAAGTAGTAAGAAAGTAGAAGAGGGGAGCAATATGACATAAAAAGAAACCCATTACATCATTAATCACTTAAATCATCAACCGCATATCAAAATCCATACATCGACATCGTGTATCCACTCTCAAGTTCCTCTTGTTCTTCCCATCTAATCCGTCTTCATCTCATCCGTTGGCAGTGGTGAACCTAGTGTCACCTCCGGGCTGCGACGCAGCCTCATCGCTTCCACGTAGCTCGTAGCAGCGGAAGGTGTTCCAGTCGACTGCGGCTCCTTGGATAGGTTCCCATCAGCATCACCCATTTCCCTGTCGATCCTTTCTTCTTGCCCCTTCGACGGGACAATCTGATTCTCCAATGTTGGCTCGGTTACAGATACCTGTCTAGGTAAATATGACGAAGAAGGGGGCAGATATGCCTCTGATGGTGGCTGTGGGAGAGGTGCTTGGATTTCTGATCCAGCAATCTCTTGCTCAGGCGCGTCCCTGCCAATACTGGCAAGCATTGCTTCATTCTCCAACACGGAGTCGGCGACTAGCTTGAGATTTTGTGCGTCCCTGGCGCTGAGGCCTTGCTGCTTAATAGGCTCTGGCTCTGGATGATCTCTTGGTAGGGTTTGGATATGAGGAGGCGGCGGTAGCGCGTGCGCGGACTCTCGGCGCCGATGCATCTCAAGCTCAATATCGAGCTCTTTTCCCTTGTCGGTGCTTGCAGTGGTGGGCGTCTTTGTGGCTAAAGAGTCCTTCCTGGTGGTTGCGCTGCTGCTGCCCGCCGTCTTTGGCGTGGACGGGACGATGACATTCAAAACGCAGTCGTCCAAATGTTCGTAGAATTCTTGCGCGGTGGCAAACTGACTTTGGCAGATGCTACATCTGGCGCCAACCCCACCGGACCGCCCCCCGGTGGTCAATATCAACTTTCTACTATTTGGTGGTGTCTGTTCAACGTTGTGCACGGCGGTCAAGTGGCGTTTGAACACATCGGCCCGGTTGAAAGCCTTCTCATATGCCGTCCCAGCTCCAGGACAAAAGGGGCATACCATGGTGCCCTTGTAATGCGTCAGCGCATGTCTGTTTTTGTCATACTTTCTGGCAAATCCCTTAATGTGGTACTCGCAGGACTCTATAGGGCACTTCTCGGGTCTTTCTTCCATGTGTGTGAGCATATGTGCCGTGAGATCCTTAAACACTCGGCCGCATTCAGGAATAGGACAACGGTTTCGAGCAGATGAGGTCGCGCTGGGCGGATGTGATGACTCATCGGCTTTCAACCCCGGGTTGGGAGCAAGGAAAACTCCCTGGCCGCCTTGCATTACGAGTTGCGGCGGCCCAGTAGCGCCAAGCCTGTCAACTGAAGGCATTAATAACGGCGGACCATGGTGTGGTTGTGATGGAGGAGGTGGTGGTGGAGGAGCTGGGGCAAGACGTGGTATCTCCAACACTGGAGCATGTTGTTCAGTCGGTGACATAAAGTCATGCATCGACTTGTAGTCTTGTGTCTCATCTTCACCACTTGAGGCGTCATCCTGATCCTGAATATCGATGGACTGCCGAACCTCACGCATCCAGTCCTTGAGAATCGCCATGGGCGGCCAGTCTCCGCTTGCTTTGCCCCCTCGATGAGGGTTGAAATGCGCTCTCCTCAGATGTGCAGCGGCATTGTAGTAGGCTCCATATCGTTTCTGTGTTACGCATGCCTTACACTTTGCCAACGGAACGACGGGTAACGGGGAGCCTGGCTCGTGCGGTTCCGTGCATACCCACCTCTTAACCAATGCAGCGTGTTTCGCATCGTTGTGCCTCCGAAGTTCATGCTCGCCTCGGAACCCCTCTGGATATTCGTTGCACTTCGTACAGTATACTCTTCGTAACGGTGGCCGCTGGTATGACGATCTGATTCTTGCAGCAGCAATGGGTGACGTTGGGCCTCGGCCACCTCCTCTCATGTATGTTGGGCTTTCAGCAACAGTATGCCGCCTTCCCGCCTCCATCACTTGAGAAGTCAGGATCCGATCTGACTCTCCTGTGAAAACATTGTAGGAAAAAGGCTCCTTCTCTGGTTGGGTTGATATCCTGGAATGCCATGGATTGGCAATCGATCGTGTATCTGGCAGTGGCTTTCTGGCATCTTCCCCCGATCTTGTAATGGGAGGCAGAAGAAATGACCCCGGCTTTGCTGGTGATCTCTGCTTCAGGAACCCATTGAAATAAGATCCTTCTATCTCCCCACTACCAAGATACATCAGAAAGTCCTTGGTGGTTGCGATACCCCGTTCAGTCCACGTACCCCTTTCCAATATAGTGGCTGCGGAAGTCAATAGCTCGCGGTCACCATGACTCATCTCGATGTCAGACCCGTCAAGCAGCATAGGCGCGGACCAAGTGAATACGCTCACCAGCGCTTTGTACACGGCATGCATGGCAGGAACGCCTTGCTGAGAAGGTGAAGTTATCCGTGATTGCGCCATTCGGTCCACCAACAAAGTCCTCACTACACTGAATATGCATAGTGAGTAGAAAAGGGCGAGCCAGCTCCGGGGATCCGGTATTGTAGGTCGCATTGTCTGGGCTTCAAAGGCCTGGAGAAATTGTGTCATGCAGTTGTATAACACACGGAAGCGACCGCACGTGTCCACATCGTCGAAGACCACATGGCTTCCGGGGCTCGTCATCTCTCCATGAATTGCGGGTTCCGGTTGCTGGAAGTCGTAGAAAAGCGTTTCACGAAGCAGAAGCTTGGCGCGATATAGGACAGGGTAGGTCGTCACTTCGTGCATCCGTCCGTCTGAGATCGAGCCGCTCAAGTGTAGCAGTTTCCAAAAGTTGTACATGGTCCCATTCAGGTTCCAACTGGAGGCAAGGACGTTTAGAACAGGGGGTGACCGTTCAACGGGTTCCTGAGAGAACGAAGCGAGTGTTGGATTGGCGAGCGGCAGGTTCGAGAGGTCGTCTGTCCACCAAAAGCGATCATTGAAATCCAAATGAGCCTTCACCATGTTGGTGACATCTGGGCCAACAGCGTAACCTCTGTCCAAGAATTCGTTCATGCTGCGGCGAATAGCAAGAGGAGAAGTCATGGGCGTCTGCATCTGTCTGGGTGACAGATAGGCTGGAAGATCGATCAGCAGTTGAGGTATCACATATGGCAGTATTCCACGTACCTGGAAGCATAATGTCGGTGAGATTACTCAGTGATCCTCGAAAACACCCAAGGGCTCCCCAGAAATCATTATTCGGAGAGCTTGCCATGTCGGGGCAGAACGCACAGGGATCATTGGAATCGCACTGTACAAGTTAGTGGATAGTTCCGTGGATCGCAGGGGAAATTTACTCACGCTCTTCTTCATCGTTCTACACCGTAGACAGGGCCCATTTTCCCTCAGAAGTCGAAGCTCTCCTATGGACTCCAATCGCGGCTGGCCTACTCGGCTACGCTTCAGGGGCGGAAGTAACGGGTCAACCTCGGAGTCAACCGAGCCTCTAGGAGGTCCAGGAGGCTTCTCCGGAACAAAAGAATAGCTCTTAAGGGCTTCGCGGTGATCCTTTGGTTGGCTACTCGTTGCTAGAGGAGCAAGCTGAAGGCCCGAGTTAGGACGAGGGAGGTGGTGATATGAAGAGGGTGGTTTGTGATATTCTCCATTATAGCTCGCACTCAACGGCTCAGGGAAGATCATGGGCGGGGTGCCACCGAAGGAGAGACCTGAGTCCCTCTTGTACACGGCCGCGTGCTCTTTAACATGCTGGTCCCGGTCATCTGGATGAGGATATCCGTAGATGTAATGTGTGCAACGTTCATCCCAGCACTTGTGGGAGTGGTGTTGACGGAAAGCCAGTGGCAAGCTGTCGCGCAACCGAACAGCTTTGCAGACGGGATCGTAATGTGACAAATTCCTGTCCAGCCAAGCGGCATACCCTTCCGGTGCTTGGTCGCGATAGAACGCGTACTTGAGCACGTCAACGAATCTGGGGTCACCGAGATCGACGCCTAATGGCAACACAGATGGGTTTAGAACAGATTCAAGACAAAACGGGCGGGACGATGGTGACCTACCGTGCTCGAGACATGCACTTTCGATACATTCGCACTGATACTGAAGTGATCTTGCTTCCTCGATGTCAGACAAGACGGGAATCTTGTCAGACAATACTGTTTACGGCGCCATCAGCACGGGTGGCGCTTGGGTCGGTCCCACAGACCGGGACGTGAAGCTAATAAAACATGACGGGATAATGGATGTAATGAGATGAAGAAAGGCAGAGGGGCGGAAAGGCTCACGATTCTCGTCGGCATATGCGCGCAGGACACGGTACTTATGGCGCAACATGTCAAGCTCCACCTTGATGTTGGGTCCATATTTCTGAGGAAGAAGAGCGGCCAGCTTGGCCTGGATCTCGGCTTGTTGGTCGAGTAAGTGCTTGATGGCGGGATCCAGGGATGAGCCATAGGGCACAGAAGAAGGTGGCGGCGCAGATGGATGAGGATGGGCGTGGGTGTGGGCGTGAGGATGTGCGTGACTGTGAGGATGAGCCACCTGTTGAGGTGCAGCTACGGAGGCTGCAACGGAGCCGGGGCCGGTACCGGTAGCCGGACTGTGCCCGGGGCCGGGACCAGGGCCCGGAGGTGGTGCAAGGACCGACGGCGGAGGTGGGGGCGGCGGCGCAGTTAATGAGTGACGATGGTCCGGGCGCGAGAGGGCCGGCGACTGGACCGGTTGCGCTGGCGCCGGAGGCGGAGGAGGTGCGATATGTTCGGTGGCCATGGCGCGTGTGGATGAACAATAGCGTTGAGATTGGGGCCGGCGCTAAAGATGACTGCCGACCAGGTCGCACTGCCGGGTGCGTAGGAGATGAGGCGAGCAAGATTGAGAAAGCCTCCAGACCCGACGACAACAACAGTGATAGCGACGGGCTTACTCGCCCAACAGGCAAGGCGGTGCGAGACTGAAAAAAAAAACCGAGCACACCGAAGTCCCGTCTGGATGAGGTCCCCTCTGGATACTGCCGATGGCCCTGGGCAACCAGTGTTGCACCAGCTTCAGCTTGAAAGCCCACCAGCGAACTTTTTCCAATCTTCACGCATCAACAAGGGCCTTTGTGAGTTGAATTGCGCAACATGGTAGAGACGAGACGAGGGGCTGTGACGGACTGCGGCTTGTGGAAGCTGGGGTGTTTGGGCAGCCAGCTGCGTTGCATTACAAGGACATTCTGCTGGCGCGGACGTCGGGGCGGTACGGGGTGGTTGACGGCAGTCGGTGCTGTACGGGAGACGGAGGAGGGAATCCAGCGGATGGGCCGATGGGGAAGCGGATGGAGAAGCGGGGAGGCGGAGATAGATGACGGGGAGGCGCGACAACGGGGGTCCTGGCCGATGGAGAAAAGTGGAGGATTTTGTTGGGTTAATGTTCGGTGCGGTGCCGTGTGGGTTTTCCGGAACTGATGTGCGTGGGCGGGTTGAAGGAAAGCTCGCTGCAGGGCCTCGGGCTGCTCAGCCTCAGGCAACGGAGATGGTTCCTCCTTGCTGAGGAGAGCACGTAAAAAAAATGTGGACGAGTCCCCACGAGGGACAGGACGACAAACGTAGGTTTTTTTACATCTCTTTTTTTTTTTTTTTTTTTTTTTTTTTATGACGAGCTACTACAGTAGCCAGTGCGGTGGGATGGAAGTCAAGCGGGATGTGCGAGTCCAGTCTCCCGCACTTTCATATGGCTTGTCTGCCTGCCTGCCCCGGAGAACTGCACTACTACCAAGGTAGGTAGGGTAGATGGATGATCACAAGTCTTGAGCGGGAAGGTAGTGACCGCGGGCTGAGCTGATGGATGCCCTGGGGCTGTCACGGTCCGAACGCTGCTGACAATTCTTGTTCTCTCTTGGCTGTGACTGCCGCCGGCGCTTGTTTCTACCTCAGACTGTCTGGGCTTCCATTTGGAAGGTACCTTGTCTCAAATGATGGGTCTTTCCTTGCTCCCCATGAGGAGCTTTTCCTGGGTGCCCGTGTAAACCGAATGATAGGCAATTGTACGAGGGGGAAGGAACAGAGACAAAGAACGTAGAGTAGTTAGAATGTGGGAGGAGCACTCATTGGAAAGCTCTCAAAGGTATGGTAGGCACGTTTGACATGATTCACTGCGATAAGGACTACACTATTAACTCAACGGCGTTTCATCAGCCCCAGGTTTCTTGCGGCCACCTTCAGCCAATGGAGGAGTCGGAGGATGTGAAGACGTCGCAAGCTTTCCTCTCGGATCCTGGGTTTTATGTTTCTTGACAGCCAGATCAGCGCTGTGGTCTGCAGGTAGAGATGCATCCAAGCTGCCGACTATTTGACAGCTAGGCACAGCTGGAGGGTTCTGGCCGCAGCCAGAGCTTCAGGTTCTTCTAGCTGATATAGCTAGAATCATCAGGCCACCCGACCAAGACCTGTTGACCTAACGAGTCTAAGCACTTGAGGTTCTTATTTTGCCGTCTCTTTCTTTCTTCCCCACCTGCCTCTACTCCGTCCTGTCCTGTCATCCTGTGCGTAAATCTCCGTCCTATGGAGGACACGGCTACTCTCGGACCGGATGCTCAAGTCAAATCCTCAAGCTCAGCTTGGACGCGCATGCGTATGCCACCACCATATCCACTCACTCACTCCCTGATCCATCCATCCCGCTGCACAGCTCACTGCATGTCTGCAAGTGCAGTCCACCATGGTACACATGCACATGTATACAGTATTACACCTGAGCTCTCAAAACGACAAATGGGATTTCCATTCGGCTAGCCACTTCCTCCGCATGGAACCCCCCCTTCGGCGGGAGAAGCAGAGCCGGTCAAAATCGACTGGACGCCTCAACGCCCTGGGGGTGAGAGAAAGAGTCGCGATGTGAAAATGGAACTCGCCGTGATAGGGCTTGCTCACGGAGCCTTGCCGCATCTGGGCTAGCCTAGTCTGTACATGTGCTGATCTTAGCGAGGTCTCGACGACCGTTGAAAGCGTTCCGCCCGGGCCATGTCCGGCGGCGGGGGGCAAGCTCATTCTCCCTCCAAAGAAGTGGCCAACCATCCAATCATTGACCAGCGTCATTTGGCATTGGGATGAGAGGTGGATGCCAGCCGTAGTGCAGAACTCCACTGGAGCTTGCTGTGGGGTAAGAGCTCCGCTTCCCGCTCAGTCCCGCCCGTCTTCACCATTGCTTTCATGTGTGACGGAAGGCCCACTGCAACACAACATCATGCTCCATTTCAGCCAGGCAGTCACAGCCTCTGGCCCTCTGCACACCTCTTGCCAACCAATGCCAACATTTGTGTCTCTTCGTTCGTTGTCTGTTCTCACGGCAGACGCCATTTACACTGGAGAGAAACGGGTCGGTCTTCGTCTGTCATGACTTCCCGCTGCCAGCTGGCCGGCCATATTGGCGTCTGACTTGCCCGCGCCTTTAAGACGGCACGTCAACAGAGCTATGCAAGTGTCGAAAGCTACGACTTTGACGAATTTCAAGTCCACTCTCTCAAAGCAAGTTGTTGGCTCCTTCGCTCGACGCCTAGTGACTAGTCTGAATAGGGGAGACGCATGTAACCCATGGTGCACGTCACATCGGTACAGACGATTACGCATGAGAATAAAAGCGGCACGGCGGGTTGGAAACTACCTAGGTACCTACCTCTCAATTGATGGGATATGGGTTGGGCGGACAACAGGACGGGTTGTAGGTGGTGATGTTGAAAGGCTTACAGCACTCACTTATACCCTCCCTGTTTAAACCGTACACCATGAACTCTTCTCAATTAGACACACGGAGAACTGTCAACAGCCGCGACACCAGGAAACTCTCTCATCGATGGCGACTCTAGTCTTCTGCAACGCAGTCTCAGCTGGTCCCTGGACACCAGTATCCTCGGCACTTCTCGGACTGCCGTGCTTCAACGGCGTGACATCGGCCCATCCTTGAGCAATATGTACCGCTACCTTGCGAGCCTCCATGGTCACATTGAGTTGAGGAGCTGAGTTCCGATACTGGCCAGATCCCACCGAGCAGGCTTGGTTCGAGAAGAAACGAACATGTGGATTCTCCCAAGTCATCCCCAAGCGTACATCTAGATTTCTACAAAGTAATTTTCACAACATCCAACATCATCAACGCCAAAAAGACCGGTCAAGACCAAAGGTTGCCAACTTCACACGCAAATACTCAACTCGAGACTGCAGCTAGCCCAAAATCGCAAGTGAACCTAGCGAGTGTAGTCCATGGTCCTCCTGCACAGACCTAATAGGCCCCTCTCTTATCCAAAAATCGTCATCAAATCGCGGTTTTTTTTTTTTACAGACCTCCATCCAAGGCGGACGGCCAAGAAGTCTTATCATACGGGGGTGTTATACTCCATTCTTAAGATCCCGATTGGCACTTTGGAGACAATAGACAATGTCCCTGTTGATCCCAACCACCCCATTCGTTCTCCAACAACACCACGAGCATTCGCTGCGTGGGATGGAGTGGTACGAGCTCAACGGTCTTTCAGTTTCTGTCGTTTCAATCGGACATAACGAGTAGCATGGGCCATTTGACAAGGCTTCTTCTCATTAATGCTCTGAGAGGCAATAGGGCCGGCGCGGCTGGTTGGCGCCTTGTGCACCCGATAGGTGCGCTCAGCTGGTGACCTTGTCTTTGCGAGCCTCTTGAGACTTTATTACATGATGTACAGCGAGATGATCTCCTTGTCGGCCTTGTTGAGTTATTGAAGGTTTATTTTTCATGACTTTATTGTTTTACGTCGTAAGCCTCTCGCGTAAGGAGTATGTCAACGGCGTCCAATGCTATGGCCTCATATGTCGACGGACGGCACATCAGTTGGATGCGTTACGCATGTCCACTCTCTTATTGCTCGCTCATATTACTGAACTGATTGTCGAGTTGCCTTCTACATATCACATATCGCCCTCCCTCTTATAAAAACGTAGCCACGACCGCCGAGTAAATGTGTTAACCATTCATCTGAGCAGGTTCTACAAATCGTTTACTTGTATCTTTTTGCTTTTAAAGGAGTACGGCCCACTTGGCGGGATGGCTCAACAAGTTCCCATCCAAGACATAAACATTCCTCTTGGGAAAACCTACTTGCACCCTACGGTTTCCCTCAGGTGCCCGGGCTATAAGTTCAGATGTCCTTGGTCATAAGAAACAACCATCATTTTCTTGCCACTCAAAACCTCGTATTCCGAGCTTAGTAGTGCTGAATCCAGATACCAGAGCAATGATTAGATTATACCACATAATCTTACCCTATTATCAACTAGTTGTCACCGAGTTGCACTCACAGCGCTGTACTCTGCGACCGTCCTGCAAACACTGTACGTCTACATTTTCAATGGGAAGTAGTGTCCTGAAAGGGGGCAATACAACTTGAACTCTGTACTGGCTACTCATTTCTGAAGGGGACTGCTTGCGTTGACAGAAGAACAAAAAAAGCTATATATGTTGAAAAAAATAAAAAAAAAATAAAAAAATAAACAATCCCGAAGGTCTTTGCGGAATAAGGTACGTGCAGGAAATCGCGGGGTGCGAGCACCTAGCTTTTCCCTTGCTCTTCATTGACCTGACATTTGTCCAGTCATCTAGCTCCATGTTCCAAGAGCCTTTCAGGAAAAGTTACCAAGATTCAGACCAGTTCTGCGATTCAAGAAGTGAAACATATCGTCAAGAAGATAAGCAGAACATTATGTTAGGATCCACCACATTGTCAACACCGTACTTAGCAGCTCTTCTAGATGTATTTGGCTGTTACTCAGCCGCCCATGCATTATTGCACCTGTTCACACCCGGTTTGGTCAACCTCTAGACTCTGCTAGTGTCAAAGTGGGACCGAAGAGGTATTCTTCTCTTACTGATAGTGATCGTCTTTTTTTTCTTCTTTTTTTTTTCTTCTTTTTTTTTCTTTCCCCCCCCCCCCCCCCTCTGAGTGAAGCTTGGGAAGGTCATGGTTCTCGGTCTATGCTGATGATGTCTTTGCAGGAGGTTCGAAGCATGGCATTTGGCCATAGTTGGGCCTCCTTTCGAACGGACAAAAAAGATGTCGGCTTGGCTCTCGATGATACTGGCAATGTTACATGCTTCGTTGACAAATTCATTTAGAGGTGAGGCGAAATTTCCTGCCTGTTTCCACTCTGAGTTTTCCTCGATATTGAGCGATGAGTTAGGACCATAAGGTGTTGCACTCACGATTTGACTGAAACCCATGATATTGATATGTGCTAACCTAGGTAGATACTTGTTCATAATTCCATGGACTTGTCGAGCGCCTCCTGCAGCATGGATATCACTTCGACATAGAACTCCTGACAGAATTTCTCGCTTTGCAACCCTTCAATGTTGATGAAACTCTCGAGACAGCGCGTTACAGCCGAGGTGTATTCTGGTCCCGCTTCTGCGAGAACCGCGCCCTCGAATCCCTTACCAAGTTTGTGTTTCTCCATGTAGTCATCCAAACTCATCGTTGCGACGTTGTTTGCGGTGTCGCTAGTAGATTGCCCTGCTCCAGATGTAGCAGCACCCTGTTCGTCTGATGTTGACTTCATGTCCAATTCGTCAATTACCCGTCCGAGCATAATCTGTATCAAGATCAGACCAAAGGAGAAGACGGTTGTCTCTCTTTTTCGGGATCTTGGCATGAACCCAGTTGTCCCGGGCATTGCAGAGGAAGCGGCGGACAATGGCATTGACTTCTTGATGAAAGGGCGGTAAGGAAACCCAGATGAAAAATTGGAGTCTAAGGGTTCATCTTCAAGGCGGAACCAGATATCGTCGAGTGTGATGATCTTGGGCAGCCATGGGCTACTGTAGAGGTGAAGGATGTTGACGGCAATGCTGACGGCTAGCTGAAGCTGGTCTTGGAACTCTAGCCAAATCAGAGGTCCGTTACTCCCCTGCTGGAGACGAGCATCATGCGTGCGGTTGAGTAGTTGACGCAAGGTCAAACTAGATGGTAAATCGCCCGGTTGCCAGCGAAGAATAAAGGGAGCCTCGGGTATGTGTTGGCCTTTCGACATCAGCGGCGTTGGCGCGTACAGTCCGAACCGGCGCTCAGGATCTTCACGATCCACGATATTTCCATAAAAAACCCGCCCACTGTCCGTAGCAGGATATTTCTCATGCCTTCGAATGAGCTGACATATTCCATCAACAGAATTCGGCGCCAATGTCTTGAAGCAGCCCACAGCCTGTTGTTTACCTTTAGGCTCGATGATCATATCCAAAGAACCTTTGATCATCGCATTGACTGCCTTTCCCTTACTTTCTATACTCTGCAAAGCATGTCCTAGGAGTGACTGAGATCCTCGCCTATTCGAACCCTCCGGGGGTCGTTCGGCTGTTTTTGATTGCCCAGTTTTGTGTGATAACTGTCTCGCAGGCTTAGTTGATGATGGGCGAAGGCTGAGTGTTCTTGGTACGTGGTCGTCGGCTTTACGACTACCGAGACTGACGATACTAATCGAGAGATTATGCCAGCGCGATGGTTCTGCCGTAGACCCAACTGATATTGAGCCATTTGTATACAGCTCCAACGACACTGAAAAATCCAGATCCTTGGCCATTTCATTCTCAGTACTGCCGGGATCCATCTCCAAAGGTCTTGGGTTGAGCTTGAAGCATGCATCGTGGGGTCTTGCACAGCAGGCTGCTGTAGCTCCATCGAGAGCATTGGACAGGCTTTGTGAAATATCTCGCAATAGCTGGGTGAAGCGCCACTGAGAGCGATACCGTCGGTGAGGCTCTAGCCCTTTGTTGAGATCGACAAGCCTGTAGAGGCTTGAGTTTGTCGATTGGATTCTGGCAAGAACCGTGTCATAATCTTCCTTCTTGAGAGTAAAAGCAGTCTTTTTCTTGATCTCGGAATAGATGTCCTCTTTCGTAAAGAGTGAACACTACCCTTGACAGTCAGCGCTACATGTATGCTTCCTATAGTGTTGTAACATCCACACCTCTGCTGAAGATTATGGAGAAGGAGCGTAGGTTTCTTTGATGTATTTCACGTACCTTGAGGTCTGGGCCAAGTCCTAGCTTTATTACCAGCTCGTCTACCAGTTCCTTTAGATTCTGTATTCCACTTTCGATGGACGAATACGACTGTCCCAGCCGAAGACGAAGTGCTCGATTGAACTGCTCTCCCTTCCATTCGTGGCCAAAAGGATCCTTCAACATTATGTCAACCTTGGAGATGGGCGCGATGCCCTGAAGAAGCAATTCACAAGTGCATGTCAAAATGCAATGCTCGTTCGTCAAATCCGACTCGAGGGCATGGATGAATCGCACGGCGTTCCTATAGGAGGATAGGGCCTTTTTGTAGGTTTGCAATGTCTTAACCGCAATGGGCAGTACTCCCAGAATGAGACCTGCAACTTCTAGACCTGACATCGCCGGTGATCTATGTTGAGCAGTGTGGTGAGGATAGCTGTCAAAACTTGTGATATGTTGTCAAACTCCATCGTTAATAGAGGTACGCAACCGACACGGAAGTGACGAGCTTCGCTGAGCAAGGTGCAAAATGCCGACAACCCCTCTTCCGCTCTTATGGCGCCAATAGAGAGCAGTTTGATTGGGTTTACGGAAATACTAGGTAGCATCCAGCCGCTTGGAGAGCTCAACACTAACTGGTAAGTATGGTGTGGAAATTGATGTCTGATTCGTACCTCTAGAATAGGCATGAAATCAAGGTCAAAATGGAGATTTAATTGGAGTACTCCAATACTTCGCGTCCTTCCTCGACGCAGACCCTGTTCAGTAGCGTCCGCTGACATCTTCCTATAGAATTCGCGATTCATCCTCAGTCATTAATTATATATAGGAAAACACGTCTCAAGGATGTCTGATAATCCTAGGATAGCCCCCCTCGTGGCGTCAATTATCTTACCCTTCGACAAGCTCATTGCCAAATTGAACGCCAGCGATGGGCCACACGTACCCGCGGTCAGTTCATTGTTGGGAAGATTCAAACTGTGGTCAGCCAGCTCAGGAGCACACCGACCTCGAGGAACCCGGTCCCTCGAATTCAAACTTCGAGATGCATCTGCTTTACAGCGGCACGTCATTTCCCTTCTTGAAGAACTGCATGGCGTTGTTATCAAGATTACTGGAGGTATTACTATCCCAGGAAACGGCGGCTACCTGTTCGAATCTCGACCGTAATGAAGTATGAGACGTACTGACTGTGCGAAATCACAGCTTTGGATTCATCGACAGACCGCTCAACAGCTGAGATTTTGAGGATTCATAAGTGCAATGAAGCATTTGATGACGAGCTTACTGAGTACTTTTCCCGGAACGATAGTCAAGATGGATTCGTTTTCGATGAGCTCTTAGATGACAGCAAACACATCATTGATCGGCTACTTCGGCTTTCTCTTATAATCCGGAATCCTACACCCCACAACCATTTCTTGTCAAGACAAGCGGCGGAGGTCATTCAATATTCCGAGCCTTTTGATATCCATCATGTACACGAAAAGTTCCCCAAGCTCGCACGAGAAGTAGCGGAGCGACTAGGGAAGTCTTTGTCGGTTCGACGCCAGTACTTTCGGTATCGAGAGGAGCATTTCCACAGGCTTGCAGATGGCCTACCTGGTTCCGAGACCGAGCTATTGGACCCTCATGAGCAAGCCACAACCATTGCATCCCCAATACCGAACCATCTGGAAACAGTCAAAACGTGCGATATATCTTTTGACGACATTGACGGTAGATCCGAACTGTCGGCAACCTCGTATGCGGCGTCGGAAGTCAACTCAGATCAGCTACGAGTACCGCCAATGCCCAGCGGATACGCCAATGGACCCATCAAGTGCCCGTTCTGCCACTCCATAATCCAGATAGGTAGTCGACGCGACTGGAAGTACGGCAAGCCCCTACCCCTTTCTACATCCACGTAATCTCAGTATCGATATTAACAAAGTGAAGAAAGCATATCTTCAGGGACCTTCAACCTTATGCCTGCTTAGCTCATACATGCTCTGCAGCAAGCAAACTGTATGGGCGTCGCAAGGATTGGTCAAAACACATGTACCTTGAGCATTGGACGCTTTGGAAATGTCCATCCGGCTGCCACAAGTACATGCATTCAGCTGAGGAATTCCAGCAGCATCTCTCGTCCGTTCACAAGGATGAGTTATCCGAACACCATACCGGAAGCCTTGCCCGTCTTTGCAGCGTGTCTGATCCTGCTCAAGCCCGTGGGCCATGCATTTTCTGCGACCATCATCTCACGTCAGACAAGCTGTACATCTCACACGTGGCATTGCACCTCGAGCAGCTTTCTCTGTTTGCTCTTCCCTCGGTTGACTATGATCAAGATGAAGATGACGATGGGTTTGAGGAAGGTGACAAACAGGTTGACGATGACAAGACCGATGACACCAACTGCGAACCTGAGCAAGAAGTAAGCGAAGATAATAATAGCGACTCTGGCGACTCTAGTGTGCACGACCACGTCAATGATGATCATATTGACCATGGTGTGCATAAACTCTATGAGGGAAGGCACGTCAAATGGTACTGCGTAAGTACACCGTTTAACCCCACCAACATGCTTTTCCGTCATCTAACGGGCTTCAATAGTGTTATTGCAGATACGGCCCTTTACCTTGTCATTTGGACGAATTTTGTCCAGATTGTCGGCACCAGAGATGTTCTAAGTGTACAGTTACTACCATCGACTACAGTAGAGCCCATAGTTTTAGATAGATGACCTTCGCATTGCCTTAGAAGGCCCTGCTAGCCTACATAAATACCACCTTATATTCCCGATGAGGAGCCGCGGCCTCTGGCGTGGCATGACCTCTCGAGATACCTCAAGTAATCGTGTATCTGACCTGATCTCTTGGGACACTCACCACTTCTGGTAAGACCCGTTTGGCTTGGTTGTATGAACTCTGGGATAATGTGCCGTTCTCACTTTGCAGCAAAAGGCATATCAACATAGTTGAAAATTACTATGTCATAATACGGGTAGTATGGAAACATAAAGGTCGTAAAGTAGCAAAGGAAATGTCATGTCCAACCAAAAGCTCGTCAATAACCCCACTTGGTAACATGCGAGACTCTACAGATTTACCTGAAGACGCAAGGAAAGAAGTCAGGAAAACAAAAGGATAACGGAGAGTGACTCTGTAAGAAACCAACATCCCAGCATCAACTCATCAACGTCCACTTCTTGTATGTTGTCCACATTTGCAATCTGGTTGCCGAACAATATATATACGAGTTCCTGCCACTTATTACGATTTGTCGGAGACAAAGTTAAGAAGATCAACAAAAGAAATATCAATCGTTCATCTAGAACTGTCCGCTATCCAAAATTCCCCTGTTACTACTGTCCATCGAGAACCAGAGTTAGAACTATATAAACACCTTCACCAGAACAGGAACAAAACAAAGTTCTCCTTCTCCCCCCACATCAACAAAACAACCTCAACAAAGACTATCAGTATCCAGCACCATCTCAATAAACCCCACCCTCTCCCCGTCCATCTCCTTCTGCCTCTTTATCTCTCTCTCCCTGGCCGCCAAGCTGGTGCTGGGTTTCCTCGCATACCCCCTGAGCATGCGGAACCCAGACCCGGCATTCCTGCCCTCCTCCATAACGGCATGCACATCCGCAATCATCTTGCCGGCCTCGCGCATCGCCTCGCCGGGGGTGACCATGTCCGCCAAGCGAAGCTCGCCAGCGGCCTTCTCCATCTCCGCGCGCAGGAGCCAGCGCTCCCAGCTCCAGCTGGCCGCGATGCCAGTGATGGCGGCGACGTTGTCGGTGGATCCGAAAACCATGGCTTCGAGCTCGAGGGTCTTGGGGTCTTCTCCGGAAGAGGAGGAGGAGTGGGCAACGTCGATGCCGCTGTCGCTGTCCTTGAAGGGCCTAGTAGGGGGGAGGCCCGGGGTCTCAGCCTTGGGGGGCGGAGGGGGCGGCTTCGTAGAGTGGCTAGGGCCCATGGGCATGCACATCCAAGCGCGACGGATGTCGTCGAACCCGGCGCGGCGGAGGCGGGCCATGAAGGACCGCGTGGGGTTGGGATCATAGCCGAGCGTCTGCAGGGCGAAGCCGAACTCGACGGCCTTGGCGTTGCCGAGTGGGCCGGCGTTCATGATGTCCGCGTCGAGAACAGAGAACTCGAGGTAGCCACCGGGCTTGAGCACGCGCATGCACTCCTTCAGGCAGGCGTCCCACTCGTCCGCACCGTTCTCGCCAAAAAGCTTGAGCACGGCATGCAGCTCGCGCGCGGAGATAAGGTCGAACTGGTTGTCGGAGAAGGGGAGCTTGCCGAGGCGTTCGACGGCGACTTGCCTGTGGTTAGGAGGGCCGCGGATGTTGCTGTTGCTCAGCTGGCGGAGCGTCTTGGTGGTGACGGTGTAGATCTTGGTGTTGGGATACTGGAGCGCGCAGTGCCAGGCCCAGTCACAGGCACCCTGACCGGCAAGGTCGAGGATACGAGCACGGTCGCGGCTGACGCCGTCGGCGCCGGGGGCGAAGCGGCTCTGGCGTGCGAGGCGCTTGGCTACGGGTGCGCAGATGAGACGGCCCCCGTTGAGAAGCTTGGTGGCGGCGACGTGCCAGGTGGCCATGTTCATCTGACTGCGGGCCTCGGCCTCCTTCTCCGCACGGAGCTTCTCAGGGTCATCGACAAGGACGTCATCACCACGAACCACGTTGGCGCTCATGCGCTTCTTGGCTGACTGAGGAACGACAGACAGCTGGAACTTACCAAGGAGCTGGTTGCGGTGAGCATCCTTGAGGGCGACACGCTGAGCTTGAAGTGCCTCAAAGCGTGGTTGGCGGTTGATGAAGACGTCGTTGGGGCAGGTCTTGACGGCGGCATCGGTGAAGGCGCGGTAAAAGGCATTCTCCATGCGCACCAGCTTGGAAGGAAGGGACTTGGGAACGGTCTCCTTGATGGTGATTTCGGAAAAGCGAACAGATTTCTTTTGCTTCGTCTCGGACTCGACAGCGGTTTCCTTGGCTGGCTCTTCTGTCTTTTCCTCCATCGTCACTTCCGCCTCAGCCTCTAGCCCCTCAATGCCGAGCTTGAGGTGTTCATGGACTTCAGTCTCATCGGAGAAGCCAACGACGCCTTGGAGATAAGCTCTCTGGGCCATCAACCAAAGCTCAGTGCGTTCGATGTGGGATAGAGAAGTCGATTGTTGTTCGGCAACATACTTGGCGTCATAATCGTCGACAATCTCGTTAGCGACGATCTCGTTGCCGACCATGGGGGAAAAGGTCTCCTCGGCGATCTGTTCCAGGGCGGGTTCCCCAGATTCCGCAGCAGGCATCCTGACCGCAGTGACTGGGGTGGCCTCGACCCGAACCGCTGTCGGCAGCTCCTCCGGGTTCAATCCCGCAGGAACCTCAACTACGCGCTCGACAATGTTGGAAGGGCCATCGTCAAGGTGAAGCCGCCGAGGGGGTGGTGGGGGCGTGGTGGTGGGGGCGTTTTGCCAAGGGATTTTGTAAAAGTTCTCGGCAGTGGTCGAAGTAGGGGGTTGGTATGGGTAAGGTTCCTCTGCTTGGCTACCCATGTTCCATGTGCGCCGGGTTGCTGAAGAGAGCTCCGAGAAGAAACCACCAGGGGAAGGGATCTCGAGCCTGCTAAGCTCAGCAAGTGACCGACGTTGACCGGAGGGGGCCCGGTTGAGGCTGGTCATCAACCGAGGAAGTTGGCGAGTCTGGGACATTTCTCGAGATATCATCTCCTGGGGCACTTCGATAACCTGCTCTGGGGCTGGTGTCTCGTCATATTCCGACTCGTGGTTGGAGGAAAGGGCCTGGAGCGTCTCCAATGCGCCGGGCTGGAGACGAACTCCTGACCAGTCCTCATCAACATTGTCCCGGGCTCCGATCAAGGGGGTGGGCGGCGCGGACATGGCAGCCATCTCCTCCGAGTTGATGCTGCCATCAAGGGAAGGGGGTGCGGAGACGTTGGGAATCTCCTGGATTTGTCGTAGCTCCATCAATGATTTGACAGCTGGGGACATGGCAATAGCGGATGGCGGTGTCGGTGGAATGGGCGAAGTCATGTTCTTTTTCGCATCCGCCTGGACATCGGCTGGGATGACTAGACGGGACAGGGACAGTCTTTGACCGATTGAAGCTCTCGATGACCTCCGTAGACTCCTCCTCGAACTCATGTGGCGGCCAATACCATTTGCTTGCAGCATCTCCTTGCGCTGCGTTTCCTCATCCGAAATGTCATAAAGGTCGTCAAATTCCGTCACATCAGTCATGGCGCTTGATCGTTTATTATTCCATGCTCCCGAAGAAGGGTTGGAAGATGAAGTTTCTGAACTTGTGTCGTCGGCATCCGTGTCCGGCCCGCGGTAGCTCGAAATGCACGACGGTGTTGCCGGCAGGATCGGGGCGGCAAGGAAATGAAGGCCCCGTGGCGTAGGGAAATGGTCACTCAAGGGAGAGAAAGGGGCAAGCCACTGCTCGATCTTTTGGTTGACTGGCCAGTTGCTGCTGCTGCTGCTGTTGTTGTTGTTGTTGTTGTTGTTGTTGTTGTTGTTGTTGTTGTTGTTGTTCTGGATGTTGAAGTGTCTCCTTTGCTCCTGCTGCTGTGTCTCGGTATCGGTCTGTTCAGGTTCCTCCATTATAGGATTAAGAGTCCGGGCCATCCTCCGCCTGCCCTGCGGGGAGGGTGGCCGGTATGTAGTGCTGGGCAAAATCAGAAGGTCCGACATGATGTTGGTGTCGTGGCAATATGGGGTCGCTCTGATATTGATTAAAAAGTCTGGAAATAGAGCTGACCGGGAAAATGGAATGACGCCGGCGTCGATGCGAATGCAACAGTAAGACGAAGAGTATGGAAATGGGGGGGTTAAACGATGGACCGGCTTCGGTCAACGAAGCTCAATTCCTGTATTTGCGCAGAAAGGTATAAGAAGAGAATGGAGATCTAAACAGGACTGCTCAACGCAGCCGGTCTGGGCCATGCGATATTATAAAAGACAAAAAGATGGATGGATGGTCAGGTGCGTGATGGTGACAGCAGGGTCCACCTGGACTGTCTGTCCGCTGATTCCCACCACAGCGGCTAGCACGCTCTCTAGCATCATATGAAAGCCGGATTCCCGCTGATATTGCCCCATGTCCTCCCATATTGCGCCCCCGTTGTCGCCCGTTGACGTGACTCTGGCGGCCGGGCCCTGGCAGTCGGCGAGACTTGGCTTCGCTCTTCCCAGTGTCTCACAGGACGAGCTTGGGGTTGGGCAGCACCAAGAGTTCGAGATAGCCGGTTGACGAGGGTGGGAGAAAACTGTGCGACCGAATCAGGTTGCGCAGAAGGTCGACCAAGAAGAATCCGGCGAACCAAGCGTGCCATGACAAGACAAGGCGCGCGCCAATGGGGCCTGTCCATCGACAGCGTTGCAGAGAATACGACCAATGACATGGCAGGAAGCGACGCCGGCACCCAGCTGGGCGCTTAAAATATCGAGCCATCCACCATGATTGGGTTTCTCTCCTGTCCTCCACCAGATTCTGCTAGTGTAGATTCCGAACGGGTACACTCTCCAACCTCTAGGATTCCCAAACAGGTCAGCATGAATGATTGCATTGAAGATGGGGAACCGCAGACGGTGAAGAGTTGCAGACACCGCAAAATCGTAAAGCAACGAAAGCCACGCTAGGTAACACGGCCCCTTGCATTCGTGATCTACAAACCTAGAGATCGACGTAACCCTGGATCCCCGTTGATGGTGCAGCCGAGGATCAATGAGAGGAACTGAGGCGGTGTCGTGAAAAGCTCGAATTGTTGGCCTGGAAGAAAAAAAAAAAAAAAAAAAAAAAGTAAATCTCGATCGACTGACGTTACCCCTTCCCATCAATCGAATGGGAGCTTCGGAAGATCACTCCACCATGATGTTGAATCGGCGCATTCGGGATACAGTAGAGAGGTCATAGTTTGATATTTAGCTTGATCTGCTGGTCGTGTAGTGTAGGTGATGGTGATGACTTGGTGATGAGAACGCTGGCGCCCAAAGAAACTCCACACTTGGGGTTCATAGTCTCTTCAGCTGTGATTCGACAAATTGTTCAATTTCGACGTGTCCGGACCGCGTATCCGACCATATGCTAGGTGGCATCCGTATCGGCAGCCAACTCCGCGTCCGATGCGGTGCGGTGTAGGAGGCTGGAAGCCGGCGAAATGTTCATGGGGAAGTGGAAGTGATGTGCACCCGTCTGTGGCAGTGACGGCGGCGGTAATAGGAAAGATTGCGGCTTCTGCAGTCGGGCTCGGCGGCTATTTCAAAAACGAACAGACCTTCCCCGGACTCTGGAAAGCTTGGCGCTATCAGCTATGGAGCACAATATCAAACCCGCAAGTGGTCTGTGCCTGTTCTCCAACTGGCCCACGTTGTCGTCACGGCAAGGGCCCGGGCAGTGCCTTTCGAATGTGCCCCGCCATGAGATGAAAGAGAAGCCCCGCAACTATCAATCGCGAACGCCCCCAGCAGCGATAAGGAGGGGCAAGTGCAACAACAGGAAGCTATCCCGTCCATGATCCGCTTTCGTCGCATGCCTACTATCCGGTTCCTGGAACGAAACATCACTTTTTTGCGACGCAACTAGATCTACAAACACTCATTAGCAGACATCACAGACCAACGACGGAGCTGTAGATTCTATACTCTCGACCCGTACCTTACGCATAGCGCCGATTTCCTCCACAGATCCAGCCATGACCGCACTCGCAGGACGTCATGTTGTTTATTGCGGTGGTAGGTAGTCACATGCAATGCCTGTGCTCTCTTTCAAATCGAACCGCTGCCCTATTATGGAACCTTGCGCTGACTAACTGACTTCTTCCAGTGTGCTCCCTGCCGCCCGAGGTATGATACTATTTCCCTTTACCGTCCATCCGTCCCTCGAAACCCCGACCCGTAGCAAAGACCGACAACTACATACTCACCAACCCATCACCGTCCCCGAATTTTAGTACTGCGAATACGGTGGAACCGTCAAAAAGTGCCAGCAATGGCTCGAGAAGAACCAACCGACCATGTACTCAAGGATATGGTCGCCTGAGGTGCTCGAGGCGGAGATGGCATCGCTGTCAGTCGAGGCGCAGGAGCGCGCCATGAAGGACGCGAAGAAGAAGGCAGCCAAGGCCGAGGCGGCGGAGCAGAAGCAGGCCGACAAGCGCGCCAACAGCGTGGTGACCATTAAGCGCATTGAGCGCAACAAGAGGAAATACGTCACCTCGGTGTCGGGCTTGGAGGCGTTTGGGTTGGAGTTGAAGAAGGTACAGTTATAACGTTGCCCGCAAGCCAAGCTTCCATGCAGGCTAGCTAGCTCGCCTACATACGGGCTGCTAGCTGTACATGTATCATGGTGGTGATGCTGGAAGAGCGATCGCTAACTTAATCCTGTTTAACCTGCAATAGGTTGCCAAGGACTTTGGCAAGAAGTTCGCTACCGGCTCTTCGGTAACCAAGGTACCCAGCGGCGGCGAGGAGATTGTCGTCCAGGGCGATGTCAGCGGCGAGATCGAGGAGTTCATTCTCGAAAAATACAAGGAGGTTCCCGAAGACAACATAGAACTCGTGGAAGACAAGAAGAAGAAGAAGGGCGAAGGGAACTAGGTGTTTCGACGTCAACTTTGGTTTTTTAAAAAGACTGCGGAGGCGCGCCTAAACCTGGCGGGAGTTAATGGTTGAGCTTGATAGATATTACGAGGCTATTCGGATGATATTGGCTATTCCGCTTGACATCGAGGGGGAAAAGCTTTTGACGCTGTAGCTCAAGACAAAAGCGATAAATGATAACATTACTTGGATTTGCCATGTCCCAACTGTTCCCTGAAACCTGCCAGACCTGATAACGCCGAACTCTGTGCAGTCGACACCTGGCGGCGGTCGTAACATCTATACAATCCAACGCCTAACAATAACAATGCTAATCCCACAGTGCACAACCTGGATGGACATCCTCCAAGTCCATACCCCAGCAATGAAAAAACTGATGAGACTCAATATTTCAAACCAAAGTTCAAACCCGCTCATCCCCTCTTTCGCAACACCCTCCCCGACACAGCCGGCGCCGCCGTAGTAGCAACCACCTTCTCTGCCGTTTCCTTCGTCCCACCACCCGCCGCCTTTTTCGTCGCGGCCATACCCTTCTTGATCGTGCTGATAACACCTCTCTTCGCACTAGCCGCCGTTCCAGATGCCATGCCCGTCGCCGTCGCCGGTCGCTGTCTCCGCGCCGCCACCGATGACGTACTGCTAGCCTCACTAGACACGCTGGCGCCACTAATTCTCCGCGATGTTCGTGTGGTAGCAGAAGCCGCCGAGGTGGTTGCCGCTCGAGCTCTGGATTTCGCCGCGCTCGCTTGCGTTGCTTCCGTTATTGTTGAGTGCTTCTGGGGGCTGTTCGCTCGCGATCGCGCCTTTTCGACCATGTTGCTGATGAGAGTAGATGCACTCGTGCCGGCTGTGGGTTTGGTTGGGGAAATTGGGCGTGCGCCGATACCGGTCGCATAGTGTTGTTTGGTAGGTGATGGGGTGCGCTCCCCTCGTGGTGCTAGGCGCGAGTTGGAGGATGTGGGCGACAGGACTTGGTTGGAGTGGTTGCGCAAGATGTCGGCAGCTGGGCCCAGACGTTGTCGTTTCTCCGTGTTCATGGGTTCGATTTCGTAATTTTCTTTGTCGCGACCGGAAACTTCGTGGCTGGGGTTGGACGGTGTTAATATTGACGGCGTCCATTTCCCCTGGGCAGAAGAAAAGGGGACTAACCTCGTCGTCTTGATCGGGCTGGGCCGTATCGGAGAGGTAGGTCTAGAAGCAATCGCTGGTCGCTGGAAGATGGGGCGTGATGATGTCGCATCTTTCGGTGGTACCGGGGGGCCGTTAGATGTAGTCGTGGTCTTTTGTTGCTGTTCGGTAGAGTATTTTTGTATGAGATCACCCATCTTCACTTTGCGAAGGGACATGGGAATGCGGTTGACGCGAATTTCGATGCGGGTTCGAAGACTTTGCGCATGGATGTCGTAGTTGGCCCGCAGTTTGCGAGCGCGTTCGGTGACTACACATATGTTAGTCGGCCACGCGCATCGTCACTGGCTTGTTAGGGGGATAAACTTACGCTCGAGTTGCAAGTTGTCAATTAGCGCTTGTTTTTGCGCAGCCGTAATTCCTGTTCGCCTCTTCTTCTTCGCGGGACTTTCGCTGCCAATTGGTCGTCCGTTTTTCGTTGAACTTTTGTCAAGCGACGGCACCGCGAGGCCAGTGTTGTTCTTGTCGTCAGGAACGTCGGCCTCGTCCGACCTGCGTTTCGCGCCGGTGGTTGGAGACATGGTCGCCGTAGATCGAATAATTGTAACTCTGCCAGCTATGACTTTGGGCTTTTGAGGAGATTTGCGAGGAATTGTTAGCGGAAGAAAGTGTCTGTATGTTTCAATCGGCGTATTCTTGATGGATGAGCGAGTCGAAGTGTGTTGCAGGTTGAATTGAATGGTACGCTGTGCTGTGAGTGGTTGACATTTCCTGGAGTAAACAAACCAAAGCACCGACCACCCAAGGCTCGTTAGACACACGGGGGGCGTCCTGCTGCAGCAGCTCCAGGTCAGTGGTCACTGACATAACGAACTCAGCGGTACGTACTTGTACACCTCCACCTGATAGCGTAACGGCAGCTACGCGGGCAGCTAGGCTGAACCGCCTTACGCAGGAGCTCCCCAACCGCTGTCACTGAACATCATCTTTCCATCAGAACACCAACCATCTTTCCCACTAATCCAACCTTTCCCATACCAACCACAAGCAACGCTTCGATTTCCTTACCAAATTGCATATCACAACAACATTCATCGATAATTCACAGTCGAACAGACACCGACAAGATGCCTCTCGAAGCGGTAATGATTGTGGTGGACAACAGCGAGAGCAGTCGCAATGGAGATTACATACCAACCCGCTACGACGCGCAAGCGGACGCTGTTAACATCATCTTCCAAAACGTCGTACAAGGCAACCCTGAGTCGTCGGTCGGTCTCATGAGCATGGCCGGCAGGGGTCCTGAGGTCCTGGTGACGCTTACAACGGACCAAGGCAAGATTCTCGAGGGTCTGCACCGAACGAAGAAGAACATTCGTGGCTCGGCACAGTTGTCGAGGGCTATCCAGGTGGCGTGGGTATGTGGCATCCCCTCTTGATCTTTGCCCGGAAGTTACAGACAGTTAACTAGCTATTCTACCTACTACAGCTTGCTCTCAAGCACCGACAGAACAAGTCCCAGCGGGGTCGTATCGTCATTTTTGTTTGCTCGCCCATCGAGGAAGAAGAAAGCGACCTCGTTAAGCTTGCCAAGAAGATGAAGAAGAACAACACCAGCGTCGATTTTGTGCTTTTCGGCGACATCGACGACGAGAACCAGAAGAAGCTCGAGGCTTTCAACCGCGAGGTCAAGAGTGGCGAAGGATCCAACATGGTCGTCATCCCACCGAGCAGCAAGCTTCTTAGCGACCAGCTCATCTCGACACCTATCCTCCTCGGCGAGGCTGCTGCTGGCGGTAGCGGAGGCGCTGGTGGCGATGCTGGCGGCGCGGCCAACGAGGACTTCCCCTTCGGTATCGATCCATCCGTCGACCCCGAGCTGGCCCTTGCACTGAGAATGAGTATGGAGGAAGAGAAGGCACGCCAGGAGAAGCGCGCCAAGGAGGAGGCCGAGGCGGCGAAAAAGGCGAGCTTGGAGGACGTCAAGGAAGAGGCTGGCGAGTCGGAACCATTGCTAGGCAAGGACGGCGAACCGAGCGCCAGCGGCAGCAAAAAGGATGATGACAAGCCCGGCAAATCAGATGATGGCGACAAGATGGATACCTCCTAGTCGACTCATTGTTGGCGGGTCGAGATTATGGGTGATGGCGCTTTGCAAGGGACAACTACCATAGGCGCTGGCTGTATTTGTGTACAATAGACTCGCCGTGGTATTACATGGGCAACTACCTACCGCCCATCTTTTGAGCATGAAGCTATTCTATCATGACCCTTTGACCGCCCGCCCAACCATTTCCAAAAGATAAACGCCACGTAACTCCGTTTGACAGACATGACATGATAACTTGATACCATTCCTCACCCCTTCTCTTTCTGATCCCTCGTGCTGTAGAACACCACTCACTATCACTACCTGTTGTTAACCTCCCTGATATACGACAACAGCTTCCGGTCAAACATGTCGCACCGGATCGGCATTTCGAGTTGGTAAAAAGGGTTCTTCATGACGTAATCCGAGTAGAGGTCGTAGATGCGCCTGATGATCACGTCCACGTTTGTCTGCGTCGTGTCGGTAAACAACAGAAATTTGACCCCCGTCAGCGTGTTGAAGCACTGCAGCCGGAAGTTCTCCGACTCGAGCACCTCCAGACCCGAAGGCGGTTCCGGCCGCGTCAGGATCCCGCCTGGCACGCCGGGGATGCTGTTAGATAGAGGCCGCTCCGGAGCGGACTTGACGGGGTTTAGACGGGCTGTAATTGCGTGAACGCTGTTTTGGGGGGGGGAAAGGCCGTGTTAGTATTGTGCGAAAGAGATTGAATTTGTGGTATGCGAGTAAGGTGTTAGCATACCCGTGAAAGGTTCCGGCCAGGACGAGGTAGTCATTGGTGCTGATCTTGTTCAGGCCACCTTCGTGAAACGTCCTGTTATAGATTAGGCCACCGGCCTTGTTGATGATGACGAGGGAGAAAACGGTCCTGGAGTAAGCGTTAATATGATGTATGGTGTATGATGATGTTGGTGGACAGCAACTCACATTGTGATGGCCTCATCTCATGTGGAACCTTGACACGGCGATTGCAGTAATAAAGGGCGGAATGAAGGTTGACCCAGCGCGACAACTTGCGTGGTCAACTCAAATGCTTATCGGGGGAATGTTGCTGGCTGCAAGACTCGATATCGTCGGGTTGTTTCCTGAAGACCCGTTCTCAAAGGAAGGACTACAAGGATGCTATAAGTGAACCTTTCTTCTTGAGGAGGTTGCTGTGTCGCTGCCTCCTGGGCGGGATACGGAAGCGGCCAGGGTTTAGATGAGTGGGCAAAATGGGAGGACATGGGGGTTAGGGTTATTGTAGTGAGCTATCCAACTTGAACTGTTTCCATCACCTTGGAACCTGCACGGCGGGTACCTTGATGACTGGCCCATGGTTTATTTACAATAGCCAGGAGGCGTCAGGTAATTCACAAACAGCCTTTTTTGTTTAATTGAACTTGACTGTTCCACACATATATCTAGAGGTAAACTTCTCATTTTTTATGGCGCGTACTCGGTAAACTGGATAAGTTGCTTGTCTGTGACAGATCCTATCCTGCGGTCCGTTGGCTCCAGCTGCATTGTACCCGTCTCTCTGCACGCGCGGTGTCGATTAATTACCCAAAGGTATATCATCCAATTCCATACCTAGATCTGGGCATGCAAGCCGACTTTAAAGCCAAAGCAAGATGAGACGGGATCTCAGAAACCGCCCAGACATCGGCCACATGATAACGCAGGGTATCTCTACTGCGGGCGTAAACAATCTCGAGCTGGTGAATGAAGGTTAAGGGTCTCGGCGGAGACAAGTTAAGAACAGTCAAGAGTGTGATCCTGGCTCGGCAGATGTCAAGCCACCCGACCATCGATCCCCATCTTCACATTCCCGTCCCGCCCGGACGCTGGCCCTGCGAATTTTAGTGGACCGAAATGCCTGGATCAGTGGACAAGTCGGTTTCAGCTGAAGCTCGTGCTGGTGCTGTTCCGGTGGAAATGGTGGGTCAAGCCAGCCGAATCTGCTTGAAACCTACTGCCACGGGCAGATCTCCACCATCCCGAATTGTGGCCACATGGAAGTTTGAAAAAGGTAACGTTGAACCAATTCCAGCGAATGGAATTCTGGCGCGACGTCGGGTCGCCTTGGAGCTTTGAGCCTGGAAATTCCATCTAGTTGATGTCGAGCCCACTTGGTTGCTTCTGCTTGCTGCCAGCCCCGACGCAAGGTTCCGAACTAATCGAGTGTACACATTTCTTCCATCGCGTCCTTCTTCATCCCGTCTGAAATATCATCACTTGTTTCTCCCTTTGACCTTGTCACCTTCCTACCCACGCTTGCTTTTCTTGGGAAGCTCTGGCCCAACCTCAAGGGTTCGAAGACGTCTGGACCACCTACCTTACCCAACCACTACCGGTACCCGACTCGACTCGACTGACGTTCCCTGTCTGCCCCGCCATCAGACGAACAAGTTGCTTGCTTCGGACACAGGCCGATTTGAACTATTTCCAGGCTGCCCAAAAAGACATCACAACCAACAACAACCCGAATCTTGCCTACGTGCCTATATACATTGCCGACTGCGCCCCCCTTGGCAGCTCACTCCGTCGCCCCCAACTCTCCAGTAGCGGCTTTATGCCCCGACTTGCCCATTCGCCATGGCCGCCTCACGTCGGCGTCAGGCGCCTAAACCGCAGCACACTTCGGTAAACAGCAACAAGAACCGCGACGACCGAGGTTCCATTGTGTCGGAACCTTCGCCCCGTGTCATCAATGCTGCTCCGTCTCTCGAAAAGGCTGAAATGTACGGAATTGACGACAACCGTCCGTTCTTCAGCCGCGCCATGGCCCTGGCTGGGCGCATGTTTATCGAGACAATTCCGCAATGGATAGCTATAGGAGTTATGCTCTCGCTCATCTTTGGCGGGTGCTGTTCCAATGTCTTTGCGCTTGAGTCCATTATCAAAGTTGAGCCTGGTGCCGGTACGTTGCTATCGGCCATCTTGAGCCAAATTGGCTTCGCATTGCTTGCAACCCGGATATCACGGAGACGAGGACATTGAGCTAACGATCTCCCAACATTCGCAGGTACACTCTTGACCTTTGTCCAATTTCTCTTCGTTGCCCTCGTCGGCCTGCCTTCCCAGATCGACTGGAGCCGTCCGCCCTTCTTCCTCAAGAAAAACCAAGTTCCGATTAAACGATGGCTGATCAATATCGCGCTATTCTTTGCCATCAATGTCCTCAATAACCATGCTTTTAGCTACGACATTTCGGTACCCGTACATATTATTCTGCGCTCGGGAGGAAGCATAACCACAATGATTGCTGGAGCTTTGTGGGGCAAGAGATATTCAAGAATCCAGATTGTAGCCGTACTCCTCCTTACCGTGGGTGTGATTGCGGCGGCCTGGTCTGACGCGCAGAGCAAGGTGCGCTTCCCAACAATGTAATGGATATCCATGCAGGATACGGATGCTGACAGATATTCCAGGGATCGAGCAAGAAAGAGACTCGTGAGAAGAACTCGGATTTTGGCATTGGACTTGCTATTCTCTTCGTTGCCCAGAGCTTGTCGGCTGTCATGGGCCTTTACACGGAAGAAACTTACAAGAAATATGGCCCGCACTGGAAGGAGAACCTCTTCTATTCGCATCTCCTGTCCTTGCCCCTGTTTCTGTTTTTCTGGCCGTCGTTGACGACGCAATTTAAGAAACTGGCCAACAGTGCGCCCTTGACTCTACCGCTGCCGGGCTTTGAGGAGTACCCCAATCTGTCGCCCAACATCCAGAAGTTCCTGGAGAATATTCACATTCCCAGTCAACTGTTTTATCTGGCGCTAAACGTCCTGACCCAGTATGCTTGCATCCGCGGAGTCAATCTTTTGGCAGCTGCCTCGACTGCGTTGACAGTCACCATCGTCCTCAACATCCGGAAGCTTGTCAGTCTGCTGCTGAGCATATGGCTGTTCGGGAATAAGCTGGCGTTTGGAACCTTGGTGGGAGCCGTGATAGTGTTCGGCGCTGGCGGGCTGTACTCGCTGGATGGGAAGAAGAAGGCTCCGGTCCGGAGGGTCTCGTCCGCGCCGCTCAAAAAGGCATGATCCGCTTGGGGGGTTGATTTGTTGTAACGGTGGAAATTTAGCTGATACTTCGATAGCAGCCGGGATAACCGTGTCCGACTGACAGTTTGGAATGAAACTCGGATTCTGCACCGATCCTAGGGCTCGATGTCTGCTTTTAGGTAATAGTTTGACTGTTTGTTGCCGGAAGTGACCGAGAATAAGGGCCGGAACCGCCCTGTTGATAAATATTCAGGGGTCTGTCTCCAGGAGCCACCTTGCGCCCTTGCAGCGGTAGGGTCAGAATGCAAGCAGTTCCTTTTTACGGGCGGTCCTTCTGTCAGGCGCAGTGGGTGCAGAAATGGGGCCGAAAGAGACCGCAGGGAGCTTGTTAGTGGTCCATCGACGGGAGACACCCCTGCAACTCTGCAAGAGCCTTATGGTGGGGTTGCGATGCGTCATTCGACGGCAGATGGAAGATCCCGTTCGCTTCTTGGTGGTGCCCGTGGTTTTGGTAACCCAAGAGTTTAAACCACCTTTGTGTGGCAGGGCAGTTATAGGCCTATCTATCTCCGTATCGGACTATCAGTCTTGATCAGAATTTGGAGGGGTTTTGGTCTGGGCGTTCGATTCTGACAGTCAATCTTCCCTGTTGTCCTCTAGACTTGAACCCAACATAAACCTAAACACTAGACCACACCAAAGTGGAAGAACAGCACCAACACAAAGCACAAGTCCGGTACCTTGCCAAAAGGTCGTCACCCGTCGTATACGTCGGACAACAAGCAAACAGGTAAAACTGTGACTGTGCCCAAAGACGACAACGGCCAATCGTTGTTTGGGGCTTCCATCCAGCGGGGAAAATCTGCAAATCTGCCCCTCGCTGTCATCACCTTCCTTCCGCTGTGTACACCCGAATACAGCAGCAACGATTCACCTTCTCTTTGCGCTTTTAGACTGCTACTATGTGTGGTGGTAAGTTGCAGGAACCACAGCGTCCCCCGCATTGATCCCGTCCTTGGCCAATGTCCTCTCCAATGCCTCCATGATCGTGGTCTGATGATCTCCTGCTAGGACCCTCCCCATACGCGCGCGACACCCAGTCGTCAAGCCCGACGTCTCCCAGCTTCGCGGCTAGCCACCTACCGGCTCGCGATTCCGACGATGAAGAGTACAATGCTCATGAAACGAGTGACACAGAGTTCGACAACACCATCGAGCATGACCACCTTGGAAGCAGGCCTGGCAGCGCTGGTAGCCACGGCGACCTGGCCAACAACGGGAACCACTCGACAGACGCAGAGATTGAAGAGGGCATGCTTCTCAGAGATATGCCCAAAAAGACGACATTCTACGACGCCGTAACCGAGCGCCAGATGACTCAGACAGACGCCAAGCTGTTCTATCAACGAAGCCAGGTCGAGAGAAACCAGATTCCTACAGACGGCCACGCTACTCCCACTGGCAGCCCATTCATCGCGCCAGGCCACGGCACTGCAACAAGGCACATCCCTACGGACTCTGCCCAGAGCGCCATCCTGTCTCCCGAGTCCACAATGGGCACCGGGCTTAAGGCCGGCCCTGCCAATGATCCTCTGATCGAGGCCTCGCTACGGCAAAAGATGCCGCGACTGTCTGGCAGCTATAGTCATACTCGGACTGTCACCGGCAGCTCGCCATTGCCGGGGAGGATGAACCAGGCTGCTCAGCGGGAGACGTTGCTGAACACCGGCATGGTCTCTGGTATTGGAAGCAGTACTTATATGGACACAGACCCTCAGATCACTGCGGAGCTTACTGGCATCTTTCAGGGCGTTCAGAAGATCATTGATCTTCGGCAAAAGTACATCAATCTGTCCCTCCAAGGGCCGCATGATAACCCTAAGGATGATCCTAGCTGGGTCATCTATCCTCCTCCCCCGGGCCCGGCGTGGAGCGCAGGAAACAGCCTAGCGAACAGCATGATACTGAATAACGACAAGCACGAAGGGTCCTCTGGCACCCCATACAAGTGGACGGGCAAGAGGCGCAAACCTGGGCAGGATATTGGCGAAGATTTTGTGCTTGAGGACTTGTTGCCTGTGCCTGGTTCGGATGACTTTACGTATAAACTGGATGAAAATGGTGTTTACCAGATCTACAGCAACGACCAGGACAAAGAGGCCGATCAGCCAGCTATCAACATCCCAACCTTGAGGGAGTACTACTTGGATCTGGAAGCCATCCTGTCCGTCTCCTCGGACGGACCTAGCAAGAGCTTTGCCTTCAGACGTCTTCAGTACCTCGAGAAGCGGTTCGATCTTTATGTGCTTTTGGAAGGATACGATGAGACGGCCGACTGCAAGAAGGTGCCCCATCGTGATTTCTATAACGTCAGAAAGGTTGACACCCACGTTCACCACTCGGCCTGCATGAACCAGAAGCATCTCTTGCGTTTTATCAAGAGTAAGATCAAGAAGTATCCGGACGAGATTGTGCTTTACAGAGATGGCAAGTACTTGACGCTAGCGGAGGTATTCGAGAGTCTCAACCTCACAGCCTACGATCTCAGTATCGACACGCTGGATATGCATGCTCACACGGATTCGTTCCACCGCTTCGACAAGTTCAACCTCAAGTATAACCCAATTGGCGAGTCGCGTTTGCGTACCATCTTCCTCAAGACCGATAACTTTATCAACGGACGCTACCTGGCCGAAATCACCAAGGAAGTCATTGCGGATCTGGAGTCTAGCAAATACCAGATGGTTGAGTGGCGTGTGTCCATCTACGGCAAGTCCCTCGATGAGTGGGACAAGCTTGCCAGCTGGGTTGTCGACAACAAGCTGTTCTCTCACAACGTCCGCTGGCTCGTCCAGATTCCTCGCCTTTACGATGTCTACAAAGCTAGTGGCGGCGTAAACACGTTTGAGGAAATTGTCAGGAACATCTTCGAGCCCTTGTTCGAGGTCACTAAGGATCCCTCCAGCCACCCCAAGCTGCACATCTTCTTGCAGAGAGTCATTGGTTTGGACAGTGTCGACGATGAAAGCAAGGTCGAGCGACGACTGTTCAGGAAGTTCCCCGTCCCTAAGATTTGGGACGGCAAGCAGAACCCTCCTTACAGCTACTGGATCTATTACCTGTATGCGAACATGGCCTCGCTTAACCATTGGCGCAAGAGGCGTGGGTTTAACACTTTTGTCCTCCGTCCCCATTGCGGTGAAGCGGGTGACAGCGAGCATCTTGCCGTCGCTGCTTTATGCTGCCACAGCATCAGCCACGGTCTTCTCTTGCGCAAGGTTCCTGTCTTGCAATACGTCTTCTACCTTGAAAAAATTGGCATTGCCATGTCGCCATTGAGCAACAACGCGTTGTTCTTGGCATACGAGAGAAACCCGATGCACCAATACTTCAAGCGTGGCCTCAACGTGTCGCTCTCCACGGATGATCCTCTCCAGTTTGCGTTCACCAAGGAGCCGCTTATCGAGGAGTATGCGGTGGCGGCACAGATCTACAAGCTCAGCCCGGTGGATATGTGCGAGCTTGCAAAGAATTCTGTGAAGCAGAGTGGTTACGAGCGTTCGATCAAGGAGCAGTGGCTGGGCAAGAACTTTGACTTGCCAGGAGCCCAGGGCAATACCATGGTCAAGACCAACGTGCCTGACCGCAGAGAGGAGTTCCGCTATAGAACTCTACTTGAGGAAAGGGGAATGTGAGTTTATGTTCTTCCGTTGAGCCTGTGGACGACTGCTGACAAGTGAATGAATACAGGGTTGAAAGATACAATGCCCTCGCAGCCGAATCGGCGGCAGCTGTTGCCCAAGCAGCCCCCAAATCTCCGGCGCCGCCTGCGAAGGCTATCATTGGGGAGGCGAAGACATCGCTCAACACCAGCACTTTGCAGCCCGCTCCGCACGGGGGAACCGACTCCCTTTCACAGTCCCAGACCCTTCCCAGCCCCATGCAGCAGTCGCCTCAGCTGGGACTCCCCAGTGCCGCCCTCGAAGGAACAGGAACCGCCACTGGCCTCACCGACTCGATGAGGGAGCTGCATCTCCCCGAGCACGAACCTAGGTATTTCCCCGGGGTGATGTCGCGCAGCCAGGGGCGCAAAACCAGTACCCGACAGAGTTCGTTGCATGAGAGCGATGCCAAGCCGTAGGTGGCTGACATCACCTCATCTGGCGAATTCGTCGGCGAGGTGGAGGTGATGAGAAGGAAGGACACACCGAGCGTGATTGTAATGGAGGATTATATGGAGGACATGCAGCCTCCAGAAGCTACGGTGGGGATGGCGCAGGAGGTGGGGAGTACGCCTGTGCAAGACTGTCCTGATTGTTTGGAGGTGGTATGTGAGTGAGTGAATGAAGGGCGTCTTGATTGAAGATATCTAGACATTGGGCCATTCTGGGTCTGGACTGGCTGGGTAATGCAAGTGGTGTTGGTATCTGGAGTCATGCTATATAGACTTGACAGAATATTGAACCGAGTTCAGAGAGTGATCTTATCGCTATAGGTATAATTTACGTTGAACTGGCGTTTAGAATAGACTTTTGGTCAGGCTATCTCCACCAAGAAAAAGGGGGTCGACAATAGTTACTACTAGCTTGTATTGATGATTACGTTACCGTACGCGAGGGAGTTACGACGAAACAAATGCAATTCAGGGGGCGTATAAATAACATCGACACCCGCTGAGTCCAGCGGACCCCCGACCTGAAATGAACGATCCACCAGGCGCCCAAATGTCAAGAGGGAAAACCCGGGATATGACGCTATCTACACGTGCGGTTACAGTAGATCGCTGATGAATGCCCGGGTTTGCCGGTCGGGACCAGCTGGCTGCTGTTTCTTGATTGATTGATGTGAAAGTTGGGCGTGAAGAAGAGCCCAAGTTGACTGTCACAATCAAGCCACAATTACGGCCAATCAACACTTTTGTAACAAAGTGAAAGTTGCGCTTTCGAGGTATTCAGGTGCTATGCCGTACCGGAAGCGCTCAAGATGCGGCTGGGCTGTGCTTGCTCCTGCACCATCTCACTCTTTCGGCTTCGAATTGGACAAGAATCTTTCGTTCCTGCGCCAGTGCCTTGCTTCGACGTTGTTGGTCGGTCATTGGGGTTGAATTGAACCATCGAGACGCGCTGCAGTTATTCCAAATAAAAGGTAGGTACATACACCTCCAGCGCTGGGAGGTTACGTACCTGTTCTTGGGGGTTCAAATTGTAAGGTACGAACAAGGTGTTCATTTGTCCTCGGGTCAATAATGCACTTCCTAGCTACGCTTGATTTGATCTCGAATGGATCTCCCGTGGACATTGCCCTTACATAAATATACATTTTGGTGATAGCATCCATGAAAGATCGCGGCGCCTTCGCGACCGCTTCGTTGCATCGTCTGATTCCCCCAAGTTCAGCGACCCCCCCCCCCCCCCCCCCCGAACACACACCCCCGAACTGGCTCCTTTAAACGAGCACTTGGGTCCACGACTTGGACAGAGAGTAATTTCCAACGTCTCCCTTGGCTTGACCATTTCGACCGCAACTCCAAACTCTTGATCACGATAAAGGTCAAATTCCTCGCAGGGTCACCGCAGCCGCGCGTGCTCGCTGTCGTCGACATCTTCCCGACGTTCCCTCGCTCGAAATTACAGGCTACCTATCCGTAGGTACCATACAGGAGGGCCTTGGCCGGCCGCAATCCTACGCGCAAGCGGGCATACCTACAGTGCTTGCTTCAGCGGCTACCCCTTGCTTCAGGAGCACCCGTACACTCTAGAAGAGCTTCCATCCTCGTTCATCTGCCCGGCAGCCGCAGCGCCGCACCCCCGTCACCCGTCACCAACCCAGCGTCACCCGCTCTCACTCGCTGCCGCCGCCGCCGCCGCCGCCGCCGCCGCTCGCTCCTTGTTTCCATTTCCTACCGGACACACACCCCCCCCCCTTCCCCGGCAGAACCAAGACTTGTGATACCACACCACCAGCCACCATTCGCACCACAGCGCCTTTCGTTTTCCTTAATTCCTTTCTTCGTAACAGCAACTCCCTTACGTCGGTTCATGTCGGCTGCCATCCAAAGGGCATCATACGAGCAGATTTCCCGCAGCAGCCATGGGCTTCCTCGGCGTCTATAGGGCCATTTACGATTACACGCCCCAGGGCGAGGGCGAGTTGACAATCTCCGAGGGCGACATTCTCTATGTGTTGGAAAAGAGTCAGGAGGACGATTGGTGGAAGGCAAAGAAGAAGGCCAATGCCGCCGACGATGACGAGCCCGTCGGCTTGATCCCCAACAACTACATTGAGGAGGTATGTAATGTGGTCCGAGGTCTAGATCTGGATTGCGTGCAGTGTCATCTGGGCACTTGTACCTGCTTGGAGGATAGCAAGCTGGCTGGCCTTGGCATTCAGATGGATCACTTGAACTGACCGCGCACACCATGACGCCAGGCGAAACCCGTATCATACGCTCGCGCGCTCTACGAGTACACGCGTCAGACCGACGAAGAGCTCTCCTTCCCCGAGGATGCGCAGCTCTCAGTTTTCGACACTTCCGACCCCGATTGGATCCTTGTTGGCCACGATGGCGACTACGGCTTCGCGCCCGCCAACTACATCGAGCTGGGCGATGGCCAGGCTGGCCAGGTCGAGGAGGAGGAAGAAGCGACTGCCCCCCCTCCGCCTCTTCCGCAGAGGACACCCAGCGTCAGCGTCGATGTAGCCAGCCCGCCCCTGCCCGCCAGGAGTGTGCCCTCCGAGCCAAGCACCCCTGTCGCCGCTTCCAACCCTGCTGCCGCCGCCATCGCCGGAGTTATGGCCAACCGCTCTTCTTTCCAACCTCCAGCGCCCATCAGTGTTCCCCAGCCCCAGCGACAGTCATACGCTTCGGAAGATTATGAAAATGAGGTAAGGTCCCCGCCGCTTCCGAGCCGCCCGCGGGGCGATTCGCAAATTGCTCCGGAGCAAAAATCCTACAGACCGGTGCCGCCGCCCGCTCAGTCGGCAGCCCACGACACCGACGACTATGGCATTAGCCCGCGAACCTCCCAGGCTCCTCCTCCTCAGACCGCCGCGCTTACCCCTGGCGGTTTCCACATGTACAACATCAACGAGATGACGTCGGTGATGGGCAAGAAGAAGAAGATGCCCACCACGCTGGGCATCAACCTGAGGACGGGAATGATTCTCATAGCACCGGAACACTCCCATGACGGTCCATCGCAGGAATGGCGGGCCGACTGCATGACACACTACTCTCGGGAGGGCAAGCACGTGTTTATGGAGCTTGTGCGACCAAGCAAGAGCGTTGACTTTCATGCGGGCGCCAAGGACACCGCTGAAGAGATCGTCGCGATGCTGGGCGACATGGCCGGAACTGTGCGCCTCGAGGGACTCAAGGAGATCATTGCCGCGGGAGCCGGAGGCAAGAAGAAGAAGGGCGCTGTGCTGTATGATTTTATGGCTCAGGGTGAGGACGAGGTTACTGTCGGCGTTGGTGATGAGGTAGTTATTCTCGACGATACCAAGAGTGACGAGTGGTGGATGGTGCGTCGCATCAAGAACGGCAAGGAGGGTGTGGTTCCCAGCAGCTACATTGAGATCAACGGCGTGTGGGAAGAGCCGGAGACGGCCATTTCCGGTATTGCCGTGGGCATGTCGGAAGTCGAGAAGAATCGCCTGGAAGAGGCGCGCTTGACCAAGGAGGCTATCAAGGCTGCCCAGCGCGAGGAAGAGAAGGAGAAGCAGAAGAGGAACTCTGAGGTAGGCCCAGGATTGCAATTGCAAGAACGAAGTAGTAGTTTGCCGGCCACAGATGCTAACAGGAGAGGAAAACAGCGAAGCAGTAGGCGCGAACCCGGTCAGAGCAGCAGCTCCAAGTCGTCAAGCAAGTCGAGTAAGTACCACCATGTCCAGATTTTTTTTCAGAGTATGCAGAATACTGACAGTTTGTCGCAGAGCCCGATCCTTCCAAAGTGCGAACATGGACCGATCGATCCAAGTCCTTCAGCGTTGAGGCCCAGTTCCTCGGTGTCAAGGATGGCAAGATCAGGCTCCACAAGATGAACGGTGTGCAGATCGCCGTGCCCGTCTCGAAGATGTCAGTTGAGGATCTCGAGTACGTGGAGCGCGTAACTGGCGAATCTCTCGACGAAGACAAGCCCCTATCCGATCTTAGGAACAAGCGATCCGCCGGTGAGTCTTCGAGGTCTAGTCGATCGACGCGCGACAGGGAAAGAGACCGTGGTTCCAGCTCCCGGGTTGGCGCTACCATCGATTCCTCGAAGAAGCCCGACTACGACTGGTTTAACTTCTTCCTTGGTTGTGACATACAGGTTGGTTTGTGCGAACGGTATTCTCAAGCTTTCCTGCGGGAGGCTATCGACGAAAGTGTCTTGCCAGATGTTGATGCTACTGTGCTGAGGAACTTGGGCTTGCGTGAAGGTGATATCATCAAGGTCATGCGGTACCTGGACAACAAGTACATGCGGAACAAGAAAGGCGAAGAGGGTGAGGGAGGACTCTTCTCTGGGCCAGGAGGTGCGCTCCGCAACAACACGAAGAAGGGCAGGCCGGCGCCCCCCGTCGAGGTCAGCAACACCGTTGATCCCAACGCTTTCTCTAAGGACTCGGGTGCTGGTAGTGGCAAGTCATCATCTCCTACGGCTGCGGCTACGCCAACGCCGTCTGCCTCGAAGCCTTCCAGTGGCTTTGATGATGATGCTTGGGATGTCAAGCCCACCAAGACGAAAACCCCTGAGCCGGCTGCGCAAGCCGTTGCTCCCGCTCCTGCGGCGGCACCCGCTGCCGCTCCGGCCCCTGCTGCGCCAGCTCTGGTTGATGCGCCGGCTCCCCCTCCGCCAGCGGCTCTTACCAAGTCGATGCAGGAGTTGTCGTTGCTCACCCAGCCTTTGGAACCCGAGAAGGTCGCTCCTCCACCAGTTGTGCAACCGGCCATCACGTTGCCTCCGCCCTCCGCGGCTCCGGCTCCGGCTGCTGCTCCTGCCCAGGTCCCTCAGCTTACCGGCGCCACTCCCGGCTTCTTCACCGGTATGCAACCTCCTGCTGTTGGTGCACAGATCCTTCCTCAGAACATTGCCCGTCAAAGACCTCTTGCTCCTCAGTTCACTGCGGCCCCGGGTGGTCTTGTTGCTCCACCTCCATCCCGCCCCCTCTCGGCGCCTCAGTCCGCTCAACCCAGCGCCTTCACGCCACCCCCTATCCAGCCTCAGATGACCGGCTTCCAGGCACCCCAGATCGCTCCTCCTGGCCAGAGCCTCGGCGATCTCGCCCAGCAACGTCTCCAGCAACAGTACGCCGCCCAGATGCAGGCCCAGCAACAACAGATGCAACAGCCCATGATGACGGGTATGCAACCCATGATGACGGGCATGCAGCCCCAGCAGACCGGCTTCGGCCAATTCCCGCCTCAACAACAACCCTTCATGCCCCAGCCTACCGGCTTTGGTATGCAGCAGCAGCAACAACAGCCCATGATGACGGGCATGCAGCCCCAGCAAACCGGCTTCGGTCAATTCCCTCAACAACAGCCACAACCCTTTATGCCCCAGCCGACCGGCTACGGTCACGTCGGTGGTGGACTCCCGCCTCCTCTCCAGCCTCAGGCTACGGGCATGAGCTTCACTCAGGGCTTTGGAAACGGACCCCAGCAGCAGCATCAGCCGTTGGTGCCGCAGCAGACGGGGCCGGCGCCGCCTGTGCGGTTTGGGATTAGTGGTGATGCGAAGAAACTGGCGCCGCAGGCGACTGGGAGGAGAGCCAATTTGGCTGCTGCTAGTAAGTGTTCCCGCATAAGAAGGCATGTCTTGTTGTAGTAAAAGGCAACGTGCTAACAATTTACTAGCTCCCGATAACCCGTTCGGTTTCTAAGCTTTCTCCATACAATTCATGTAGGCTTTGCCGGATTCTTGTGAGTGAGTGAGTGGGTGGGTTCCGTACAGTGGTTGCCTGTAGTTGAGCGTGCAGTGGTTGGGTTTAGTTTTGTTGCTTGGTTGGGGCTGGTTGTTAATAGACTGTGCGGGACTACCCAAGAAATGGGTGATGCAGAGCGAGGTGAATCTGGAGTGAAGAAGAGAACTCGGTGAAAGGAAACGCAAATGCGAGCGAGTTGGGAAGGTTGGGTGGTGGGAATTTCCATGGTGGGAAAGGTACCTAGTGAGGTGTGAGGTGTGGTGCAAAGCATTAGCGAGTTCTCCGAGACAAACAAACACAATTAGACGCACACGCCGACGAAACAGGAGGAGAAGAAGAAGAAGATGAAGTAGAAGCAGTAGAAGAAGCAGCAGCAGCAGCACCGCGGATCGCATAGCATCGTCGCAATCTTTTTTTGTAACAAGATCGATAACTTTTTAATACGATAATTACTAGGATGGATTGTCAAGTTTCGGGTTACCTCTTCTTGGATGTGAATGAAAACTCATAAAAGTCCCAACAAGTTTGTCACGTATGAATGTATCGAACAATGGCACTTCAAGCTTCTTCTATTCTTACCGATGGTGGATAAACTTGAACATATCGATCGTACTTGATGTGATTGTGACGGCACATCGATGCCAGCACCTGTCACAGTACTAAAGATCTTATTTACCTGCCATCTGGTCTCTCAGGTCTTACCTTTCGTCCTATCTGGACTGCTGGCATCGCATATCAGGGGCCTTACACACCGATTCATCCTCGTATAGGTTGACTTTTCATGATCTACGTGATGTAAAAGTAATCTGATGTATGATTCGGATCAAGCAGTAGGTAAGGACTTGTGGACTGTGCAATCTAGCTAGGTATACATCAATATCACTTCACCATACAGACGCGCTTCGCCGACTATATTGAGAGTAAGGGCCTTGCATCAATCGTCTATTATTCTCATTAACCTATACTACAAAATACCCTGAACGACCCTAAACCGATATCATGGCTGCATATCTTAGATATTACCTACCTACCTACCGTACAAAGCCAATGCATACGCTTCAATTGATCCTTGTCCCATTGTTAAAATAAGAAACGCTTGCAAAGATTATATAGAGTAACCTCACTCCGTAAGTCCGCTGATCAAACCTCTTCAACTCATCTATTTTGTTTGACGATGTATCCAAAAGAGATATGGCGAGTAAAACACCGTGATTGTCACCATGAATTCGACACTGGCGCCTAGTCCATCTCTATGCCGGCCTCTTAACTCCTTGGTCTCCTCTTGTCATCCGACATTCTGTGGTCATAGCGCTTGTCAGTCTGAATTGAACCTCCCCCTCCGTATCTTTGTCTCTTCTTTAGTTCCTTTATAGTCCTGACATAGTTTCTCGGCATCACATCCCTTAGCAGCAGCAGAGGCTCTTCTCCGTTCCCGCTCTCCGGACGTGGCAACGGTAACAACTCGAGCAGGTCTCTATTACCATTATGACCTGCGCCCATGGCCTCGATAACACGCCTCAGCGCTGGTAGGGACGGATCATCATCGTGATTCCCGCTGGCGCTGCGGCTATGGACAACCGCGTCCCCGTCCACAGGTAGTGAGGATGGCGGGCGCGTAAGAGAAGGGAGTCCCAGAAAGGCGCGCTAGTCCTACTGGATCGTCCCCTCGCGGAGCTCCTCGTTGTCGGGGATGAGGTCCTCGATCGAGTTCTGACGACGGTGTCTGTTGACGATTACGGGGCGCTTGGCTTGTTCGGTGGCGGTAGACTTGGCTTCCCTCTCCTCCTTACCAGCGATGAGATCAGACTTTTCCTCCTTCGTCTCGTCCTGAGGCACAAACCTCTTCCTCACCGCCGAAATCATCTTGAAGAACCAATACCAGTTCAGCGTGTTCAGCGTCAAGTTGCTAGCCACATACAGCAGAGCAAGCCACACGGGGATGGGTTCAGGCTTGGCGGCGAAGAGCATCACGTTCTCGGCATCGATGGTCGAGCTGGTGGTGTTGTAGTAGGACTGGATGTACTCCGGCGTGGGCGCGCGGTGTACGGCTTTCCACATGTCTTTGTAGACCTCGATGGATTGCCAGGTGCCCCAGATCAGCCGGCAGCCGAAGAAGGTGACGAGGAGGGCGATGCCGTTGTACAACTGCGCACGGGAGCCTGTCATGTTGAGCTTGTCGAAGAACCAGTGGATGTTAAGGAAGGGTGTCGAGAGCTCGTAGAGGATAAAGGTCGTGGAGTAGTAGTTGAGGAAGGGTCTCTGGTTGACGGGCATTGTTAGTTGCTGGCAAGAGTTGGGAGATGGGTTGGGGGGGAGGAGCACAAAGAACGTACGAATCCAAATGAGTAGACCACAAGTGCGCTGACAGCGTGGGCGAGAAGACCGAAGCCAAAGATATCAAAGTTCAGCAGCGTGATGCCCAAGTCCCAGACAAAGTAGCCACAGGCCAAAGCCTGGATCATGCCCGAGGCACCCGTGTAACCCCAGATGCGCTGCTCCCAGTCCATGGCGGCACGCTCCTTGTCGGCGTACATGACCCATAGTGCCAGGACGTTGATGAGGGTGCTCTGGACGAGCGAGACGACGTGGGTGTCCCAGTTGGCCTTCTTGGAGCGCGAGTGCTTGGGGTAGTACTTGGAGAAGAAAAGGTTGGACACGATGGGCGAGACGACGACGTGGACAAAGGTGTAGAGGGCGGCGGCGCCAATGACTTCATGGACATGGAGCGGCAGGGTCGGCAAAGAGAGACGGTCGGCCCATGGCTGGGTGGCCTTGGCCAGAGCCGGAATCGGGGGGAACGGGAAGGGATCCCGCATATCGACGCGGCGGCGGCGTGGTTTGTGAGGAGGTGTGTTGGTATCTGCGGAATGTACACAAGCTTCTGTCGGTGACGGTGTTTGGGAAGCTCTGGCTATATGTACGATAGCTTATGTGGCAGGTTGGCAGCCCAAAGGACGACGGAAGGGGTCCAGGGTCGAGGTGGCTTCTAGTGGAGGCAGAGGCGGAGATAAATAAGGTAGGTTGTCAAATGGACCCCGGAAGTCTAGAGCTTTGACAAGGTCAGGTCGACAAAGCTGCAACCGTCAACGTGCAGCAGCGAACAGCAGTCCGCAGCCCCAGGCCTTGACAGCTGGATCGTTGCGATGGGAACAGTAGAGGCCAGCACGAGACGAGTCTCAGGCGGATAGGTGTTATATATGATCACGGCCGAAGGTCATGCAAAGAGAGAGAAGTTGGGACAATTATCACTATACTATAGTATCAGGAGAAGCAACAGCTTCCTCCTCCTTGATCTACACGATGGACGTTGGGACCACCAAATGAGGGTGTGGTGCCATGTGCGATGTTGTCATTCGTGCTTTCGGAAGCGTCAAGTACTTCGGTAATAGGGACCGCCTCTCTTTTTATCGAGCTGGACAACTGTTTGGGGGAGGCATCCATGGCATTCGGGCAGTCCAGACCAGGAAAGTCAAAGAGATGGATGGGGCCCTGTCACTCCCGCCTGTCACTGTGCGTTTTGTTGGGATCTTGGGCGTCTTGGCGTTGTGCTAGGTACCTAGAGGTAGGTACCTCTGACGCTGTCCTTATCTTATCGGGTCCAAATGCTCCAAATCACATGCGTCAAGTGGTAGTACAAGAATGGAAGCTGCTTAAGGCTACGATGAGGGGGCAATTTGAAGGATAAATTCATAGCCCGATCAATCCCATGGATGTTTTAAGAGGTCCTGAATGACTTCTTCCCCAAGTCACAAGTGTTATTGCCCCTTGACGTGCCTGTCCCGCCATCTTTGCTGCAAGGGCGTCATTTGGTCCATTGCAGTTCCCCTGACCACAAAGCAGCCGAGGCACAGAAGTTGAGCTCAACTCAGGGAGGGTTAGGGTACGGTATCATGTGCACCACTCAACTGGAAAGCGGATGACTCCTGTCTTCACTGTGCACCATTCAAGTCAAAATGTATCAGTGTAAAGGTCAACACACTCATCTGGATTAGCCTGGATAGCATAAGATTGCATAAACCTTGATGGTTTGTATGTACGCGCTATAGGGTCATCAGAGTTCCCGTTTCCGTTTTATTAACTACATAAAACTCCAGCATCCATATTGCCTTCCATCAAAGATCGTCGAGGCTCCCAACCTGGTCAATATATTCATTTGCTCCTGCCAACCTTTCACTCATCTGCTTTGCCACCTGGTCCTCAAAGCTCTCCTCTGTATCGTCTTCAGCATTGGAATCGCCAGCCGCTAAGCCCATTAGGTTGCCACTTGCTTGCGCGGGACCCTTCGAAGACGCTTCCTCGCCCTTATTCGGCATTTCCGTGATAAACGAAAGTGGTCCTCGATGAAAGTGGCGACGTATTGAGGAAGCCTTGGGCCATAGATCCTCAGATTCATTGCCCAGTCAGGTGTCTGGGTCTGTTTCCCAGTGAAGTTCGCCCAAATATGACCGTGAATGACATCCCGGGCCCAAATGAACGAAGGATTAACAACGGAATGGAGATATGAGCGTCCCGAGACGTTATCAAGTTGCTTGAAGTTTCGCAAAAGCTCCTTCTCATCGGCTTCATTTTGTCCCTGTGGCACGAGGTATCTTGCCAGGCAGGTGCCTAGGAAGCCTTCCATATCACCTTGCAAATCAAGTTGCACAGTAGACAAAACATTCATCGGCCCCGTTGGATCGGGAGATTGCAGACAAAGAATCTTTAAGGCCAAGGCTTGTAGATATAAGTCGTTTCCCTCCATGGCCATTCCTAGTGCAACCTCGACGGCCTCTCGTTGCGCTGTATTTGGCCGTGCGGAAACCAGTGCCCAGTCAGGCCTTTCGAAATGCTTGTTGGGGACAAAAACCGGAAGGTGTATACCATCCCCTTGCTCAAGCAAGAGCCCCTGGAAGTCATTGATGGTAAACCCGTCAGGACGCTTTGATGTTGGGCGAGTTTCCCACCATGTTTTAGCGAGAATCCACTGAATGAAAGGTCTCGTTTTTGTGTTATCCGCGTTATCCTTCTTGACGGATTCCGCAAAAACGCGGGCATGTTCGACTAACGTTGGTGACAACAACTCAGCTCCTTGGTCGAGAGGACGGATTTGCAACATGAGAGAGGTGAAAACGTCCAAGAGACCAAGTATGACGGATTCACTGCTCTCCAACTGGGCCCAATCTTCGTGGATACGCGCAAATGCCCCGTCCAAATCTTTGGTTTTGAAGAGCATTGCGATGGTCTCTAGCCACCCAAATAGTAAGACGGTGCTGACGAGCAGATCCCTGAAGTCCCAGACACGAGCTTCGCTCAGCAAGCGATAGTAGAGGAGCTCCAGATCCAACAATGCTTTGGCATCCTGTATTGCTTGGGCCACAACCTGGCTGTGTGAGGATGCTTTCAAGTAACTCAATACTTGAAGGCAAAGGGAGAGAATTTGAATCTAAAGCCCAGTTAGATTTTGACTTGCGAGATCTTTAAAACAGAACTCATAATTTGGTCTGCCAACTCACCTCTGTTGATCCTATTACTTCTTCATTATAAAGGTCCTCTAAAACGCGCCGAACAGTCTCCAACGCCACTACAGTATAATTCCATATCGGTGAGCGCGTGACAAGTTTCAAGAGCTCAAAATTGGTTTTGAGCTTGCCGTCTGTCGCGCTCTTCGGATCCTTTTCCTCGTTCAGGCCGGGAAAAGTGAGTTCCTGGAAGCTCTTATAATCCCCCGACACAACAAGCATCTCCGCATAGTGTATAAAGATGTACGGGATGGTGCTATATTGAGCAAGCTTCGACTGATAGATATCCCTAGCCTCTTTGAACCTTCCCAAGCGTCGAAATCGGCAGAAGTCCTCCAAATATGGGCTCAAGTCATGCTCGATAGGAACATCAAGTTGAATGCTGATATCTTTTGATGACTGTGAGGGATCATGCACAGCATCAAAGGCAATCCTTTCCACTCGGATTTCCGAAGCCGGAGACGGCAAAGGTTGATCTTCACTGTTGTGCGGCGTGGGGTTGTTGAAGCTCGGTGCTAGAATGGGTTTTGACGGGAAATCTTCCATTTCATGTAGCCTCTGAGACGTGGTCTTTCTCTTGTCACTTTTCTCGTAGTGATGCTGTGGGACATTTGGGGGTGATGCGGAAAATTTGGGATGCGAGGTCTTTGGCGGAAACTGAGATGAAGAAGCAGTGACCAAACTCCTGTCAGCTCGGTGTGAATCCCCATGTTCAAATTCATCCATAATGTATCGGATGGGAGACCGTGAGCGATGGTAGTGGCGGATACACCGATCGCGATCATAACGATCAGCATCATACCTAGATCTCGACCTATGGCGTAGGTAACCATCAGCATCATACCTCGATCTCGACCTATGGCGTAGGTAACCATCAGCATCATATTTCAGTCTCGATCTTGGATGAAATGGATATGATGCCGGCAGTATGGGAGGCATAGTACGGGTTCCTGACGTGCGGTTCATCTTCAATTAGGCACAAGGATGATGTCGCTGAGGGATGCTGAGTGGCACCCGTGCCCATTTAAGGACGACTTTCGAAGCGGTGGGATCAACACTTGCCCGAGATTACAGTAGCCACAAGGCTCTGAATGTCATGTAAGCAGCTGACGGTCTTGTTACCCAACCTGATCAGGCGTGGGTGTAAGAAAGCGTACGAGACAGCTCATGACTATTGGACCGTTAACCGACTGACAGTTATCTTCGAAGCTGCTGTGACAGCTGTACCCTACCATCCACCTTCATGTAGGTATCTTTCCAGATCTGGCGAGGCTCCTCATTTCCTTTTCTCTTCTTCATGCAAGCCAGTGCTTGAGTCAACCTGAGCCATTGGTTTTCACCTTTCCTTAGGGTCACACTGCGGCTGGGAGCCTGCATGATAGACCAATGATGGGAGCAATGAATTCCGAGTGGCTTAGCTGCACTAGGCCGACTGGGAGGTGTTCCTACGCAGGCAAGTAGGTAACAAGGCTGAGCGTGGAGCTGCTGTTGCGGCAGGAAGATGTGCTTGTGAGTTCTACGCAGATAAGCGCTACTCTTCCCAAGCGATTGTCGGCAAGTGCTGTCCGCTTGGTTGATTTGCGCGCACCCGATCACAAACGACTTCGTTCCGCTCTGGATCATCCATATGGCATATCATCAAACCGAGTCAAAGTCGTGGAAAGGGGCAACCAGAAGTGCGCCCAACTACACACGCGTCGACTATGGGCGATTCCCCGAGAGTCTTCCGCCCCTTATACCTATCGGACAAACATCAAAAATTGGAAAGATTGAAGTCGATTGCCGGTTCCTTTGCTCAAGGTCCAGATGGGGCAAGATGTCGAACGGGGGTCCGGGTCCTCGGCTTAGTGACACTTATCCCGCCGGCATCCTTTACCTTGACCTGGCCTTCCGTCAACCTGCTGACTGCAGGCTTCAGTCAGCAAAAATCGCCGTAACCCTAGGAAGAGATGACTATATGCTCCAGAAGAGTGAACCGGCTGTCTTCATGACCGGCCACTATGGCCCAAGACAACTGAGCGGACCCAGACAATCGATACAAACCCGACAACTGGACGAGTTCAGACCACAAGTAGGAGTAGGGGGCTATGTCGAGGTTGGCGGTGTTGGCAGGCAAAAAGAAAAACTCCAAACCATCGCTGACAGCTGGCGTTTCTCTGGCTATCTCCGGTCTGTTGACGGGTGTCCGAACTACAACAGGCTCGAGTGGGTTCTTGACGAGAGCTTCCTTGAGGAGCGACCGACGCACGGCCCCATCTTTCACACAGCCTTTGCCATCGGGCACAATGCGAGGGCCTTTTATCTGACGGTGGAAGTGACCGGCACCCTTGCTAGGAAACGGGATAAGTTCAAGAACTGGTCGAGGGAGAAATTCAAGTTCGGGGGAAGTAAAGACACGCCGCAAAACCAAGCAACCATCAAGTTCCAGTGGAGGAACGGATACTCGTCTGCCAAGTTGCCCCTGGACGTGGAAGCCCAATATCTTTCACAGGCCATGGATTTGGAGAATATGCACAGCATTCCGATCGTGATCCCGGAGCCCCAACCAGCAGCTTTCTATTCACCAGCTATGCACTCGGAGGCGGCGACCGACACTCGAAGGACGTCTGTCCGCCCCGACAACGTGATGCTTCCAACAGCCGGCAATAACACTGCTGAAGCAAGAATTCCGCGGCTGCAAACAGATGTGCCACCTAGGCCGCTGTGGCTGACGGATGCTCTCCCAAACTTGAAGCCATCGACAGACGAGAATATAGCTTGGGCCGCCGGATTGGACTCTGTTGGCCGTTCTGGTTCGATAGATCTTGACAGCCTTGATTTGACCACGACGCCGAAGACTGTTTCGGGCGGCACGACACTGGTCGATGACGACCAGGACAGTGAAAGCCCTTGGGAGTCTAATTCAACCGCACGGCGGACAGTGGAAAGACAAGCCAAAACGAGCGACGAGTCCAGTGCGGAAAAGACGATGAAGGGAGAGAATCATCCGTTCAACGAGCCGCCAATGGAGGTTGGTCTTATGCTGAAGCTCCTGCACTGGCTTCAATGTGTTACTATCTGGGAGCTTATCTCGGCGATGCTTGGAGTTGCTGCCTTAACCGGGGAAAGCCGTGCGGATAAAGGAGATTGGGGTCGACAAGGAAAATGACACCAAACGTAGAACCATCCGCGTACAATCCAGCGGCCAGGAAAGAAAACAGTTCAATGAGGACTCTGACACGAAGACGCCGGTTCCCATGGTACCAAACCGTGCGTGGCAAACCGAAGGAAAGATGAGTTGGAGCGGCGATGGAATGGACAGGCGAACGGGTATTATGACGTGTGGAGTTGAAAGAAGTTGGGGAGGGAAACATGGAAATCTGTAATGACATCGCATCGTCGGATAGCATGCGGCTCTCTGGCGGGCGAGGCGCGTTGGTAAATCAAATGTAGGCAGTCAATGTCGGGTGTTGTTTTGAAGATGGTATGGTGATGGCGACATGGCCCGCGAAAAGAACAAGTGTCGTGGGAGGTGCAGTCGTTTGATGAGACATGATGCAATGCTGATTTAGGTATCTGGGCTTTGCCTGTAAGCTAAACGAAGGAAGCAAGAGGATAGGTACTGAGTTTTTCTGAAAAGGGAGGATTTTGTAGAGTACATAGTACAGTTCAACATGAAGCGATCTAGAATATCATGATGTTGCTGCCTAGGGCCCCTGTAACTCACCCGCTGGACTTGAACTTTTCAAATCCAGCGCTATTGCCTAGGTATTGAGGGTCGCGCACTGACCACCTCCCCCCGGGCTTCCCTTCCCATCGTGTGGGTTGCTGCATCGCCGCTCCTCTTCCAAGCAGAACACCAAATAACCATCTAATGAAACAGGGAAGAAAGCTGTTGGCCAAACGAAACTCCCATCATCAGGTAATTCCATGAATCGCAATTCGAACCAAACTGAAGTACTTGACAATTACAAGGTGGAACCTCGGACAAAAGGAGCTTTTTGAGATCGATCTCTCATCGCAATTCATAACTTCACTCTGGCCCTTTTGGTTGTCCTCGAGGGGTGGGTCCTGGGCTGAGTGGGCAACCTCCTGAGAGTTGACGTGTGCAGCTAGCTGAGGCAGCAGAGAGCTTCAACGGATGTCCTTGAGTTTGGGCAATCTTTCGATATTTTCGCCGCGTCATCCATTAGAATTATCGCCAAGTGAAAATGGCAGATCTCCTTTACGAGCTTTTGTCCCCTCCCTCAGGGGACCCATCATCCAGGCCAGCGCCCGATCCAAGCTCACTCGAGTATCTCACCAGTCTCTCATCACAACCTCTCACAGCATTGGAGACAACCGAGCCACAAGCCCTCGCCCAGACTTCACATGGTCTCCTTCTATCCATTCAGGCTCTTTCAAAGAAGTCCCACAAGCAAGTCATCGAATCAGCAACCCACCACTCCACCCTCCGCACCAGCCTACCTGCCCTCGCAGCCAGCACCGCCGACCTGCGACATTCCATCCCCAAGCTCGATCACGAAGCCGTCCGCTTCTCGACAAACTACAGCAAGTCCAGCGAGAGCGATGTCCTCCTCCGGCGCAAAAAGGCCCTCTTGCTCTCTCGGAATGTCGAGCGGCTTGTCGACGTGCTGGAGCTGCCCAATCTTCTCTCAACAGCCATCTCCACTGCCCCAGTCAACTACTCCTCTGCCCTTGACCTGAACGGCCACATTCGCCGTCTGCACTCGCTGTACCCGGACTCACCTCTCGTCACCTCCATCGCCGCCCAGGCAGATGAGGCCATGCGCACTATGGCCGCCAACCTCATCCAAAGTCTAAAATCCCCAGGTCTCAAACTAGCTGCTTCTCTACGCACGATTAGCTGGCTTCGGCGCGTTCTTCCTGACCTGGAGGCTGCCGGCACAAGCAAGGGTCACGACTCTCAAGAACGGGTGCTGGGGGCCCTCTTCTTGGTCTGCCGACTAGCGACGCTGGTGAACATGCTCGACGCCTTGGAACCACTACGTGACTTGGCCGACCAGGAAAAGGCGAGGCAAAAGGCGATTGGAAGCGGGAATGCCTGGTCGGGCGGGCAGCAAACGGAGCGGTACCTCAAGCGGTACATTGAGATCTTCCGTGAGCAGAGCTTCGCGATTGTGAGTATGTTTAGGAGCATATTCCCCCCTGCTGCCCCAAAGGGGAATGGAAATGAGGGTTCGGATGATCCGTTGAAGCAACAAGATGCGCTGGAACCCATGCCGGCTGCATTGGCGACGTTTCCGCTACATTTGGTGGATATGCTGTTGGAAACACTGAGGCTGTATTTGCCCACAGTGAAGGATCAGGCCTCAAGGGATAGTCTGCTGACGCAGGTCCTTTACTGTGCTGGAAGCTTGGGAAGGCTGGGAGGCGACTTTGGGCTGTTCTTGGCCAGCCTGGATCTTGGACCGGAAGCGGAGGAGGAGTGGGTGGAGGTTGTAAAGAGGCATAGGGCTTTGGCTGGAAGGCTGGAGTCGATTGTGGGGGATCAGAAGAAATGAGAAAACCGCCTGGATGAACACCCAATCTACCAATATCCAATCAAACTAGAGCTTCTCGACCCGAGACTTACACAATACAACTAATCAGGATTTGGTGTTCAGGACCCCCCAACTAACAACGGAATGTCCGACGGGGATAGGTATATCGACACATGAGGGACCATAAATTTGCAGACATTCCTGGTCCTACCACTTATATTCTCACTAGGGGCCCTTTGTTTACCTTGTGTTCGAACAGTATATCTCTCCAAAGATTGGCCCTCTTCAAAAGAGGTTGAAAGTGGGCCTACCTTAACTTGAGGCCGCTTCCGGGGCCCCGGCCTGTTCGGTCTTTGGTGGAGCCAGTTAGCGGCCCCGCAGCGGCAGGGTGGAGAGAGACCGTTCCCGAACGGCGGGGCAGTCCCGAAAAAAAATAATCGGCGACTCCCATGCCGTCATACTTGGAATTCTTTGTCCCTGCCGTTCCGGCAACAGCATCCTTCCCGGTAGCTTCTTCCCTCCACATCCACGGCAAATCTCAACACACGAAACGGAAGCGCAGTCACGATGTTCACTTGTCTCTAGTTCAGATTTTTGTTCTCCTTCCTCTTTTTCTCCCCAGCGGAAACGTCTTACGGCCATGGTCGGTTTGCGCCACACTTAAACTGAACCCTCTCTTTCCGTCGTCATCTTCTCGCCCACCGAGCAAAGGGGAGCATCAAGCTCGTCAGCCAACCGTTGCGCAACCATGTCCGATGGTTCCCGTAAATCGGGCACAAAGTCCAGTATGTTTCCAGTCCGAATCTTCCATCACAATCGTTGTGACCTTTGAAACCTCCTCGCTAACTTCAATCCCCTCCCAACCAAACAGCCTTCCACTTCGTAGCCGGTCTCGGCTCCGGCGTCCTCTCCGCCATCCTTCTCCAACCCATCGACCTCCTCAAGACCCGCGTCCAGCAATCCGGCAAACACTCCCTCCGCGCCGCCCTCGCCGAGCTCCGCTCCTCCCAACAAGGCCTCCTCCCCTCTCTCTGGCGCGGCACCCTCCCGTCAGCTCTGCGCACCGGCTTCGGCTCCGCCATCTACTTCACGACCCTCAACACCATCCGCGAAAATGCCGCGCGCCATCTGCCCTCGCTCGCAGCGGCCGCGCCCACCATAGCCGCCGCATCCGGCATTGTCGCCCCCAACGCAAACCAGACATCCTCCTCCCTCCCTAAGCTCTCCAACACAGGCAACCTCCTCGCGGGCGCCGTCGCCCGCTCCTTTGCCGGCTTCATCCTCATGCCGCTCACCGTCCTCAAGGTCCGGTACGAAAGCAGCTTCTACAAGTACACCTCTTTAGCCGGCGCGGCGCGGGATATCGCGCGAACCGAGGGAGCGCGCGGCTTCTTTGCTGGGTTCGGCGCAACCGCCATTCGCGATGCGCCGTACGCGGGACTGTATGTCTTGTTCTACGAAAAATCCAAACAACATCTCAGCAATCTTTTCCCGCAGCCACCACAACTATCCACCACCCTCGAGGCAGCGGGACAAGACGGAGGACGCATGAGCCAATCCCGCGCCGCCTCGATCAACTTTGCCTCGGGTGTCTTCTCGGCAATCATCTGCTCGATTATTTCGAACCCGTTTGATGCGGTCAAGACGAGGATCCAGCTGCAGCCGAAAAAGTACCGAAATATGGTGCAGGCTTCGAGAAAGATGTTGGCCGAGGAAGGGGTGAGGAGCATGATGGATGGACTGGCGCTCAGGATGAGCAGAAAGGCGATGAGCTCGGCGTTGGCGTGGACGGTTTATGAGGAGCTGATTAGACGGGCGGAGGGGGCGTGGACGAAGAGGGGGCCGGAGGAGGTTCAGCTGTAAGTTGAAGGGGAAAGTTGGAAGGGTGTTGGTCACTTTGGTACATTGGAAGATCGATGGGGCAGAAAGAAAGACCTGAAGGGAAAGTCAAGGGCCAATTATGGCTACAGGAAGGGAAGGTCATGGAATGACGTTCATGGTCGAACAGGGAAAAGGGGAAAAAAAGATACTGCAGGCGGTAGGTATGGGTACGGATTTTGGTTATTCATCATGGAACGGTGTTTTTGTAGTTATTGGGGTTTGTACCACCATTATAGATATCCCTCTGCTCAGCGATTAACGACATGTACAATTAGCGATCAAAGACTTTGTAAGATAGGTACGAGACACAGCCAGCGGCTTTGTCTTGGTATGGATTGATGATGGGTAGGTATCATATCGTGGATGGGTTAAGGGTCAATTAACATTGGCATTGGAATGTCTCGAAATTCTGTTTGGAAAAGACGTTGGAAAGGTGACCAAGTCAAATCACAGCCCACAGCTGGAGTCGAAGTAGTGAATCAAGACATGGGTTTCTTTGTTATCATAATACCTTTATACCTTCCATCATCGGAAAACGTAATAAAGTCAATGCCTTGGGTTTTTTCTGTGTGTTTCTGGTGCTCATCCAATCGTTCTAGGAGTAGGAGGGTATTGAGAAGAAACTGAAACCCAACAATAAGTGATTTGATGATGGATATCTTTGTTACTACCCAACCTCAGCCATCAACCAAAAAATCAGAAAAAGGTAAGCAATGCAATCATTTCGTGATATCCAAGAGCAAAAAGAAAACACATCCATCTCTCATCCCAACCAAAAGTCATAACACGTCATCCCTCATTATCCCTTTATCCCCTTATCCCTCCTCTCATGAAGGCCGTCCACCAGCCAAATACATCAACAAACTAGGGCTCTTGCTGCGATGTCTGGTGCTGCTCTTCTTGCGCACAAATTCAAACTGGTCGTCGTCAAGATGACTACTGCTGTGTCTATGGTGGCTGCTCCTCGAATGGCTGTGGCTGTGATGGCGCGAGTGCGAGCGTTCGCGGTGCTTGTCTCTCTTGTCTTTGATGACCAGAGTTTCGGATACCTCCTTGGTCACGACGGTGCGGATCTGGCGCGTGTGGTCCCAGAGTTGTTGCTGCTCCCATTCCGGCACCCAGCGCTTGATTAGGACGTAGCCTGGTTCCTGTTTTTGGGGGGATGGGGCGTTAGTGATTTGGAAATGGGGAAATGGGATACTAGGAAGAAGAAGAAGAAAAAAGAAAAAAAAAGGGGGGGGGGGGGGGGGGGGGGGGGAGGGGCAATACGTACAGCATCGTATTCGAAATCAATCTTGAAGTGGTAAAGGGTTTCGACATCGAGATGGCGCAGAGACATGCGAGTGTAGGTAGGACGAGCAATCTGTCCTTGCTTCTTAGCCTCCTTCTCGCTGTCGCTGTCACTATCGCTGCCCTTCTTTTCCTTCTTGATTTTCTCCTTCTTGAGGATGGCCGCGATAGCCTTCTCGTCCAGACCGGAGTTGATCAGATCCTCCTGCAGGCGGCGCTGGTACTCCCTCTCCATCCTGTCCTTCTCCTCCTGCTCCTTGGCCAGCCGCTCGGCCTCCTTGGCCTTCCAGCGGGCCACGGCCGCCTCCTCCTCTTCCTGCTTGCGCTTCCGTTCTTCTTCCGCCTTCCTCTCTTCCTCCAGCCGCTTGAGCTCGTACTCGCGACGCAGGCGCTCCTCCTCCTCCTTCTTTTCCTTCTCCCTGCGCATGCGATCGAGCTCCTCCTTGGCCTTGCGCAGCTCCAGCTCTTCCTCGAGCTTCTTCTGCTTGCGCTCCTCTTCCTCCTCGCGCTCCAGCCGCTCGAGCCTCTCCTTGGCGCGAATGAGTTTTTCTTCTTCCTCGCGAGCCGCTGCACGGCGCCGCTCCTCCTCCTGCCGCCGGATCATGTCCAGGTGGAACTTGGCTTCGTGCAGCTGGTGCTGCTTCTCGTACTCCATCTCGCGACGGTGTTCTTCTTCTTCGCGGCGGCGCTCCTCCTCGCGCCGCTTGATCATGTCAAGCTCGTACTTGGCCTGCGCGAGTTGCTGCTGCTTCTCGTACGCGGCCTCCTTCTTCCGCTCCTCCTCCAGGTGGCGGGCCTCTTCCTCTTTGCGCTTGACGAGGTCCAGCTGGAACTTGGAGACGGCCAGCTCGTCGTGCTCCTTGTACTTGTCGCGCTCCCGAGACTCTTCCTCCTTGCGCCTCATGAGGTCGAGCTGCACCTTGGCTTGGTAGAGCTGATCGTGCTCTTCGTGCTGCTCTTGGAGGCGGCGCTCCTCCTCCTTACGCTTGATGAGGTCCAGCTGAAACTTGGCTTCATGGAGCGATTGCTGTTCCTTCATGTGGCCCAGCTGGCGTTCCTCGTCCTCCTTGTGCCGGATCAGCTCGAGCTGGAGCTTGGTCTGGTGGTAGTCCACATCCTTGTCGTGCTCGGCCTGGAATCGCTTCTCCTCGGCGGCACGCTCGAGGCGCTCAAGCTTGGCCTCGGCATCGCGCAGACGGAGTGACTTTTCCTGGTCGTAAGCGGACCTGCTCCGCTCCTCCTCGAGTCTGATCATGGCCAACTTTTCCCGGGCCTTGACCAGCTCGATCTCCTCTTCGTGGTACTTTTCTTGAGTGAGACTCTGCTTCTTCTGTTCGTTGGCGGACCTCATGGCCGCGAGCTCGGCCTTCATTCTCTCCAGCTCCCATTTGGTATGGGCGTCGTCAAAGTTGCTTTCGCCGCTCGACGACCGGCTACGGGCGCGGCTGTGTGCACCACGGCTGTGAGACTTGCGGCTCCGCTTGCTGAGGCCAGCATGAACATGGTAATCAGGTTCCGAGTCAGACGAATAATCAGAGGAGCTGTGATGGCCGCGGCCGATGATGTTCTGAACCACAACCGGTCCCTTGGTCGCAGGAGAGGGAGGTGCTGGGGCGACCATGCCGGCGGGAGGAGAGGGGCGCTCGCGCGACCCTGCACGCGACCGTGAGCGGCTCTGGTGGGCGTGAGTAGCCACGAGAGTGCGCTCATTGACAACAGAAGGAGCGCGTTGCTCCCAGTAAGGTACTCGGGATGGGCCGCCAAAGTCGGACCGGGATACGGACTGGATGTAGGTAGGGCCACGGTGGGTGCGATCGGGCGAAGGCGACCTGGGAGGAGGACGGACCATGCCGGGAGGCGGCGCCCGATGGACACGGATGTCGATGCCCGTGGACGCCAACGACTCCTCGTCGCTATAGTCGTAATGGTGACGACTAGCAGCGCGGCTCATCTTGTCGACACTTGTTTGGATATGGGTGAATGGGGTTTCGGGGTGAAACGACCGGAGCCAACCGACACTGACTGAGGTGACAGTGAGACAGGACTGGAGGAGGAAAGGCTCACTGTGGGTGGTTTGTCGCAAAAGAGATCAGGCTCGAGAGAGAAAAGCGGCACACGGAGGGGCCCAGAAGGAATATAAAAGCCCGGTTTTACACTACTTGAGGGCGGGGTGTGACGCACCACTTGCTCTGTGGTCTAGCGCAGGGGGGCATGGAAGGTAGCATGGGAGAGCATCAGGAGGGAAGGTCTCAATGGACCCATGAGGCATGGTTGGGCTGGGTCAGCTCGGCCCTGGCCAGACACGTTAACGACACAGTGTGTACGGGTTTTTCCTCAGTCTGGTAGGCAAGCAGGTATTCCCAGACGGACCACACCCTCGGACACAATCAAAACACGACGGGTGATGCGGCATGTGCCACCCAGCCGCCGAACCACGGAGCCGACGAGAAGGCCAGAAGAGACTGGAGGGGCTAGCAACGGTGATCACGCCCTCTCACTCGTTTCTCACGGTGGCCTGGCTGTGGTTGGTCCAAAAGCGGGTGGGTGGTCCGGTAACAACCCTAGCGGTTGCATGTCCCAGGCGCCCATAGGCGGCATGATGAGCCAGTGAATGGACCAGAGATGGGCAAGCGATAGACAAGGTGCTGACAGAAAAAGGTCTCAGAACGTGATCTGGACGGGTCGGTGGTGGAGGTTTGTGGAATGTGGACGGTGAAGATCCCAAGATCCAGAATCCAGATTCTCCATCCCTTCAGTGGGAAAAAAAAAAGCAAAGCCACCTTCCGATGCCGAGTAGAGGACGAACAAGTCGCGCAGAAGGGTCTGAGACGATAGTACCCGCAAAGGAGGGGTTTCACGGGCTGTGGTTGGGTTTAGAGCTGAGCCTCGCCAACGACAATCATCGGCAGCTTGAGGGTCCTATGAGCTGCTGTGACTGGTATCTTCCGCGTCGGGTAAACCAGACATGTTGTGCTTCTGTATACATTCCGTAGTGACGGTCTCACAGTCTGAAAGAGCTCTCTCTGTTGGTGACTGAGCACATAGTCAAACTCAATTGTTTTCTTCCTCGTCGACTTCTCGTTGTGAAAAATGTGCGAACGCTGTTATCAACCCGAAACTCGGGAATGCCGTCGCTGAAAGCCGCCATGCATAGGGCTAAAAGTGAGGGGCTGTACCAGGTGCATGAAGCGTGCAGTAACCGGGTCTTGGCAGCGGATCGAATCTGGCTGCCAGGCTTGTGTCTTTTCAGATGTCTGTTTCCAAGGAACACGGTCCTTCGCTGTCAGCCGGGTGTTACCTCAAGGACCCAAGATATCGAGATCAATGTGCAAAAAAGAATTGAGGCGTCCGTTATGTGGATCCTAGGGGACGGGAACAGTGTGAGGGCATTCCGACTGCCCGAGGAAATGGCTGCCGAGTGGTTTTTGACCGAAAGATGGCCCTACCGGGGCTTCAGTTGCTGTGATGAATCGGGCGTGGTGATTCGTAGCAGCCAATAGACTAATCGATGAAAAATGATTTTGTCCGCATGTGAACACGAAGACTCAAGGCAGGCGCGCCGCCGGTGACACTGAAAGTGCTGTCATGATAGGCAACCGTATGTTGTATCCCCCAACATCGAAATATGTTTGTAACATCGTGACGCACCCAATACCTCAACCCCATCCCATCTCGCTCAATCTTTAGAGCTTCCAGGTTGGGCACCGTGCCCTGCTGCCGAGCTCGGCCGGGACTTGGGCCGCCACTCCTCCATCTGCTGGGATTTAAGCGCCAGCTATAACTACGTACTACATATAACTACCCGGATAGACTCCGCAATGTTTATTAGTGTACACTGTACACAGCCGCGTAGTGTACAACGGCGTACTGTTCGATTGGCAGGCGGGCGGGCGGGCCATCCCCATGCACAGCTAGTGTACATATAGCAACGACACAAACTGGACCTCCAAGCTCAAGAGATATGCTGTTCTCGACCGCTGAATATGATAGACACGGTGCCTTTGGCATCAAGCAAAAATTTCATAGCCCGCCCTACCAATTCCTATTTTCAGGGACATCGATAAAGTTCCCCTGTTGAACCCTTTGAGCGCCAAGTTTATCGGCGCTTCAAGCAACAATCTCCCTTCCTTCTCGCGCTTAAGTTCCTGAACGACACCCAGCTCCTCAGCTCCCCTTCAAGCCTGTCCACCACCCTTGAGCATCTTCTCGATGTGCTCCTGGCTGTTCTTCGCTGTCGTCTCGAGGTAGTGCAACCTCTTGCCCAGGTTCTCCACCTCGGTCTCCATCTCCTTCATCTCGGTGCTCAACCTATCCTTCAATGCCGGGACAGGGACGGAGACGAACCTGTTTGTTTTTTTTGGTGAGTGTGTCGTTAGGAAATCGGTGTGGCCACCCGGGACGTGGTGTCCTGTGGTCGTCGGTTTGTAAAGGTGATGATCAAGAGGTAGTACGTACATCTTCCCAACGCCCTCGTACACGGCAGTGGTCTCGGGCAACGTGGCGAGCTCATTCCGTGTGAGCTGGGCCAGACGCATTTCACGCTGCTTGGATGCCTGCTGGGTGCGGACGAGACCAATTTGTTGCTGAGCCGCGATCGACTGCGCTTCGATCTCACGGACCAGCTATGTCATTGGGGTCGATGTCAGAGCTTCACTGCAAAGCGTCATTGAACTGGTTGATGCCCGGCTCACCTTATGAAGAGCTTCGTTGGAAATGGACATTGTTGCGGTTGCGGTCTGAGAGACTAGGTGAGGAACAAGGGTATAATCGGTGATTTGATCCTCAACTGGGTTGAACTGTTGCTGTCTTGGGTGTTTTGAATCTGAAAGTCCAAAAGGGGGGAAGCTGTTCTGTGGGGGAAACGTTGGCGGCCGCGACCTTCAGTTTGGACAGTGCAGTGGTGATGCCGGCGCTGGAAAGCACAGTGTGTTTATCGGCTATCCGCACATGTCTTTGTCCGATGCACTCAGGGTCCGTTTCAGTTGTCTTTAGTTCTTCCAACACAACAAAGCAACAAGCTTCTTGAAGTTGCAACTGCCATGTTACATTGTATGTATCTCTAAGTATGGGTAACTAAGTACCGATTTATGCTTCTATTGGTTCCTTTATTTCAATCGAGGTGTTTGTTTCCACGATATGCCTCCACAGCCTCTACTGCGAAGACCTTGTATTTGTGGTAGCAGTTGATCCTCAACAAACGGGACAGTTTCGCGATACGACCCATTACACCGATACTCACTCTCTTCATTTAATTTCTTCTTAAAAACTGTGTTGATAGCGACTTGAAGTTATCAGTGTTTCACTGCTTCTCTGCCCTCGGATCGACTTATACTTGAAAAAAAAAAGTGACCGTGATCGGTTCGCCAGGAGCGGCCTACATCCGTGCCTTGTCCCATTATCCTACCAACAAGATGATCATACAATCTTCGCTAATCCTCTTAAATCGATTTTTAGTCTATTATCTAAGGACGCTTGCCCTCTTGCCGGATATTATTAGCTGCTCTTGGTTGCACCCTTGTGAGTCCTGGGAACGACCTGAGGAATAGACCTCCAAGGCCGCCAATCAAGCATGAATTTCTCCTCCTCACCGCCGAGGCAACGAACCAGCCAGATGCGCCAGAGAATCATTTCGTATGCTATGTAGGAGCAAGTGTCAGTCAAAAAGAAACCACAGCGATGAAGCCGCCTTTCGGCTATGGGATGCACTTACCACCTAGGCCAGTCAGGATATGCCACCATCCATGACCTTCAAGTACAATCGACCAGGGGAGTTGCAGCTGGTTCTTTGCGGTGGTGAGATGTCTGCAGAAGATGTTGTCCATGTTCCAGATAAAGAAACCGCCGACAAAGGTGACAATGGCTATTATGTTCCAAGTATTAGTGTAGTCCTCATTGGGAACAAAAGGCCGGGCATCACTTACAAACCAATGCCAACGTCCACATCTCGCGCATAATCCGGCTGCACGCGGTAGGATTTCTCTCCCTAAGCTGCGGCCTCAATTGATACTCCATAACGTAGAAGCCGCGGAAGATGGTGGTTGCTGTGATTAGGGCAAATGCCACCTGATGGAAAACTGGGTTTTTCGCATAAAGATAATAGACCTAAACATCTAGGTCAGCTCCGTTTCCCCCCAAGAAAGATCATGATTCACTTACAGTGATAAAGAGACCAAGCCCAACCATGATCGAGGCAATCAGTAATTGGGTCCTCGGGGATCTCTTGTAGGAGAATGTGGCATAACACATGATAAAGACGGTATAGATCATGGGTAGCTCATCAGCGAGTTGCATCTCATCTGGGATTGTTTGTTAGTATATTTACAATAACACTACGACAGAACAATAGCTCACTTACACTTAAGAGTTGCATGGAACGCCATGGAGCCGAGGCCAACCACCAGGTAGCCAACATAGGCAAGGATAAAAATGGGCGAATGCTTAAACTCAAGGACATTGCGTAACCCCTTGACTCCGAGCCACATAAACATCGAGTTGGTCAATGTGTTGACCAGCTCGGCGCAATAGTATGTGATGTTGTAATCCTATATCAGATTCGTGGTGAGTCTCGCGGGTCAAAGCGGGCTGTAACTGGTGTAATTTAGGTACCTCTTCACACCAGTTCAAGGTTGATGTTTGCTCTCCCCAGAAGCCATCACGGCCTTCCCGATAGGGAATCTGAAGTATCGACATTCTGACTTGTGGCTCAACAAATAGCGTAGCTCTCGCCGCAAATAAGACGCACAGCTAACACCCCGAACCCTGGAATGGCGCCAAGCCCAACCAAAAAGGTGGTCTGGGTGGCTGGAGTGGAAACCGTAGAGTGAACTGAAGCTTGCAGATGGGTATTGTGGCAGTGAAGAATCGTTGCTGTAGTCGAAACAGATCTGCCAGTAAGTGTACCAGATGTCCGTGTTATTCGTCGGTCGTATAAGCCACGTCCCTAGATCTACAAGGCAATGTGTGGTGTAGCACGGAGAGGGCCTCTGATGTCCTGGTATGGCGGATCGCAGCGAAACAGTAAAAAGTTGAAATCTTGGGCAACTAAATGCAAGATGTGATCGATCAAGCAAGAGAAAACCGGCTTGGCTTCGGTGAAATTGAAAACCAAGAAAGGCCGGATATCTCGGAACAGTACGAAAATCGACGAAAACAGAAAGTAGCGCAGAACCATGCACGCCAGGAACGGGTTGTTCTTTCCTCACAACAGGTCAAACATCAAAATTGCAACTGGAACTACTAGTATATGTAGAAATCTGGGGGAAGGATGCTGCCCTGGGACAGGAACAAAAGGTCCGTGAACCTCCAAATAGGAAGCGCCCTACATTCGAGACCATTGATCGAAATCTGAGACCTTTGGTGATCGGGATCCACCAAAAATGTCGACGTTGGGCAGTTCACGCAACTAAACAACCGAGCGTTAAAGTTGATTTCCCAAAGAGGAGTTTAGACGACGAGGATCCAAGCGGGATCAGTGTCCGGCCTGGCGCAACATTGTCACCAAATGCTCGACCAAACTAGAAAAGCAGCAAGGTTTTGCTTGCATGGCAGAGGTACGTAAGCGTAGATGCTGGAAACGATAAATATGCCACTAGACGCCTCGACCCGTACGTGACGGATATATAGGTACCATACCTCTATGCAGCATCTTCGACGACGGTTGAGAGAACAAGCGGCACACACTCTCTGGGTCTTTGGCGAGCCGAAGTGATCATTGTATTTTGATCACCGACTGATATGGCAAAACAAAAACAAAAACATGAGCAGAGAAGACACCGGCAGCATGGTTCCTGTCACATGTGCCTGGCTCGAGCCTGGAAAAGGCGGAACCTGTAGAAGCGGGACCACAAACCCCCGGCAACGGCCCCGCTCGGCCCGGATCCGAGCGGATGGCTCGTGCATGCACAGCCGAACTTGTACTGCCCGTGTACAGCGGGCGAGCAGATACAGCATGCCACAGTGGCTTTAGTGGGGGTGGCACCTGCTACCTTAGGTAGAGGTACTACCGCAAAGGTAGCCCCAGGAATCGAATTGCACCCGGGCCATCAGCTGGAGACTGTCTGTCCACTTGTCACCTTCCCATGATCCCCCGGCCGTCTTCACAATACCTCGGGCCACGAGCTGAAAGTGGATGTTTGTTAACACTTACAAAGCCAAGTCGATGAAGAGGTAATCAGGGACGACTACCTTGAAGAAAGCCGAGGCGCGTTGGGGATGTCAAGAACTCGGCGCATCCTCCGAAGCAGGCAACAATACCCTCGAGATTCTGACGAGGCGGCCGTCGACGGACCTTTGCGGATACACAGACCATCGAGCCTAGCACAACGACAAACGGGTCAAGCGATTCCGGCATCAGTCCTTCACCAATTCAACAATCCCTGACGACGGCCACTGCGACGACGGATCCATGTGACAGCCGGTTAACCACCCGTACCTGACCAACTCCAAACACGATCCCCGGCCTTGACCTGCCATCATTGGATGGCCACACCATCACATGGCAGCACCCGCTAAACAAGCCTCGTCAAGATGGGGCTCCTTCTTATCCCAGGCCGTCGCCGGAGTCGAGGCCAAACTAGACACCATTCTCGCCGATGACTATGATGATGTCGCCCAGCAGAGCAAGGAGTCCAAACCAGCAGCCACTCCTCCGCCAGCACCATCACCGGCAAAGGCCAGCCCGAGTAGGATGCTTCCATTCGAACCCAGTCTTGTACATCCGTCCAGGACATATGGCTGACACTCTTTACTACTTACAGCACCATCGAGAACAGCCTCGACACGTACCAATGATCGTCTACAAGAGCGGTTGGCCAGGGCCGTGGCCGCCAAGGCTGCGGGCAAGAACCTCGATCGAACGTCATCCTCGACACAAGCGAGCCCACGCCAGAGCATGGATGCCCCAAGTCGTGCCTCGACCGAAAGCATCGAAAGACCAAATCTCACAGCTAAGGACAGTCCGAATGCCGTTTCTTCGCCGCGCGCATCCGTAGACACGCCCAGGAAATCGCAGGATACAACACAGGAGCCGCCAGTGGCACCACTGGACTCAGCGGACGGCATCAAGGAGGTGGAAGCACAGTCAATTTCTGAGAAAGCTGAAAGTGGGAGGCCTTCGACGGATCAGCCACGTCCAGAGAACACTGAGGATAAAGCCCCGACGACTGAAAGCAAATTGGAAGCACCGGCGGAGATACTCGCCAAGACTGAACCCAAGAAGAGCGTTGAGGTCACTGAGAAGGCACGTCCAGATGGCCAGGAAACGAAATCGGACGATACGCGACCGCAACACCAGGACGAAATCCACGCCTACGTAGAGCGAATCGATGCTTTGGAGGCCAAGCTCCAGTACCTTGCAAGGGAGGCATCCGCAGCGGCGCGCAAGGAGGTTTTGTCTGCACCCGCTGGCAGTGCTGAAAAGAAGCTTGCGGAGAAGGATCAACAAATAGCCCAGCTGATGGAAGAAGGAAAGAATCTTGCTAGTAACGAACAAAAGCTGCGGACGATCTTGAAGAACTTGCGAAAGAAACAAGCCGAAGATGAAAAAGAGATGGGGAATCTTAAAGCGGCCAAGGAAAAGGCCGACAGGGAAATAGAAAACTTGCGCAAGCGTGCTCGACACTCAGACGAACTCGAAAAGAGCCAGAATGAGCTTCAAAAACGGTTGGACCAGTCACAACGGGAGCTAAACTACTTGCGGCCGGAAGTCAAGTCCAAGGATACTATCATCGCTGAACTACGATCACAAATCCAAAAGGCTACTGAACAGGCAGATGTCATGTCAGCAAAAGCCAACGACAAGGCAAGAGAACAGGATCAGCGGCGGATAGCAGAATTGGAAGAATCCGTGGAAGCTCTCAAGATCGAGAAGAACCTGATGGCCGACCGCGCCAAGGCGCAAGCTGATGAACTCCGAAAAGAGGCTGAGAAAGCAAGCGAAAAGGCAAAGGCTTTAGAGTTAGAGCTAAAGGCCGAAGTCCATATGATGGAAAGTAAGCTGGAAGCTATGCGGACCCGCGCTGAAGAAGCTTCCTCGGGCGTGACGGGAGACTCCCAAGCCAAACTGCTTAGACAGGTGGAAACCCTGCAAAGTCAATACTCGATTGCAAGCGAAAACTGGCAAGGGATCGAGACCACTTTGCGGTCGAGAATAGTTAACCTCGAGAAGGAGCGTGATGAAGCATTGCAGCGGGAGTCTGACATGCGCAGAAAAGCCCGTGAAGCTGTAAGTACATTCCGAAGTCATATGCCTTTGCAAATCAGAACACTGATAATCTCTAGGCCCTTCGAGCGAGACGCAATGAGGAAGAGCTGGAAGAAGCCAAGACCAAGCTTCCCAACCAGGAAGACGTTGAGTCCTACCGCTCACAACTCGACTCTTTCAAGAAGCGCGCGGAAGAAGCCGAAGCCGCCCTAGCAGAGGCACGAGCCGATTTCGAGAAGCATAAGCAGGCATGGGAGGCTGAAAAGGAACTAATCAAAGAGGAAAGGGAAAGGGATCTCCAATCACAAGGAAATCGCCCACGATCCTGGTTGGAAGGTCTTCCCGGCGGCCCATTCCTGAAGAACGAGGGTAGCGGGCCTGGATCACCCCAACTATCAACAGCGCAAAGGACCTACAGCACTGATTTCCTAGGCATCCAAGGCCTTTCCAACAAAGTCCGCAAGGCATCAGCCCCATCAAGTAACGGTGATGCCGCAACGGGAGCAAACATAAGCCGTCGACCCTCCGGCCAACCCGGCCTGATCCGCACATCAGTTACCTCTGGCAGCACCCAACCAGGAAGCAACTCCCTCTTCAGTCCCACTACAGAATCCATGCCTCCAGTCACACCCTTATCCGCGATTCACCCGACATCAGACGCAGGTGGCGCACCCGAAATCCAGCACCCACGCGCTGGGCTCCATCGTTCAGACACGGGCTTCGACAGCGTCGACTCGTCCTCCTCTCCACACAACGTATTGCAGGACATGGTCTCCGTGTCCACCATCGCCGCCGGGCCCTCGGTCCAGCTCGTGGAGCGTATGAGCGCCAAGATCCGTCAGCTTGAGAGCGAGAAGGTGACGGTGCGCGAAGAGCTGGCACGCATCTCCAAGCAGCGGGACGAGGCACGGGCGGAGATTGTGGCGCTCATGGGCGAGATGGAGAATCAGAAGAAGGCGGCTGAGAGGGTGGCTGAGCTGGAGAGGCAGGTGGCGGAGGTGAATGAGCGGTATGAGACGACGCTGGAGCTGTTGGGCGAGAAGAGCGAGGAGGTGGATGAGTTGAAGGCGGATGTGCAGGATTTGAAGGATATGTATAGGGATTTGGTGGAGAGGACTATGAAATGAGGTTGTGAGTGATGAGTGATAGGGGACGGACTGGGTGGTGATTCTTGCATACACAATAAATTATTCAAGATGGTTGATAAAGAAAATGAGCTGATGTATAGGTACGAAGCGTAGTGGAGTCAATGGAAATGTGAATAAGGATGTCTCTAATATTTTGGATCTTGATGTTCATAGATACTTGGTTAAGCTCAAGGTATCACTACTTTGTGTAAACCACTTCCTCGTATTCCTCTTCCTTTTTTTCCGGAGCAAATTAAGTCAACGCTCATTCTCCTCATCGTGTCATATTCGCCAAACGGACCCCCAACCTGCACCTACAAACGAGGTAATCTAAAGCTCAATCCCCTCCTTCTCGGCCTCTTTCTCAATAAATCTCCTCACATCCTTATCCGGCGCCAGATCCAATGCCAAATACCCATCCATATCTTTCTTGTCCGTCTCCGCTCCGGCCTTCAACAACGCAACAGCCGCATGCCCATGTCCCTCGGCCACCGCATGATGCAGCGGCGTATACCCCGCGTTATCGCTGGCATTAATCGGCGACTTGTGTTGCAACAAAAGATTGATCATCGGCACCGACCCAATAGCCGCGGCGCGGTGCAAGGGGTATTGTCCCCGTTTGTCCTTGACCCGGACCGAGGCAGGCTTGGGTTTCATGTCTGGAGACAAAAGCTTACGCGCGAGGTCAATGTTGTTTTTGGAAGCGATGAAGTGTAGGGCGGTTTGCGATTGGTTGTTTGTTTGGTTGATGTCGGCGCCGCGGGCGAGGAGGAGGTCGATTATGGCGTCGGAGTCTTTGACTGAGGCGGAGATCATGAAGGGGGTCCAGCCCATGTCGTCCTGATTGTGTGGTGTAAGTTGTAAGTGCTGGGTGAACAGAGGGAGGGGAAAGAAAAAAAAAAAGCGAGAGTTCCTACCTCAACATCGGGATCAAAACCCTTTTGGTTCACGAGTAGCTCAACGACTTCCTTGCGGTTGTAGGAACAGGCCCAGTGGATGGGGAGACGGCCATCGTCGTCCTTGCGTTGAGCGAGCTTGGGGTTGGCCTGGTTGTGTGTTTAGTCATTTTGCAAGTATACGTATTTGTGAAGTGACATGCCACTCACGTTGAGCAGAGACTCGACGACGGACACTGAGATTGTGAAAATGTTAGCATTCAGTCATTTCGTGGATGGTTCAACGAGTGTCCTCAACTGCTCAGCTTGACGTGTTCTGGAGCTTTCTATGCTCACCTTTACCATCCCTGGCGGCAGCGTGAATCGCAAACTTGTCTTCTGCCATATTGATCAAGCAGATGGATTATTTAGTAAGAGAGGCCTCAAAATCAATCAGAAAGTCGATTTAATCGAGTTCCAAGGATTTGTTTGATTCGGTGATGATGTTGTTGCATGAGTTGAACGTCATGTAAGTGATGCCTTCCCCCGGGAGCTTCCATGAGGTGTGAAGTCCGAAAGAGGCACACCGTGTGAGCTCGACTGTGTTTGCCAAGACGCTAAATGTGCTAAAAGATGTGGCCCAAGCTCCCCCAGACCAGGACGTCAGCAAAAATTCCCAGCCGCGTCCAGGCCGCGCCGGTGGCGCTCGTCGGTGCCCGGCACACTGTATCACTTTCATCACTGCATCCAGTCTTCAACTTTCGCTTTGACATAAAGTCAACAACCACGCCCCGAATTCGGATTTCATCACAATCACCGACTTTTAACTCCCTCCGGACATATTGAAAAATAATTCGCACAAGGAACTTAAACGACGAAACAACCCTATCCGACTTCATTCCCTTAAAATGGCGGCCGAGGTTGCCAACAGCGCCGCCAATGGCTCTGGCCCTGACACCAACCCGCTCTCGACCATGATCCGCGAGAACGCTAGAAAAACGAAACTCATCTACGCCGCCACAACCACAACTACAGATGCCTCTGGCACCTCTGGGAGAAAGCGTCTAAAACTTGACCCTGGGCTTGCGTCAGAAGATCCCGACATCACCAAGACCGGCCTATCTCTCCGTCTCCACGCCGAGTACAGCGACGTCCAGACCCTCCCCGAAGCCATTGCCTCCAAGTTGCCAGCCGGCGGACCACGCAAAAAGAAGGCCAAGCCAGCCATTGAAGAGGCTCCCTCAAAATCCGAAGAACATGCCCGCAAACTCATCGAGGGTATCCCACCGAGCAAGTCTGCCGCCGCCAACTCGAATGCTCTGGTGCTGTCGCGCAGCAAGCCCAGCGCTGGCGCGTCGTCAACCAGACCAAATGCGCAACGAAACGAGCCCCAAACAAACAGCCTGGCGCGGCGATCCGACGTGCTGGTACAGCCCAGGCCAGATTGGCACCCACCTTGGAAGCTTCTCAAGGTGCTTTCGGGCCATCTGGGATGGGTGCGTGCCTTGGCAGTAGAACCGGACAACAAGTGGTTTGCCTCGGGCGCAGGCGACCGCACCATCAAGATTTGGGATTTGGCGTCAGGAGCCCTGAAGTTGACTCTTACCGGACACATCTCGACGGTTCGCGGATTGGCCGTGTCACCGAGACACCCATACCTGTTCTCGTGCGGTGAGGATAAGATGGTCAAGTGCTGGGATTTGGAGACGAACAAGGTTATCCGACATTACCACGGCCATCTCAGCGGTGTTTATACCCTTGCGCTGCATCCTACACTGGATGTTTTGGTAACAGGTGGTCGCGACGGTGTCGCGCGCGTGTGGGATATGCGGACAAGAAGCAACATCCACGTCCTCTCTGGACACACAGGCACAGTAGCGGATCTTGTCTGTCAGGAGGCCGACCCTCAGGTTATCACAGCCAGCTTGGACTCGACCGTTCGCATGTGGGATCTGGCAGCCGGCAAGACGATGGGCGTCTTGACACATCACAAGAAGGGTGTGCGAGCGTTGACGACTCATCCAACCGAGTTTACGTTCGCAACGGGTAGCACAGGCAGCATCAAGCAGTGGAAGTGTCCCGAGGGTGCTTTTATGCAGAACTTTGAGGGACACAATGCCATCATCAACACATTATCCGTGAACGACCAAAACGTCATGTTCTCTGGTGGCGACAATGGTTCCATGAGCTTCTGGGATTGGAAGTCGGGCCATCGCTTCCAGGCTCTTGATACGATTGCTCAGCCTGGTTCGCTTGATGCTGAGTCGGGTATCATGAGCTCGACCTTTGACAAGTCTGGCGCCCGCTTGATTTGCGGTGAAGCGGACAAGACCAGTGAGTTTACCCTGCCATGACAGTAGTCTTGAGGATATTGTTACTAACTCGGTGTCTAGTTAAAATCTGGGGTGAAGATCTTAGCGCAACACCAGAGTCGCATCCCCTCGAGTGGAAGCCAACATTGGCTAAGCGGAAATTTTAAGCATCGTGAAAGGCGAGAACTGAGAATGTCATACCTCTTCATTTGAATGCAGGTCAAAGACGAGCAGGCGAAAAAGGGATATAATGGATAGACGACAAACCTGGGATAGCGTGTTAATCAACCAAATGGACTTTGACACTCAGAGTAATGAGCATTAGACCGATAATCTTTGTCCATAACTATAGGGTATCATTACTATCATTCAAAGAAGCACACCCAGTGCTTTGACTTCCGGATCATCACGGAAAGCCAACCTAACCTCCTCATCTCCAACAGCCAGCCGAATCTTGCTCGGTCGCTCGGCCTTGTGAGCCTCCAAGTTGATGACACCCGCTCCTGTTAGGTCGACCGCTGCGATGGCGAGTCCGCCTGGCCGCATCTGCCTGACATCGGGTTTGGATCTAGCCCTACCCATGATACCATCCCCATAGTCTGCCGCGCTCACTCCAGCCGTGGCCATCAAGGCATTCAATGGCCGACTATCGCCTCCGGTCGCCAGCTTAATCATCCGTTGCATCTCCTCCAGCACATCTCCAAACGTGCTCTCCGCCAACCCTGTCCGCTGAGTACGCAACAGCAGCGCCGTAAGTAATAACCTTGACGCAAAGGGGAGGCCCCTCAGATACTGCTGCAATGGATTACTCGTAGCCTCGTTAATAGCCCTCCGCACCGTCTCAATCGTGACTCTACCGGCCGACCCCTTCTTCCTACTGACCACTTTATCTTCAACACCCTTCTTTTTGCTTGGCGTTGGCGGTTCGGCCTCAGCAACAACCTTCGCGTCCGCCTCCGCCAACTCCACCGCCCGTCGACAAATATCCAGCGCTCGTCTCGCATCACCACTCACAGCCGCCACCTTGCGCGCCGCAAACTGCACCGCGTCTGCATCCACAATATCCCCCGGCACGCCCTCCAACCGGCTTTGCACGATCCGCATCAGCTGCTCATGATTATACCCGGGAAACGTAATCCGCGTCAGCCCCAACCGACTGCTAATCTTGTTACTCAGCGTGCGCTCAGGCAAGTCCATCGTGTTGGCCACGGCCAGCACAATCAGCCGACTGTGTCTCAACCCGGGCCAGTTGAAGAAGTTGTACATCACCCCTTGGTTCTTGGTCACCAGCTGGTCCAGCTCGTCCATCAGCACCACGCACGGCACGCGGCGCGGGGACGGGTGGCTGAATTCGCGCTCTAGCAGGTCCAACGCTTGTGAGGGGCTGACGCGCTGGCCCTTGAGTGCTTCCCAAAGTAAAGAGTAGGATTGGTGCGGGTCGGTAATCTTCATGCCGTTGATTTCGACAAAGATGAAGTCATCCAGCTCGTCGGCGCGCACGGCTGCGTCCAGATGCGAGACGACTTCGCGCACCGTGGCGGTTTTGCCCGTGCCCGGCGTGCCGGAGATGTAGATGCAGGTGCCGCTCCCGTCAGTGATGGCCGCTTCGAGGTGCGAGTACACGAGCGAGAACTCGGCTTCGCGGCAGGGGAGGGAGGTCGGGACCGAGGCAACGTGCAGTTGGGTGCGGGCGAGTTGGTAGGGGGAGTTGTGGATGTGCATGGGGGAGAGCACGCGGGTGGCCAAGGGTGTGAATTCGAGGTGCCTCTTTATCATGATCTTGCGGTGGGAGGTGGGCGTTACGGCGACGCTGAGAGCGGCTTTGGTGCCTTTGCGTCGGCTGGTTGGGGTCGCGGCATTGCTGCGGACTTTGAGTTTTCGAGGGGTGCGAGGGACTTTAGCGGCGGGTTCGGCGTCAGCGTCGTCGTCGGAGGCGTATTCTCGTTCGGGAGATTCGGCTTTGGGTTGTCGTTTCCTTCGGGTGGCTTTGGTGCGCTTGAGGACGAAGTCGAGGAGGGATTCGAGATCTTCCTTGCCCTTGTAGATATCTTCCCATTTGAATTCGTCGGTGTAGGTACACGTTCGTGTGTTGCAGCCTCGACGGCAGATGAAGACCTTGCCGAACTCTTTGGATTTTCGTGGGACTTTGCCGGTTGGGTACTGTTTCATGAAGGCTTCTTGGGACATGACTATGGCCTTGCCATTGATAGTGGTCAGGGCATTGAAGTCGAAGCTCGGTGTTATATAAAGCTCGTTCTGCACTTCGAAGTTAGCAATTTGAACCAGGGACTGCTGAGATGAAGACTATGATGACATACCTCAACAAAATCCGTTCTCTTCTTCGGGCCATTCCGAATCTCCTTCTCCGAAGAAAACCACATGAACTTGGCCGACTTTTCGCCATCATCTACCAAAAACTCCGAGACAATCCCAACCCAGGCTTCGTTAGAGCCTTCAGCTTTGAGAAGCAGAGTGTCTCCCACGTAGCAGTCAAAGTCCCCCATTTTTGCACCGATAATCTTGCGCTCTGGCTGTGTTGTTCGTTTCCGTTTCCTCGATCCCGGTCCGCTTGCTGGTATAACCTCGTTTTCTCCTTCATCCTCTTCCCTGTCATAAATCCATTCCCACGGCAAATCATCTGTCCCAAGCTCATCATCCGAATCCTCTCTGGTTACGCCTGGGAGACGAAAGTCTTGCGCTCGAGACGAACGCCGTCCGGGGGTGGCAGGCATGGCGGCCAGCTGTTGAAGAGGCCAGTCGTAGAAATTGATTATCGATTTAGTCGGTCGGTCGGAAATCAAAACAAACAGTTCATCAACGTAGCTTGGAGATTCCGGTACTGAATGCTGCCTCGCTGAGATAAGAAAGTTCGAAGTTGAAGGGAATGGATGACAAGCAGGCAAGACGCGTCTTGGAAGCTTTAGCGCGTCCAGGGCACTTAACATCCCTGCAGGACCCGCTAACTCCCGCTTGAGCCCCACAGCTCTGTTGACGGAGCCAAGAACAAGCCCCTGAAAGCGGCTGCCTTTTAGGGCTACCAATCAGATCAGGCCTTTCTAGGTATCACCGTCAACAACGACGACGTCGATGAACGTCTACGTTCATCTGCTCAAGAGACAGCCCAGCCATATTCTTCTTTGATCTTTTCTTCGAACTCAGCATGGTTCTTTGTTGATTGAGCTTCTTTTTGGTCTCGGACTACCGGCTATAACCCGCTATACTTCTTCACGGCTCCAGTTTTGCAATCCTACACGATGCAAACAACATGAAGAGAACGGAACACAGGCAGCCATCGTTGTGATGGAGGATAACGTCGATAACTGCTCGAGAATCCCGATAGAGCGATGCTTAGGAACAGAGTGTTGGTATGCAGTCGGAAGCAACAAAACTGAGTGATTCTAGGTTTCTGCCTACTTTCATCTCAGCCGCGACAAGTATTTTCCCAAGCCAAGGCAAGGGATTAGCTCAGTTTTCCGTCTGATGGCAACCCATGCAAGAGATTTTTGAATCTTGAGCCCTTGATACATGGTTTGTCCTTGCATTACATTACCTGCATTCCATTACCTTGGAGATATTCTCTTGAATCCTCAGCTCTGTGTCTACTTTTTTTCTTTCCGACTGTCCTATTCTCTCGTCCTATATCGATCTGCAGCGATGCTCGTCAGTTTGCGCTATCACTTTCAACCCATCTGATCTTCATCCGGAACGTCACCAAGAATAAAGTTTATGTGAGAGCTAGGTCAGACAGGCGGACTGCTGTGGAAGAAACGTTCGAAAGTCATCACTTGTTTTCGGAGACCCCCATACTGCGGTTCGTTAGTCATATTCTAGTTCACATATCATCGAAGGAACAGTAAACGTAGTTAAGCTGCGGAATCTGCTAGATTCGTGGCTTGCTTGTGGCACTCATGTGTGCTTGAGACTGAAGTCCCATTCAGATTCTTCTCAAAACACTGTTATCATATTGGTTGTCCAAGTTTAGACATGAAAGCATTTGGTCGAGTTTCTTTTCTTGAGTAGGTATATCTCGACATTTCATGGTCTAGATGGTCAAAACGAAAGGCTTGAAGACCTCATTTGAGCTTGTTTTAGCAGAGACATCCATAGCAATCATCCGCTTCTGCCTCAATATTCTTACTGCAGTGCAAAGAGACAACATCGGGCGGAGGACACTGGACTGTTACGGTTCTCAAGACAGGACACTTCATGCCCCTTGTTTCACAGCTCACAAGTTGTTTGGTTTGTCTTCAGCTCGGGATAAAAAGGCGGACACTCTGCTTTCATATGGAGCATTTCCATCTCAACTTACCAGTAGCAGTAGTCGATCTTGTCAGCAAGAAGATATTTTCGGTGAATAATTGGGTAACTCATTGAGCCAAATCTGGTTTCCAAATATGCATTCGTTCCAGAACCTACAGTTCAGTTCAGTTACAAGGCGTTCCACTGACTCAATTCTCAAGTTTGCATTACAACAGTTCCAACCAAAATTTCCACTTGCTCCAGATCTTCACGCTCCTGTCACATCTGGCTCTTGAAGAGGGCTGAATCGTGGTTCCCATACCTATTCACAGAGCGAGGCTACCATCTACACGTACAGCAAGATCACATCACTCCAACGGTGCCTGAATCTACCGGGGAGTAACCCTTTGCAATCTCACGAAGGAAGGAGAACTTACCGCCAACTGTCACCTCGTTATTCCTATCACTTAATTCTTCTGAATGCCCTTACAAGTACGTGCTTTCCTTTCAAAAGTCCATCCCAAGTGATGCATTGATGCCCTGCTGTCCTTGTTTGATGGCTCTTCCCCTTTCCAATGACAATGACGTGTTCAGCTCGGCTTGATATCTGGCCTGGGGAATGGTCTTGCTCCTTGGCTCCCGGTCATCAGCTCATTCACATGATCAGATCAGCTCATGCGTTGGTCCAGACTTGCCAAGTTTGTTAATGCAATCGAACTATTTACCACTTGCTGTCCAAATCTCTCCGAGACCGAGGTTCATTTGGGCAAGGACAACTTAAAGATCACTCAGGCATTTCCGAACAGTGACTTGGGTTTGCTGCACCTTGCCCATCCAACCAGGAATATCACTACCTCAATAAACGAGTCGCGAAAAGACAACCGAAGTGTTCAACTTATCCGGCTGTGAGTATTTCCATGGGCAAGAGCAACCCATGTTGCTACAGTCAGGTCTTCTCGTGCCCATCCCCTCTTCGGGCGAGCAACGTCATTTGGCTCCTTCCCTAATTGCCAAGGCACTCACCTCGAAGTCCAAAGCAACCAGTCAGCAAGTTGCAATTGCTTCCAGCGGCCTACTCGGTTTGAGCACGAGCGTTCGTGTCGAGTTTTGTTTGCTTCAGTTGGGTCGGACACGAGATCAAATTCGCGACCTGCCTTCTTAAAAGACCATCTCACCCTCCTCCTCCTCCTCTCCATCTTCTTCTTCCCGCTTCTTCTTCTGTTCATCTTCATCAATCTTCAGTCTCCACAACCACCACCACCACTACCACTACCACCTGGTCTTTGACATCGACATCGCCGCCGTCCTTACCGCTACATTTTTCTACTTCTACTTTTTTTCACCCTTTCCCTTGTTCATAACGTTCCGCTCTCAACTCGCGCACTCCGCGTTTGTCAAATCACCATGTCATACGCCACTGGAGCTCGACTGGCCAATTCTCGTTCGGGCGCCTCATCCTCGTCGCAGCGCAGCGGCCAGGTGTCTGAGGTATTGAACATTCAGGTGAGTACCTTTCAGCTTTCCCCTTTCTCCCAAGCAGCGCAGTTCTACGTCTATGTCTATTGAGGAAGAGTGCTTTCACCCTCATTTTACGTATACTAATATCTCCTTCTACAGGTGGACTTGGTGGTCCCAACTCGTGGCTTTCGCATTGTAGACGACCAGGACCGAGAGCTCAAGACAATCTTGGAACAGATCGAACAACAGCACGGTGTCAGGATCTGCCTCAAAGCACAGGAGGATCCCATCCAGATCTCCGCTGCTTCTCCCAAGAACGCCCAGGCGGCCATACGCAGCATCTTGAGGAGCTTGATGCTCCGTGAAGGGCATGCGACAGTCTGGCGAGATTCAGTACTTGTCGCTCCGCCCAGCGGCGACAAGCGTGCCATACGGATACTGCTCCAGGACAGCCCTGGAACTATATGGTTTCGACCAGCCGCGACACTCACCGACTCTACTGAGGTGGCTGATGCTTTGGCTGTCCAAGCTTACAAGAGCGATCTTGCTGCTGCGATGGTCCGCGTGGGTGATGGCTTGCGGTATTCTCCCAATAGGATGCGCATGCAGATCGCTTTCGGCAAACTGTTCTTCAAAGAACGCAAGCGGGGTACTACGAGCTATACGCTCGATGAGTTCTGGAAGTTGGCTCGCAGGGTGAGCAGCAGAGGAACTTCCTACATGGAGATGAGGTAAGTGTATATTCTGGTCTCTTTCCCTTCTGGTTCTCTGTTTTCTGGTTGCTTTCCCAGGCGATTAATGTCTAACACTGCTCAGACTGGGTGGTGAATCAATGCGCGAAAAGATTCAACATGCCTTCTCCCTCGATCCAGACTTCGGAGGCCCCCAAGGCATAGAAAACTTTGTGATTGTGACGACGAAAAATGTCAACCTGGAAGTGAGCGTCGATGGAAAACAAAACGGTGGTTTTACTTTCGGCTCATTGAACGTCTTCCATCGAGAGAAGAGCCACCATAGTGTCGAGCTTGCCACGGCATGCCCTGACAAGTAAGTCGGCATCTTCCTCACCTCCTTGCCACACTAACACATACCAGGAATCACGACTGGGTTCTGAAAGTCGAATCTCCCATCGATGAGACCGGCAATAAGCTCCCACTCGATCAACATACACTTAGCAAGGGCATCAGGATTCGTCACAATGCCAACACCGGTTGTATTGAGCCTAACATTGCGGCGTCCTTCGCCCATAAACACCACATTGAGGCTCTCATTGGCAAGACGACCTGGTCCTATTACCTCAACAAGGACTACATTGTTGAGCTTTCCCTGTACCGGCAGTGGAGTACCATCTCAGGCACTAAGAGCCAACAGCCTCAAGAGCCCGTCGCTGGTGTGAGCGTCAGCATGTATCGACCGGAGTGGAACGACCACATGGCCAATGCTGACGTCTCAGCCGGACCGCGGTCCTGGGGAGCGTTTCCAGAACAGTTCTTCAAGTCATCCATGTCATCCGCTGACCCCACTAGGGATCTTGACCCGCTTGATGCCTTGTTGTACTGGGTTGGGAAGGTCCAAACGGTGCTGGAAAGAATTGTATAGACAAACGCGGGCTATCAGCAGTTGTAAATGGAAAGTTGTCGTGGTGAGGTATCAAGAGCTGAAGTAGTGATCCTACCAATAGTGTTTGGCTGCTGAGCTCAAGGTCGCGGAACGGTTCTTCGAATACATGGGTGTGTCATCATAGTAATCGTCAATGGCTCAACGCGTATTCAAGGAGATCGAGGACATACACCAAGTAGCTGTGCCCAAGTTTTATTTTGGTCGTTTTTTTGCTTCGCTCAATCACGCAATCACAAGTCAGATTCTCCACTATGCCTGTGCCGATGCAGGTCCAGCTCCTTGTGCCAGCACCTTCTGCCTCAAGACTAAATATTGGTTCTTGTTAGTAACAATGCCATGGTTGGAAATACATGGATAGCCCAAGAAAGAGAGGAGAACGCCGTACCTTCTTCCACCACGCGGAGGTTGTTAGTCTTTCCCTGGACAATGGCTTCCAAGTTCTGAATGTTGGTGCCAAGTTCCTTGACCTTAGCATCATAGAAATCAGTGGCACTTTTGGTGTCCTGAACGCTTCGAGTTAATAACATGTAGTGTCGACGTGGCGAAGAGACGTACCTTTTCGACGTAGAACCCAGTACCAACATCGACGATCACGCGGTCGGGGTTGGAGAGCTTGCCCTTGACGTAGAGGGAGTTGGTGAGGGGCACGAGAATGTCTTTGTTGTCTGTTGAATGGGGTCTTGTTGTCAGCGGTGACCATGACTGAAGGGTAGGCGTTCGTCTGGGCTTGGGTCGGGATGAAGGGAATGGAATTGTAGGAAGGGCGTGGTGGAATAGCAGGTGGGAAGAAAGGGTATTGATCGGATATGAGAGAATGGAAATATGAGGCGTGGGGAGGTGGAGGATGGCGACATCACCGCCATGAGATGAGTAGATAGGAGTAAAATGAGGTGTAGACGTTTGTTATGGTTGTAAGTGGGATGAATAGGATTGGAGAAAAAGGGATCGCTCAACGAAGCCACGTCTCGAGAATGAGGCAAAAGCTCACGAAGAGGTTGACCGTCAAGTGGAAGCTTGACATAATCCATCCCCATCCCCCTTACCCATCCCCCAGACTCCCGGCCCTTCATACATACTCATAGCCAATCCACCCCGGCTCATCCACCACATCAAGATGAAAGAAAAATGAAGGAAACAGGTAAACTAAACATACCATCAAAAGAACTGCTTCCTGTCTGCACAATTCGCAAACACTCTTTGAACTTGGCTTGCGCCGCAGCTAGCTGCGTGTACGAGGCCGTCAGGTGCTCGACCTCCTCGTCTAGCTGCTGCTTGACGGCGGTAAGTTGTTGAGCGCTGAGGCTCTCGATGTTGACTGGGAAGGTCTCTTAGTGACTGCCACATATTGAAACATCAAACAGGGAATGGGGGCATGATGGTGTGGACTAAAAGGGGTGAGTGCGGGAGGTGACCAGGGGGGAGGGGGTAAGGTGAAGCTTGAGCTTGAGCTTGATTGAGCTTTAGAGGAGCGAACATGAAGCTCCCTTGAATGAATGGAAGCTTGCAAGATTCAAAGAAGCGGCCGAGGAGCGGGGAAAGGGGAGATACTCACCTCCTTCTTGCTTGCCAGACATATTTACGCTTTCTTATTCGTTTGTGATCGAGAGAGGAATGGGCTAGATGTAAGAGTGTCTAACTCACAAACCGAATGTGATGTTTGAACGAGGTTCAGTTGCAGTTGATCGGGCGGCCACGAGGGCCGGCAGCAACGATAGTGCGTTAGATGCGTGGTGGTGGTTGCCCCGCTATAGCTCTGTGGGGCAGAATTTTGCGGGCTTCCAGGGGTCGCTTCGTCGTTTTCCCCTGTTCACTGCAGGCGGGGTACATGCCCCGGGGATCTATGCGTAGTAAACAGTGACTTCACTTTCTCCTGACAACCATCTTCTCACTTTTTCTCGACAACATACCTCCATTGAGGAGCCAATCCTCGAACTGACCATCTTGTTCCAAGAGAAATACACGGCGAAGCGGCTTACTGGGTTGAGTATAACGGAAAACTGTACTGGAAACAGCATTTCACCCTTCCGTTCTCTTCAAACTCTCTCATCAGTTGCCACTATCACTGAGTGGCACCTCAACTTTTCGCGTTACACATAAAAACGGTCACCCCAGCAACCTCCAACAAACACCCACATTTCTTCACCTCATCAGCAACCCCAACCTAAACTCGCGGAGAAGCACCACCATCATGGCGCCCTCACTGCCATCTCCCATCCCCAAAACCCGCATCGGCGGCATCCCCGGCGTCGACCGGGGCCGCAGCCTCTTCTCCACGGAGCGCTTCGGCGCCGGCGAAACCATCGCCATCATCGACAACCCCTTGCTCGCTCTCCCAGACGACGCCAACATGCGGACGACCTGCAACTACTGCCTCTATGTCAGCGGGACGATCGAGTTCGAGGGCGATGTGGAAGCGGGGGCCAGGACGTGCAAGGCGTGCACGGGCTGCAAGGCGGCCGTGTACTGCAACGCCGAGTGTCAGCGGGCGCACTGGAAGCTGGTGCATAAGGCCGAGTGCAAGATGTTCAAGCGAATCAAGGAGCGGACGGGCAAGGACTGGTTGCCAACTCCCGTGAGGGCGGTGGCGCAGGTGATGCTGTTGTTGAAGGCTGGGGATGAGGAGACTGTCAAGGCGTTTGGGCCTGGTGGTACGTTGGAGAGTAATGTGGAGGGGTTCAAGACTGATGAGGGCTTGTGGGGTGATTTCGAATTACAGGCTACGGGGGCGGTGGTTTATGCGGGCTTGTTGCAGAGTGATGAGACGTTGAAGCAGGCTATGGAGGTTTTGTGCAAGGTGAGTTTGATGTGGAAGTCTGTTGTGTATCGACGTGTGATGTGAACTGACTAGTGCGGCCGCCTTAGATCCAAACGAATGCGTTCAACAGGTTTGACGCCGACACGGGACAGGCGGGCATCTACCTTCACCCAAGTCTTTCTATGGTCAATCACTCTTGCGTGCCAAACGCTTACATCACTTTCGAGAAGCGCAAGGCCGTTCTCAAGGCGGAGAGGGATCTTGAACCGGGCGACGAGATTCTGATTTCATATATCGGTATGGTAATTCCTTTCGCTAGCGAGGGTTTTCTCGTCTTCTAACTTGCCAGCCAGATCACACTATGCCTCGCCGTGCAAGGCAAGAGAGTCTTCGACTCTATCACTTCCAGTGCAATTGTATTCGTTGCAAAGACGATTTGAATGCCTACGAAGTGATCCAGGCTTGCGGGGTTTCTCCGGGTGTCAAGTGGCTAAATTCCTCCAGTTTCCAGCCGGATGTCGCCAGCCTGGTTCCTGCTTACATCGAAAGGTCAAAGACAGTACCAAAGTCAAAGATTGAGGAAATACACTGGAAGTGTATGGAGTTGACTTGCATTGTTCAGGGGGATCCTATGGAGAATGCGCGAGCCCAGTGGGAACTTTGCAAACCTCTCAGGGACGCCCAGCTGTGGGCTCTCGATCCCCTTCCTCCCACGATTCTCAGGATAGCTACCATGCTGGGTTCTAATCGTACTACGCTAGCCAAGGCGCTTCCTCTGCACTGCTTCATGGCGTTGGAATGCTACCCCTTCAAGTACCCGGCATCATTCACGCCTTTCAGGGTCAAAACACTGATGACAATTGCAAAGCTCCTGTCCGCGGCGGGAGATTTGACCTATAGCGGCGATCTTGCTCGGTACTGCGACCACGAGGGTGTCATTGGGGTTCTGGCAACCGCCGACATAGTTTCTTTGACCGAGGTCATCCTTCGGCTGGTCAGGCAAAACGGCGTCATAGGGGGTGTGGCATCGTGGGACGTCTTATTCGGAACCAAAGAAATGTTGCGCGACATCGGAGATCTGCAGGAGCGTGACGAGAAGGACGCCGCTATGGTTAAGCATTGGGCAAACAATTTGCAAGATCCTGTGAGCAAAGCTTTCTGGGAGAACGTTGTGCTCAAGCCGATCACACAGCTCGCGAGTTTCGCAATTGAGATTATCGAGGCTGAACTGGGAGGCAACAAGAGTCTGGCTCGGAAGTAAGCCCGAAAAAGAAAATCAAAGATATTTCAAGTCCTTTCCCCGCACCTAGACTCCCTTTTTCCTTACTTGGCCGACAGGCTAGTCTGAGGTGTCTAGCTGCATCCCGACTGTACGCCTCCTTGTGCAGCGGCGTCGGGCGAGGCAAGGCGAAGTGTTGATAGCTGGCGTACTTGGCAACTCTCCTGCAATGTCTGTCTCAGGAAACTCGGCCTCCGACGAGGTCCGTTTGTGACAGTTGGGAGATGTCAGATTCTTGGCAGTTTGCTGGTCACCCTCTAGCCGTTGCACCCTGCTCTTGAGAATATCGAAGTCTATCTGAAGACTTTCGATAAAGCGCATGTTGCTCAACAGGCGTCTTAAGTCTGCATTTTCGGCACGAAGTGTTGCAACTTCATTCCCATCATTGGTGGTAGAAACGCTCTTGTTAGCTTCTGATGCTATGACATCAACTTGAACTAGGAGGTCAGAGACCTGGGACCTAAGCCCCGCCAGTTCTTGTTGCGATTGGCTTCTGACTTTGGTCATTTCGTTGCTCGCTTGTCTGGGAAGCTCGTTCTTCGATAAGGCATTGTTGAAAATTCTCGCCCGGGGGAGAAGTGCCACTTTCCCCTAGTGTCTTGGCTGAGCTAACTGTGCTGACTCTACTAGATGGCTTTGTGTCGTTGAGGACGCGATCGATGTAGAAGTAACTTTTCTTGCCCGCGTCGTCGTACAGGACAATTGTGCCATCGGAGAATAGGATATGATTTCTCCAAGGTTATGTTAGGCACTGTCTTCGATGTTCAACGCCAATGATCATATTTAACTTGCCTATCGAGCACATCATTCTCGGGCGTTTCGACGCATTTTAGCCCAAGGAACGCGGAACAACTGACACAGGCTATGATATGCACTCGATCACAACACATCCGAATAAGTAACAACATCAGACATGGAGTGTTTGATTGATACGGACTTAGCGTATTTCTAACAAGGTACCCGGCTCTTCATAAACTGTGCTTCTCTTGTGGCATACGTCCAAATCGTTCCTTGGTACGATGATAGGAACCAGATATATGCCGATTTCATACCACATGTTCATGAATTCGCCTATGGTGTTCCGGCATTGTTTGCACCGGCAGAGCGCCAGCTCCATCATGCTGAACTATGGATGTTGAGGGCAATTTCAAGCTGTCTGCTGCGAAGGAATCCAGGAGTTCAGGAACGAGAAAGGAAAGATATGGTGATGCCCCGCGTATCGGGAGATCAGGGGCGTGGAGCGTGGACGTCGGAATTACTATGTAGATCACGCACATTGTTACTTGAGCTGAAATCGAATTGGAGATGTGCTGGAGATGACTCGGACAACTCAACCGTGTACACTTTGAAGATTTTTCACATCATGGAAAATCTGGACGCTCACTTGGTTCTCAACAAAGGAAGGAGCTATCGTATAAGTCGTTTGATAGTAGAGATGGTCTTGGCACTACAGGGGATCGAAAGCTGTAGGCGCCACCTTCTTGGACGATAAGATGTGGCTTGACTACCTACCTCTAGGTATGCCCGGTAATGACAGTGAAGTCCGCCACATTGGATGTTACAGTGGAGCTCTGCCTGCAAAGGGAACACTGCGCGGTGAGTCGCTCCACCCAGCCTTAGCGTGCCTGGGGTTTTGACAAGCACGAACAAGGGTGTCTTTCTTTTTGGTTTGATCCGACTTCAGTGACTTTGTGCCAACTTCAGACGTCCACTTCCATCGATGTTTTCCCCAGTTACATAAAACTTGAACACTTTCGTTTCATTTTCACTCCCTAATTCCTTCTCTTTTACCATTTCTTTTGCCCCTGCACTTCCGTGGGGTTTCCAGGTCACACTCCCCTCAGAGGAAGCGCAGTCATCATGAGCAGAAAAAAAAACAAGAGTAAAGGTCAGCGCGGCGTTGCGGCTGCCTTGGCCACCTTTCAGGGCGACTCTATGGCCATTGATTCCGAAGTCACCAGCGTTCAAGATTCGACTGCTCCGACAGACGGTGAATTGGCGTCAATCACAATTTCAGCTGGTCTTAAACGGCCATGTCCCGAAGATGACCATGAAGACGGCGGCGGGTGGCAGACAATTGAAAATGGCCGGCCGGTAAAGAAACTCAAGAAGATTCCTGGCCAGGAATCCAAGCGCTATCCCGGCATTCACTTTTCGACCCAGGCCAGGCTTTTTTCCAAGATCAACGTCTCTTCTTTACGCGACCTGATCCTGTACATCTTTGCCGATGGCCCTGCGCCGCAATGGGTGTCTGTCAAGCATCGCCCCGAGTTCAGAAAGATCGTGGCCATCATGGTACCGGGTCTTGACGAGGCCATGTTCAAGAACGGTCTCGACTTTTCCGCCTACACCGGTCCCACTCCTGATCAAGCGATCTCCGGTGGCGGCGCCCCTGATCCTGATGAGTACTATCCACGCGAGCTCAAGAAGGAGCTGTTGCCCGAAGTCCTACAGCCCTTCGCCGACATGTTTCCGCATTTGTGGCCTGTAAAAGCTCCAGGTGACGACAAGTATGGCAAGTTGCACTCGCCAATGCCTGCAATGCTTACCGCGCCCCTGCCCAAGAGCAAGGGAACGGGAGTCCAGCCCGTATCCGAGCCCCACGGCTGGAAAAATCAGCGAACACGCATTACCGAGTTTTTGGCCACCAGCGAGGAGCTGATGGAGCATGGCTTCCCCGTTCACCCAGCTATGCTGAACTCAGGGGAGAAAAGAGACAAGTTCAAGGACCCCGAAGGCTGGGTACACACGAGGGTCGAGAATCTTGAGGATGGAAAGGTCCCCGAAGGCGAAGTGCAGCAGGGCAGTGTCACCGCAGGCCGGGAAGTCTATGCCCTCGACTGCGAGATGTGTATGACGGGAGAAGCCGAGTATTCACTTACCAGAATCAGCTTGGTCTCTTGGGACGGCAGTGTTGTTCTTGACGAGCTTGTCAAGCCGGACAAGCCTATCATTGACTATGTGACCCGGTTTTCAGGTATCACCAAAGAAATGATCGACCCTGTTAACACGACATTGAAGGATATCCAGGCACGCTTGCTCGACATTCTTGGTCCTCGCTCGATTCTCCTCGGACACTCGCTTGACTCTGATCTTAAGGCCCTCAAGCTCGCTCATCCCTTCATTGTCGACACCTCGCTTCTCTTCCCGCACCCTCGCGGACTTCCTCTCAAACAATCGTTGAAGTACCTCGCACAAAAGTTCCTCAACCGCGAAGTCCAAAAGGGTGGTGGAACCAACGCCGGACACGACAGTATCGAAGACGCTAAAACGTGTCTCGACCTTGTCAAAAGGAAGTGCGAGAAGGGCAAGGCATGGGGTGCCGGAGAGAGCCAAGGCGAGAACCTCTTCAAGCGCCTCGCTCGCGCTGGTACGGCATATCGCTCGACCGCTGGGCCGGAGGCCACGGGCGGTGCTCCTGTCGGCAAGAGCAGCGCAGCTGTTGACTGGGGTGACGTAAGCAGAAGCGCCGGTAACGCCGCCACCGTCACAATTTCCTGCAAATCCGACGCCGAGGTTGAAGCCGGCATCCTCCGCGCGGTCAAGGGTGATCCCGACGGCCTTGAAGTTCCCGGCGGCGGTGTCGACTTTGTCTGGGCACGCATGCGTGAGCTCGAGGCCCTCCGAGGATGGTGGAACCGCAACAAGCTCGTGCCCGAGGACGCTGGCGGCCCGCCGGCTCTTACTGATGGCGATAAAAAGGAGGAAGAGGAAGAGCAGGAGGATGCCGCATCACCCCTTGAGACCTGCCTGAAGACACTCGGCGAGCGGTTGAAGCGCATCTACGACAACCTCCCGCCCTGCACGGCTTTCATCGTCTACACCGGCACTGGTGACCCGCGCGAGATGAGCCGGCTGCAGGCCATGCAGGCCCAGTTCAAGAAGGAGTACAACACGCCTGGCTCTAAGTGGGACCAGCTTAGTGTGCAATGGACGGACAGGGAGGATCAGGCTTTGCGTCGGGCTCTGAAGGTGGCGAGAAGTGGCATTGGCTTTATTGGAGTCAAATAGGCTTTGAGCTCTGGGCCTCCGAGTGGATGCTGGAGAAAGAAGAATTAATACCCGTGGGAGGTGGTTTCAGGGTAGCTGTTGGCGTGAACATGGTTGTGAATGGCAGCGAAGAGGTTATTAGATGACATCAAGACAGTATAGACCTTATGGCTTTGCTTGGTGCGTCAACGATGGTTTATAGAATATCGTCAAGATACATACTTCGATGCCTCGGGCTCTACGAACATTTACTTCTTTTGATAAAGTTTACCATAAATCTAGAGAAGGCGACGTCTTGGGTCTTCAGCATCCATTGCTAGTATCAAAGTTCGTTAAGGTCCAGTGATACGCGTGCGATTGACCAAGAGCCTTAGCTTTGCACACCTTCATTAGACCTACTGTTCTATTTCTGGTTGACGGTACATACTCGCAAGATGGCGATCCCAAACTTGTGGATATCAGAACGAGCGAGGTATGGCAAGGAAACGCAATGCAGATTCTTTCAGAAGCCTATGTATCGTATCTATCTATGTATGTGTTTGTAAACACAGTCCGCTTTTCTCCGCTCACCATCGTGAAGCAAGAAAGAAACACACGACACCCAGCAAATGCAAAACCAGACTCACCACTAACCGAAAAGCACCAAACCCCATTTTCGACTTTTCACTCCCCAACACAAGCTATTAACAACTCCGACAAGCCAGCTACATTCGCTTCGTACAGTACTTAATATTTGTATATTCACCAAAACTCCCTATAGTCATCCGAACATAGTGTACTCGTCTCACTCGAGACGTAACCCTCGTCCAAGTCCTCATCACACCACTGCTGCTCCTCCTTCAAGGCCTCCTCCATTTTGACATCAACATCGTAGTAAACATCCTCCATAGCGTCATACCCAACCATCCACTCATGAGCCTCTTCTTTCAGCTCCAACTCTGACTCACTCTAAAAGTCAAACTCACCACGGAAGATCTCCGGATCCACACCCGTAGTAACCTTCTCCGCCAGATCCCTCCGTCCCATCTGCGTGAACACGCGACGGAGAGTGTCGTAAAGGGTCGTGCTCCTGTTCTGCGTCATCATGTTATCGATACGCGAGTCGCTATCACCCGCATTGCCGCCCAGCAGCTCGCGCGCCTTCTCGCGTCCGCTCTTCTCTACGGACTTGTGCATGTCCAGCGCCGCGAGCAAGTGACCCGCGGCCTCAGCATGGCAGCCGATGTTAATGCACGACACACCAAGGTTGTAACGGGCGCGGACAAAGTTGGGGTGAATGGCGAGGGCCTTTTCGTAGGCGGCGATGGCCTCCTCGGAGCGGCCGCTGTTGGCGAGAGTGGCGCCCAGCCGGTTCCAGAGCAGGTGGATCTGTTCGCGCTGGTTGGAGGTGCCGAGCTCGGTCGAGTGCAGCGCCGACTGGAAGCAGTCGACCGCCTTGTCGTAGTCCTCGGCGCCGTAGAACAGGACGCCTAGGCCGACCTGCACGTCGGGGTCCATGTGATCGCCATCGGGAGCGAGGCGGGCCGCCTCGAGGAAGAGGTTGGTGACGCGCTCGTGCAGCTGGGCGCGGTCGGTGAAGCCCATGTCGGCGGCCGAGGAAAGGTTACTGGGTGAGATGACGCTGGGGTACTTGGTCGACAGCCAGCGCTCGAGCGTGCGGTAGGCGGTGCTGTCGTAGCCCTCGTTGGTGTAGGAGACGGCTAGGCCCATCATAGCAGAGAGGTTGTTGGGGTCGAGCTTCATGGCACGCTCGAGAGCACGGATGGCAGCTTCTTCCTTCTCGTTCTGGGCTTGCGTCTGTCCGAGGTAGACCCACGCCTCGGTGTGGTCGGGGTTCTTCTGGACCGCAGCCTCGAAGGCCAGAGCAGCTAGCGACAGGTTCCCGCCCTCCTTCATGATACGAAGACCCTCTTCGAATGGGTTTGGTGTCTCCCGGAAGAGGTTATCTTCCTCGAAGAGGTACTCTTGCACGATAGGGTCCGCGCCGAGCCTGCCGTTCAGCGTCCAATCTTCCTTTTCCAGGTTCTCACTGTCGAACTTGGCGAAGTCGTCCTGGACATCAATCTCGTCCAGCTCCTTCATGGCGTCTCTTTCGGCCTGGATACCGCGCCAGATCGATTCGAGATCGCCAGCACCAGTCTCGGAGTGAAGTAGCGCCTCGTCCATCTTGTTGAGCTCGGGCTCCATGGCGCGGGCCTCGTCACCATTGATCTCCAGCTGAGCAAAATGCTCTTCCCACTTGTTCTGGTCGAGCTCAACAACTTTGCCCTTACCCTTGCCCTCGGGCTGTAGTTGTTGCTGGGGAATGTTGTGCATCTGAGGGCCGTGCATGCCGACCATGGGCTGGTACATGGGTCGCTGCATCATGTTGTAGTTCATGTTGCCCATACCCATCATGCCACCACCCATCATAGGGCGCTGAGCAGGCATCTGGCTGGCGGTGGCCGGCGCCGCGGCGGGGTGCATCTGCTGGAACTTTGAAAACTCATCGGCGCTGAACTGAGTGCCAGGCGGCGCATTGAAGGCGGCTTCCATAGCCGCCTGTGTGTTGTGGAAGTCCTGAGCCCATGCTGGCGAGGCGTTCGGGGCGCGCATGTGGGCGCCTTGGCTCGGGTCGAGGTGAAGCATGTGTCCTTGTTCGAGAGGCATATGAGCCATCTCGGGCGTTTGATTGAGGAATCCGTTCACCATCTGTTCAAGAGGATCGTCATGTCAGCCAAGAGCGCATGCCTTGCCGTCAACAACATCCATGAAGATTCCTTACCTCATCTTGGCCAGGCCCGCGGTTGATACTCCGGAAGCCACCAACCGCAGCATTGGGACCTCTGTTGGCAAGTCTGTCATGTTGGAGGCTCTTGTCGTCTCCAACATGCTTGGTAAACTGACTGAGCGGGTTACCCGCCGTCGAACATTCGGCTCCACCCATGAAAGACATTTTGAAGATGTTGGATATTAATGCGACAATGGCGATGTTTCGGCGAGAGTTGACAAGCCCAAGAGGGAAGACGAGATGTGCGGCTCTTGTACACTTTCTGGTAGACGAAGTAGAGCGATATGCGGTCGACTGTTGGGAAAGCAGCGGCCCGCGCAAGTTGTAGAGGCAGGGTGGAAGTAGGGGTAGCTAGGTAGATTTTTGCGCAGGGCAAAGGAAGGATGACTTTAGTTTGGAAGAGAAAAAAAAAAGTGGAAGTAACAGACAAGCCAGGCACGGGCGTGGTGAGCTCGTGGAGTTGATTAATTAGTGATCAAGCGGCGGTGTCCAGAACTGAAGTTGTCCAGGTGAAAGAAAGAAGTTGACCGACTCTCGCGGGATGTGTGGCAGGTGTGCTGTCTTGTAAGTAACGACGGGAGCCCACGGATGCACGGGCGGGTTGTCTGGGTCCATGTGTGGATGGCAGCGGGCAGCGTGGTTAGAAATCGGGCTCTGCATGCATCTGAAGTGAGTTGGGACCTTGGGCGCCGAAAGCTCACTCAGGGGCACAAGGGGGGGGGGGGGGGGGGGGCACCGCCGTGCGCCACCTGAACAGCTGGAAATGCCGAGGCAGCCAGGGCAGCCAGCCATCCACCGCGCTCTTGTTCCTTTTGAGCTGTGGCAGTTGCCGGCCACACCTCAGGCACTTGTTGGCCGCGGCTATTACTGGTAACCCCGCCAATGGAGTGTTGTCAACCACACCTCACATGGAGCCGAACCCCAGCCCGGCCCGTGGAGTAAACCCCCGCCCCCGCCCCCGGACCCATCATCGATCCCTTCGTTCCTTCAAACGACAGCCGAGAACAATCGGACGACAGCGAAGTGCGGAAATCACACTCACATGCCGACAGCACGGCAATGCACCCAAGTTGAAAGGGAAAATGAACAAGCAAACGATGCTTTTCGAGCAGATCGTCACGTCACTCATACGGGATGCAGGACGCAAAGAAGGCACAGAAGACCACCCCTCTATTCATACATATGTACAGCGATATAACCAACAAAAAATGGCAAACGAAAACAACTAGTCGCAGTAAGAAGAAAGAAGAGAAGATTTTTCGTAGTTGTACAGGTATCATTGCAAGCAAAAGGTCAGGATGATGTACGCAGAGTGATCGTACTGCAAAGGCGCCACAACACCAATTCCACAGTTTCCCAATCCCAATGTGCCCCAATTTTGGCAACATTTGTCAAGAAACACAACCGGCCTCTTTTCTTTTTGAAAACCGAACTTGCCCAGTTTTGCCCTCCATTACATCCGTTTCCCATCCTCTTCACCCAGTCATGTCGTAACCATTACATGCCCTTGATTGCGGCTTGCTAGTTTAGAAGTCGGTGGACTCGCCCTGGTCGCGGCGGTTGTAGTTGCGGTCGCCACCCTCGCGGTTGTAGCTGCGGTTGCCACCATCACGGTTGTAGTTGCGGTTGCCACCCTCACGGTTGTAGCTGCGGTTACCGCCGTCGCGGTTGTAGCTGCGCTGACCATCGCGCTGACCATCACGCTGCTGACGAGGGCGGTACTCACGGCGTTCGCCGTTGTTCTCACGGGGCTGACGAGCAGCGACGGGCTGAGCATAGTCAATCTTGATGGTCCTCTCGCCGAGCTGGGTACCCTGGAGCTTCTCCAAGGCGTTAACGGCAGCCTCAACGTCGACGAAGTCGGCGTGGGCGAAGCCACGGGGCCAGCCGGTAGCACGGTCAACGGCGACGCGAACGTCCTTGAGACCATCAATGCCGACGAAGATGTTGTTCAGCTCGGCATCGGTGGTCTCGTAGGGGATGTTGCCAATGAAAAGGCAGGCGGAAGGCTCGCCGACGGCGCTGCCGCGGTTGACCTTCGCACGGCGGGGCTCAACGCTGATGCGGCGACCGTGCCAGAAAGAGCCGTCGACTTGGGAGCAGGCCTCCTCGAGGGCCTCACGGGTGGCAAAGGTGACGAAGCCGTAACTGTGGACACAATCTGTTAGCGTAATTCAACGTGGGATAGGTAGAAAGGACTCCAAACTTACCCCTTGCTCAAGCCGCGGGGATCACGGGCAAGGAAAACGTCGGTGACATTGCCGAACTTCTCGAAAGCGCCCTTGAGGTGCTCCTCGGTAGCGTCGAAGACAATGTTGCGGACGAAAGCGGCGTGGCCCTCAGTGGTGTCCTTCTGAACAGCAGCCTCCTCGGTAGCAGCAGGGGCAGTCTCGGTCTCGGTCTGCTCGGGCTGGGTAGGCTCCTCGGTGTTGAGGACACGGGGGGACTGAGAGAAGAAGCGGATAGCCTGGATTCTGCTAGAGACAAGAGCAGTGCGGGCAATGCTGGCGGAAAAGGACGCAGCAGGAGCCTGGGTAGAGATAGCCCTCGAAGCAGAGAGGGCGGATCTAAGAGCGGCACGACGGATGGACTGCCTGAATATGGGGATATCTGGTCAGTAACTGGTGTGGGGTGCCGGTCTGCCTGTCCGTTCCTTGACTGTTACGGCAGGAAAGATATTAAGCAACTTTAACTTACATTTTGAAGTATGGGGATGAGGATGAATGGATGGATGGGCAAAAAAGGGTTGTTGAAAAGAAGTATCGGGAAGACAGGAAGCGTTTGCCTGGAAAAGAATAAAAGTCAGTCGACCTCAAGGTCCCGAGTCGGGGTTCTCAGAGTGGATTCTCCACTACCTATGGTTGGAGTGCTCCCATCCGCCGCTATCAGAAAATTCAAGCAGGGTTGAGGCGGCACACTGAGCTGCATAACCGATTGGACTAGCCGCCTTGGGAAAGGTTGCTATCACGGATAAGCTTATCGGACGTGTCCGACTCTGTGCAGCACGCGTCAGTGTGTGCAGGCTAAGCTGTGCAGTATATGTAAATCCCGTTATTACTAACGGTTCTTGAACTATCGCTATCAGTTGTCCAATGTCAACTTCACTGCAAAAACACATCTCAAACTCACGATCACGACGATGGTTTGCTCACGGAGAATGACTTGAGATTTACGTTCGCCAACACATTTGAACTTGGTATCATTTGAAGGTCTAAGGCTTCCTCTATCAATTCGCAAGACATCTCCTAGGGCTGGCCCCATATTCCCCAATGTTCTGGTCTGTCCCCACCAACCATACTACGTTAGGCTCATCATCCAAACCGACCGGATCAGCACCGGTACCTGAGTGTGCTATCCGCCATGGCCCAACTCGCCATCAGCGGTTTCCAAGGGATGTTGAGCGTCGAGCGACATCACACCACCTCCATATCTACTCTCCGTTTTGGAACACAGCGCGCAGGTCCCCCCTGCCGCTGACGCTGCTAAGGGTTGGCCTCGTCGACTTCCGCAAATGCTGATGGCGATGAGATTTAGAGGCTGAACTGGGCCCTAATGTTATAGGACCCGAATCGAGTTGATGGATTCGATTTGACGCAGTCTTGTTGGGCTCTGCGTTTCTGGGGATCGCAGTCAGATTTCGGTAAGTTCCTGACGGATTGATGCTGGGACATCGATCCAGATTGACTGGATGGGATCTGAGGGGGTCGAATTCGAGGGATATGCCATGTCGCGAGGCTACCGGCTCCGGTTCCGTGATGATGATTTTGATGTTATTTCCATTCCTACGATTGTCACTTCGGCCAGTCTCAGGCTTTCGTTTTTTCCGTTCCTCAGACGCTTCCTGCTCACTGGTGTGGGCCAACAATCTCTCTTCGTCCGCCGCGTTTGTGGGTAAGACGGTGGACGAAGAGGTCCAGAATGGGCGGTTCCGATTCTTGCGGAAGTAATTTGCCGGCGCGAAACGCATGTTGGGAGATATGCTTTCAACTGATGGCAAGTAGGTATTGATGGTGTAGCTTGACGGACTGGGTTGTCCATCCTCCCTGTGCTCAAGATCGTGATACTGACGAGATTGACTTCTTCTGCTATATATAATGTAGCAAATAGCCAACAGGAAGATTATCGATCCGGATATCGAAACGACAAGCGCAGGTCGGATAGGTCCCCGATGCTGGACGGAGTAGATAATCGAGAACACAGTGAGCGAGGTCATCAAGGAGACCAGGGAGATTAAGAGTACCACCTCGATGGTCGAGAAGGGGCGATGGCCACCGATTTTGCGATATCCCTTTGCCGGGTATGAGATTCCGACCATGGTGGGAAGGCATAGCAGAGACTGTGTTCATCTGGGGAAGGAGCATCGACTGGCGGGAAGTGGTCATTTTCATGAGTGCTTGGAGTTGGGGGTGTTATAGACCCAAAATGGACATGCTCATCAGGCCTCAACAACTCGTGGGACTGTAAGACAGTGCCCATGAAGGTGGCATGAGGATTTTACCTTCGGGTCGAGCGCGAGTGTGCTGCAGAGTGATCATTCACCTTTTCCACCGGATGAGAAGAGCAAATGACAACAATGACGCAGAGCAACCACATGGGCTATGTTGGTGCCATAGGGCTGGCTGGCTCTTTGTCATGGGACCAATAGGAGATATTGCACGTGCCGCGGTATTTACTACGCCCATGGTTTGCGGTACACTCGCCAGTTTAAGCGCGATCTTTTATACCTCAGTCTCATAGCTCGTACTAACAACCGTCAAGTAAAGGTCGTTGGAATGGGGCGCCATGCTGACCGGTTGCGTGCTCTTTCAAAAGCAGATGGTTGGACCCTGTCATTCATACTATGCGCACTCACCACCACCTATTTGATGGTTTGTAGTTCCCATACGTATCCGGGAAAGACTCTAATAACGGACATTACCCATATCGGGATTCCGCTTACTCACTCCGAAAGGCAACCTCAAAGCTACAGTACTGCCGACCGCACACCATGACCGTTGCGGCTGTTTTATGTGCCTCTTAGGGCTGTGTATGACTATGCCGTCTTTAGTAGTGGAATATGCCCGATGGGTTGACAAACACCCATTCCTGATACGTCTTGATCCGGCCTCAACCCGCATCGAATTGGCAGTTGACTCCGCAGACCACGCCATGTTACTCAGGGTGTATATAAGCCTCTGGCTTATCTTACCATCCACCGAGAGTCACTCAAGCACAGACTACGCATTGCCATCGAACGATCATCACAAATTTGCTAATAAAAGCTTAACAGGAGGCCTTCCCCCTAACTATAGGACTCGATAGTAAGCACCGAACCAGACCTTCTCCGACTACATTCACCCCCAAGCTTCGAACCATCCACGGGCGTTTCATACAAGTAGATTTCATGAAAGAATACCTCTAAGGGCCAACCCTAACCCTAGTCATTCTCCTTCCCTTTCGATCTCTTTACATGTGTAGAGCGGGAGTGAGTGCCAAGACAGCCCGTCGGCTCCGAAGGCTCCACAGTTGTTGGGCCGCGACTGCCCAGCTGGAGCTGAGTTGTTGCGGACACGTTGCGGTGTATCATATAGGAGGATCACGATAGTTGTGCTTTCAACAAGCAAACAAAACCATCAAGGGCGCCAATGGTCTAGTGGTTAGGATTCAACCCTTCCAAGGTTGAGGGGGGGGTTCGATTCCCTCTTGGCGCAACTCTTTTTCTACTTTTTGCTCTTGTTATTTGGACTGGTGATGACTTCCTGTTTGATCTGGTGTGATACTCTTCGTTTCCCTTCTTTTTGTTTCTTTGTGTGCTAGTTTCAGGGATTTTTGGAATTTACTTCCGGTGAAGAAAGTTGTTACTGGGAACATATCGAAAACGAGTGTTTTCGAATTCGACTTCACGCGCTGTATGCACTCAACCCCATTCCGTTATCAGCTTCGACACTTTGGAATCGACCACCGAAGACCGAACGCGGGATCAATGATGTTAAATCGGGGAAGTGTGTTTTCTCCTGAACCCAAATCCCCTAGCTGCATTACCAAGACCACAAGAAGAGGGTAAGACTACGTTCATTTACCTCCTTGTGAGACGGATTTGCAAACATGGAAAACCAAGTTTGACATCTAGCTTCTCTTGAGGCAGGGACATGCTTCTATGAATCAGTTCTTCTCAATATTTGCGTCCCGAATTCAGAATGAACTCTTTTAAGAGCTTTGGAGACCCTAGGAGAGGGCAACGCCATCCCAATCGTCAACTTACTTTTCCGTCAACTGTCTCAAAGTCAGAACCCGCAATGCCAGGTGAGTCACCTGCACTTAGCTGGACACGTTTTTTGTGTCTTCCATGCTGTATGTATGTTTTGTCTCGCTGCTGTACAGAAAGATCAACGAAACCCTCCTGGCCAGGCGCTTACGCATGTCGATTTGTTCACTGGACATGATGTACAGTCACGCGAAGAGACACGAGGTCATCAGCCGGGTTGTTCCATGAAGTTAAGTGGTTCAGTGCAGTGTGGGTGTCTTCCTCCTCCATTGGTATCTAGCCGCTTCTTCTTCCCTCCCGAGTTCTACCTTCTAGGTCGAGTACTGAACAACAACATGCCCTCAACGTAGGTTCTCTCTCTTTCCTTCCCTTCCTTTTCCTCTCGACTCACAGGACCTTACGTCCGAGAACAACGGCACGAGATACAGAATCATAGATAACGCAAGTATACCAAGAGGTAGTAATGTCGGAGTGAACGTCAAGGTATCGTGTCCGAACGGGCCAGAAAAAAAAAACCTGTGCTGAGTTAGGGTGCTCAGCTTGGTCCAACGAGAGTACCTGCCCCTGGGTAACGGCAACAGAAACAACAACACCAAACACAGCAGACACAAGACAGAACACACCCCTGTGTACCGTGGCCATGGTAAACAGGAAGGTCAAGGCGTCAATGTCACAGGGTTACAACATCACAACTTCACTGCGTCTATGTCATGACGGGTGACTCGGCACGTGCGGTTACCCGGTCGTGTTGTGGTTTATGTGATTCAGTTACCTACCTGTACCTACGGCAACTGTAAAGAATCACTCTGCCCCAGCTGGTTTGGAATCTTCATGTTCTTTATTTGCCTCATCCCCTACCCAAGGTTGACAAAAGGTGATACCAAGCAGTGTTAACAGGCCATCACGGTGATTTCGGGAGCAAAAAGCGTAGCGCAGAAAGGGAGGCAAAAATCCAATGCCGACACTCAACCAGTCTCTGTTCATGTTGAGAAACATTGCCGCCGAACATCCATACTTGCCCACCATTCGTGTATGGTAACCCAAGATCGTACATGATGATCCAGAATCGGTCCTGCCGGTTCACCATCTCTCGTACTCCTCCTGCCTCCCCTTTCCCCCCCTTCATGTTGCTGCTACTGCTTCTGCAATATCCCGACGGATGAAATGAGGAGTGGGAGCTGAGAAGTCGTAGTACCAGCCGAGCTGCAGTGTTCACCAATGTCTGCCCCTGGTGTACAGTTACAGCTGGAGCGGGAGAAATCACAACTACCGCCCTACTACAAAATACAACAACGCCGCTACAGCATAAAAAGCACAGCAGCTAGGATGCCGCAAGGAGCGGAAGGGAAAACAGAGGTACAGATGTACAAAGGCACGAAAATAAAGGGAACGAGTGAAAGCGAAAAAAAAAAAAAAAAAAAAAAAAAAAAAAAAAAAAAAAAAAAAAAAAAGGCGGGCGAGGTAAGGTAGGACATCATCAGCAACCCACACGTGGCGAAAGAGTAGCACTGCTTTTGTCTTCATGTCCTCCCTGTCCTTCCATCCTCAATCCATTGCCCAATGCATTTGTGTTTCAGATGGATACTACGCCTGTATGAGGTTACACCTTCTCACATTGCACAAGTGGCTTGGGGCTTGGGAGAGGTAACCTGAGTTGAGACCGAGAGGTCCAGCGGTTACGGCTATGGCATACTGGACGTGGAAAGTTCCGTCTCCGTGGGTGATCCTTGGGGTAGAAGTCAACTTGGCGCTTAGGAGAGGTAGGTAGGTACGATGTACTGTATGCCAATACGTACGAAAAGAAGAATAAAAATAGCACGTGTCCTGCTCCCTTCTGGTTGACTTTACTTCAATCTTCGTTCCAACTGTTTTTTTTTTTACTTATTACGCCCACCCATCTTGAGACTTGGAAACTCCTGGCTCAACAATCTCTAGGTACCAGCACACGGACATACCTTACTTCAAGATACCGAGAATCTCGATTTCTCCTCCCACTTCCCTCCCCCCCCTGATGGAACAACGATCAGAGGCGTCGCTGTACACATACTGGAACGCAACCTGGTTGCGTCGGCGCCAGGCGGGCAAGCACGCAACAGTAGTACAATCCGCGTTACACTGCGCTGTTACTGCTGCAACAATAAGACTCGGGCGAAAACCACATGCGTGCTACACACACATACATAGATATAGCCGTCGTACTACATTGTGGCATTTCTGTTCCAGTTATCTCGGTCGTTATGCGGTGGGCCCATATAGAGAATTAGGTACCTCTACTCTAGATAGGGAGTGATGTACATGCAATACATTTCGTGGGGTCAGAATAAGTTGTCAGGGACCCTAACATAGGAGACTGACAAGAGATGTTTTGGATGTGAGTACGTGGTGAGATGGGATTATGTTGGGCAGGGCGGAGGTAGGAATCAGGAGTAGGAAAACTGACCTGGGATATCCTGAGCTCGCAAGCTCTTGGACTTTAGCATCAACTTGGATCCTAAGTCTAGCAGATGACTGCAATTGTGTTGCTGACCACTTGAATCTTGGCGCAAGGACTGGCCGTTCAGTGGAATTTCTCTCTCAGCTATCCCTGGGGGAAAGAAGATGATGCCAAACACTTTGACGAGGACACTCCAACTTGATAGTAAACGCTTAGGTCCTTCTCTTTCGATATTGTATTCGGACATGCCCCATAATGCCACGATTGCATGAAAGAACCGTGACATCCACCCTATAAACCCAAACCAGGGGATGGGCCGATCCTCGAATCGTTCGTAGGTATAGACAAGCAATTGAAAGCTTGACCCTACTCATATACCCCATCAACCAATCGGGAAGCCGTACACCCCTTTCACTAGACTTGAAGCTGGAGTCCTGCTATTCGACATATTGGATCGAATCTATCGCCAAGGCTATGGTGTGTTCGTTCGGAGGAGCGAAAACTAGAACAAATAAATCAATGAACGAGTGAGACGAACCGGAGGCTGGAAACTGGCACTAGAATCCTTGGCCCTCTCCCATGGAACTCTTCCTTTCTCTTCCCTTTGGGACATATGTACACATGTTTTTGCTGCTATATCACATCGGCCTTTTTTTCCTTTTTTTTTTTTTTTTTTTTTTTTTTTTTTTTTTTTTTTTTTCACTTGAGCGTTTCGAACCCAGGACAGTTGTCTACTGTGACCGTACCTCGCTGCATTGATGCTGTTGTATCGTAGTATGGTGGAAAGGCGAGCGAGCTACATGGGTAGGTACGAGGTAGATACTGCAGTCAGTTGACCTCGCTCGCAAATCACTTTCTTGCGAACCGCATGATGGCTTTATGCCGGTGTGAGACATTGTTGAGCGTTTCTGTCTCTAACCCGTACCTAATGGATATGGGCAGATGGTTAACGCGAAGACATTGGGATAAAAGGTACTTCTTCGTAACTGTAAAATCTCGACTGTGGTTACGCTTATCGAAGAATTCCAATTTACTATTAACAGCGGAACGGCGCTCAGTATCGGTACCCGTACGCTAGATCGTCGTCTCGGGTTGGTGGACTAAACGATGGCGCTTGTGAGGGTACTTCTAAGGTGGCCCCCAAGGCCCCAGGTCCTGAGGCTTGAGAAAAAGAAAAAAATGGGTATTTTTTTTTCTTCTTCTTCTCTTTTCTCAAACGTTCCTCTCGCTCGCTTTCTCCCCTCCCCACTCGGGGGTGCCGCGCCGCCTGCAAAAGGCTCATTCCCGTCGGAATCCGGACGGATGAGCTCGCTTTAGCTTCGCCGACTCGGGGACCTATTGTGTCCCTGGGCCGCATTAGGCAGGTCCCAAGAACTCTAGGCTCGTGGGGCGGCGGGCTAGACTGTTTAGTGTGAGTGTGCGTCTTTTTCCTTTGACTTAACGATTACCGTCATCGAGATGAGCCATGTAGGTACCACTAGACCACCGTTCTTTTCGTCATTGTATCGTTATGGATTTTTGTCTGCAGTTTCCCCATGTTCTCTTTGGGTATTTGACCATCGACATTCCAGGAACTGGGGAATGCGCTTTCCTGCTTGCTTGGTGTTAGTTGACAGACAAGGCCCCTATTGGAATGTCGGGAAGAGGTTGCGTTCTTCCGTACTCCGGTTTTTGAGACAAGTTTCAGAGGACTACATGAGGCTTGTGGTTCGCAGCTACTCTGTGCGTGTAGAGGCAGATAGGAAACTGGGAGCCGTGAGCGGAAATGTATAGCTGTCGCCAAATCACAAAGTTTTGGGAATTTGGGCACCAATATTCTCCCTATCATGGCACCTTGGCAGGGCCAGCAAGTTGTATGGGCGTCTATCCGAGCCCACAACCTACAAGCTTCACAAGGCCCGGCCGTCAGAGACCCCGGAAATAACCTCAATTGTCCGTGAGTCTTCTGCGGTTCCCAGTGATTAAAATGTATGTCAAAAGGGTGAGTGGTGACCTTTTGTTGGCCGTCTCTGGTCTTAGTCTTTTTTGTGTGACTCCACCCGACTAGCAGAATCTTATCCCAGATCCAATTCCCATTGCCGTGATCCGTCAGAGCCGCGGCCATCAAAGACAGATACGAGAAACAAAAGGGTCGCGAACACGCAGATCCTGTCGAAAATGCGGTTGTTGGAAGTGGGGGGATTCGTTGACCCACATTTTCTGGGAGCCGCTAGAGTTGTGGACTATGTAGTGTACACAGTCTCGACGAGTGGCACTCTCTTATCACAGGCCCATTGAGATTCGAGCGCCCGGGAATAATCCAAGGGAGTCCGATTCCGTGAACGCAGGGGAAGACAGACAAGGGGAAACGGCCCTGATGAACTGGGGCTCTGCTGCCAGGAAAAGCGCTGGGAGGGGGGATATTCTGGAGAGAGTGGGTGATGGTTGTACTGTGGTGGGCCATACTGCATAGTAGACCGCGGGGGAAGACGCTCTGCCAATGTATTTGTATTTGCTAGTGCTAGCAGCTAATTGGAATTCGACCGAGCGAGATTGTTAGTTGATTGGATGAAGATTCCGGTCTTTCGCCGATGGATTGGGAAAACTGCGATCAATGAATGTCTAATTGTCACGAAGACATTGATGCCCGGAATAGAGGCGCCAAGACTGTCGGTGGGCTCGCAATGTGATACTCGCAACATTGGAGCTGTTGCTGCGAGCAGAAAGCTGCAGGTGCTAAGAAACAAAAATCTCCCCATGGCTTCGTTGTCAGGACAGCGGTCGGAGAGACAAAAACGTGGGGTTGCGATCTCATTGCAGCGTTGGATCGTCCTTGACTGACAATGGGAATTGGGTGGGGGGTTTGACTTGCAACAACAATGAATGGAAGACGGCAAGGTCTGATTTGGTGAGAGTGAGAACACAAAGCAAGGGGAACTTTTGAGAAGAGAAATGTGAGCTGTATCTTGGTGGCCGGACTCGATGGTTACGACATATGCCAGGTGGGATTCATCGGTCTCGCAAAAAGTGTTGGCTGGCTGACACGTGTTGTTGAGGTGGCCCAGATGTGATCGCTGTGATGTACCTGCGCCTGCAGCAAGAGGCGGGTCGGGGGCCGGAGCTGTCAACGTCCATTGCTTGAGCGCACGTGTGCATTGCTCGACGTATAGCGGGCGGTGAAGAAGAGTTTTTGTTTCTCATGCTATACACTACACTACGCTGTACGTGCCAACTGTCAACCTACAAGTTGTTGACTTTCTACAGTTTCAGAGCTTCTCTTTGTATGCTCCAAATGATGGTCACTTTGTAGTGAAGGTAACGGTACCTACGGTAGGGTTAAGATAGGTAGGTAGTGTATGCACGGAGAATGCACCTGCAGGGCTTCACAGTTTAGGTTGCCAAGTCGACCTGAGTTCCGTACAGTAACAACAGGACTGCGGGGGCCGAAAGCTGTGATTGCCGCGCTTCGTTGTTTCTCGACCGCATCACCGTCCACCATTGAGGATTCGGGTTTGGTGTGATGGACTTTAAAGTCAATGACACTCGTGCTTGTTGTCCCATTTCAACTCGAATATGGCAAAGTGAAATCTACCCCTCTAGAGACCTGACGATGAACGAGAAATCGACGAGAAAGCCACGTGAAAGATTTGACTGCTACCCTCCAAGTAGCGTGCCAAGTGCACACCCATCCCCCCAACACCCATGCCCTAAAGTGGCACCTCTTAAGGAGATCAGCAGATCAGTCATATCAATGCCGCCCTATTGCAACCCCCAAGCCATGTGTTTCGCGCGCTACCGTGTGTATCGCACCTAGCCTATCTCGAGTTATATGGGTGAGCCGCAACGTTGGCGGCTGTTTGGTAGCGATGGCACATTTGGGCCCCCTTGGGCAGATTCTGTATCTGTTTGCGTATGATTCCAGAGCACAGACGGGGCCGGAAATGAGGAATCCAGTTCCTCGCTGCGTGGTCTGTGTCTCGCCCGCTCTCTCCAGTCCCATCTGTTCCCGTTGCGGTGCTGGTGTCGCTTTTGAGCGCACGCCCCGCGAACTCCTCCTTTGGCGCAGTGGTTCCTTTGAGTAATGAACCTCGCTCCTATGATGGAGTACCTAACCATTTTCTTTGATTGCTCCTCACCCTTGCTCCTCTTTTACCACCTGCAGGCGCCGAGTCAACATCGGGCTGGATGACGCGATGCCAATGGGCGGGGTCATCCTGTAGCCTTACCCTGGGTCAAAGACTGTTGAACCAGCCATCTATCTGAGGGTTGTCAGCTTGAAGGGCCACTCATCAATGAAGGACAAAGGCAGCTTGATGATTTGGGGGCTCAAATAAAAAGTCCTAACCACTTCCACTTTGGCCGCATTCCCATTTCCCAAGGGACCACCAGTACACAGTACACTAGGTGCATTGTGTACAGTGCTGGGCCCGGCTGTCACGCCCAAAACACCTGACCCGTGGCTCGGCACGTGTATCTAGCTACCGCGGGGCTAGCAGACCAGGGTAGAACCAGCAAGCCTTATCGGCAGTGTTTCGGTCGCATTTTCCCTCAAATCCCCTCCAAATCGTCTCCAAATGGACCACCATAGCTCCTGCCAATTCCGGAACGCAGTTAGCGGATCCCGTTGAAGATACACACACTACTTCAAGTTGTGCGGTACTCAGGGACAAGCCAAGCAAATCACGGCTCGGCAGTGCGCAGTAGTACCTTATACTAGGTAGCCAAGGTACTCAGAACATGAGACGGACCGTACATGACATTGGACAAAGTGGGACAATTGGCGATGGTTGTGGTTGGGTTGGGAATACCACTAAATGACAACAAGAACGGCCGCTTTTTCACCGTGATTTTAGCTATTGTCCTTGCCGTTGGTGCAGTGGTATGATACGCTACTTAGAGAGCTACTACCTAGGTCCAGGCAGCCCAGGTCAGGGACGCGCAAGAGGAATCGCGGAGATGGATAGCATCGGACCATTGTGGAAGTGTGAGGTTGGGTACCTACAGATGCTGCCAATATAGGTAGCAAGGTCAGTAGTATGTACAGAGGTACTGCTCTTCCCTTGTACTAGCCTCACCGTGTCCTCTCGTCTGAATCGAACACAAATTCCCGTTCGCGTCGTGCGGGGAGCGAGCCGTTACCCAGGCCAAGAGATATCTACACTACCATAGCGCGCGGGGGGGGTTCTGGAAAATGATCACCTGGATGATTTTACAGTTGTAAAATATGACAATTGTAAAATCATCGCATTACGATTTTACATAAAAATGATAAAAGGTGTATAATCTTACTTATACTATATAAATGAACTTTGTATAAATTATCTATTAAGAGTAAATATTTTTATAGGAAATATTTTATTTAAAATAATAATCCTTTAATTATATTTAATTTTAACTAAAAAGACAAAGTTTTTATAAAAGTAATTTTGAATTACAAAATGATGTTAAAATATAAATCTTTTTTTAATATCCAAAATCATTTTTCTTCAAAAGTAGCTTGAGATATATTGGTTTTCAAAGAAAAAAACTATTTTAGTATTAAACTTAAAATTTTATATAACAATTTGATTGAAATAAAATTATTTTATAGTTGAAAAATAGTTTTATAAATAATAAAATAGGGAAAAAAGAGAATATATTATAGAATTACTATTATAAAAACCTATAGATATTTTACAGTTAAGGCTTTTTTTTTATAATTAAAACTTCAAAACAGATATAAGACTTTGACTATTTAAAACTTTTTAAATAGAAAAAACTTGCCCTCAACTAGAATCGAACTAATAATCCTAGGAAAGGTAGTAAGAATTCAAACCATTAAGCCACTAGGCTAAATAATTAGAAAAAAGATTGAATTCTTTTATTTATATAGGTAGATAGAGGTTAGATGATAACTGTAAAATTATCTACTAATTATACAATAATAAAAAAAAACTTCTAAATTTTTAAGTTTATTTATATAAATAGATAGAGGTTAAATTATAACTGTAAAATTATTTACTAGTTATATAAAAGTAAGAAAGTTATTTGAAATATTTCAAATTAATAATAATTTTGAATAGTAAAATATTTTATATTTAGAATAAAGTGATCTATCTTTCCAAAATGAACTTCTTATCAAAAGATTAATTTAAAGTAGAAATCATACTTTAAAAATCAAAATCTTTTTACACTTAGAAAATAAAATCTATATTAAATTTAACTATAATATATAAGACTAATTTTAAATAAAACCATACTAGGGATAATTTTTACAATTGTATTATTTTATAAAGAAGCCTACTATTATAGATATAATAGTTTCATTTTTAAGAAGATACTGAGCATTATTTTACAGTTAGAAAATGGACCCTCTATAAGAAAACAATCCAGTCACATACAATTGATCCCGCGGACCATTTTTACAGATACCGTGTGCGCGCTATGGTATGTACCCCTACTGCGACGCGCGAGAGGAATGAGTGCCCAGTTGATTTTTAGGCTATGTTTCAGGCAATACCGTAGATGGCAGAGATCCAGAGGCGAGGAGAGCGCGCAAAAATGCATCATCACGTATGTACCACGTTGCTGTCGAGTTCAGTTCCCGCATCTACGTCTACCCGACACTACGTGCGCATCCAATTCCAAGGTACGGTACCGACCGTTCCTGCCATGCTCCGACGGTTGGTCTGCCATCATCATGTCGCCTCCATGATAGTATCGCACTTGGGTTGATGCTGCTATAGTATCACTGCTACTACTGTTGCCGCTCGCTTCACCTCACCTCATCCAGACGGGAGGAGGCATGATTGAAGAGAGATGGATGGGACGGCTTTAGCATTAGTACCTACCTGTAGCTGGAGATGTGCACCGAGTACCTGTACCGACGGGTAGGCACTTGTACCTCTACATCATCTGGAGCCCATCGACCTATGCGAGCTAGGTATGGCACATCGAGACACATGGGCTGGCTGCATCCATCCCACCAGCCAATCCCATGGGCCGACCACCATGTCCCTTCCATGATGTCGAGCCATGTCCACCCCCCCCCCCTTCCAGCGGGCCCCTCTATTGTTGGCACGGCCCCCCCAGCGCAGTTCGTGCTAACCTGCCCTGCCATTCTCTGAAAAACGTGCTCTCCCGTCACCGGCTGCCCTGGCGCTCTGCCCGCTGTCCGCCTGCCTGCCTGCCTGCCTGCCTGCCCGTCTTTGCGTCTGCCGGCTCACCTTGGCTTCAGGCTTCTCGCTGCTTTCCATTCCTCTCCCGCCCCCGTAGAGTACGGTAGTGTAGGTCTCCCACCCAATCCATCCATCGCATCCCGTTCAGCCTTCAGCCAGACCTGACCAGCTCGATCCCCGTCCAGACCT